ACCATTATTTCTACATGTATCTACATAATTTTAATACAGAGCATTTAATCTCAAAATTTTTATACCAAAATAGCATGAATAGGTTCACAAACATGTAACTGTACCAAATGCAAAAGAGATGATCTTCTAGAAATCTTTTATATATTAAGAAGAGGGTGTGCATTACTGAACCCCATATGGTTTAAGTTTTCAACTACATGTACACTGTATATGCAGTTCATGTTAAACAGAATACATGTATGTGATTCTAGTCATTTAAAACAAATCAAGTATTTTACCTTCACAAGTTGAACAGCAGTGGAGGAGAAGTCGCAGCAGTACACCATTAGGTCAGGGTCACTACAAAAGGAGGAAGACAACACTTCACAATTAAAGGCATTCACAATCTCTATCAATAAAATTTTAATGAAATAAGAATTTAGGGGAAATAATTATGTGGCTGATTGATTATTTGTGTGTTCTTTCAAAACTTTGAGCTAATCTTGATTATAAATGGACTTAATTTTCATGCCTTTGCAGGTCATTTTTTTTCAGGCACTTATCTCCAAAGACTTGGTTTAAGTTGACATGTAAGCAAGACTACATTGATATAATGCACCAGAATTCTGAAAACCTGAATTTTTATTGTAAAAAGTTTGCTTAAGAAATAAAGTTCTGAAAATGAATACAGAAAACAACTGTGAACATGAATGAATTGGGTTGTGACTGGATTTTTATGCCCCCGGATCGAAAGATCCCGGAGGTATATTGTTTTTGTCCTGTCTGTCTGTTTGTCTGTTTATCTGTTTGTCTGTTTTTCCGTTTGTTTGTTTGTCCGTTTGTCTGTCTGTTGTCAACTTTAACCTTGCCCATAACTTTTGATTGGTTGGAGCTATGACTTTCATATTTCACATGTGTATTTCTTGTGACAAGACCTTTCTTTGGGTACCATCATATTTGACCTTGACCTTGGAGTTTGACCCACTTTTGCAAAATTTTATGAGACTTTAACCTTGGCCATAACTTCTGAACAGTTGGTGCTTGGGGTTTCAAACTTCACATGTGTATTCTTTGTGACAAGGCCTTCCATCGCATATTAACAACTTTGACCTTTTGACCTTGACCTTGGAGTTTGACCTACTTTTGGAAAACTTTAACCTTGGCCATAACTTTTGAACAGTTGGTGCTTGGGGTTTCAAACTTCACATGTGTATTCCTTGTGACAAGACCTTCCTCTGGATTTGAACCTCTTTGACCCTTTGACCTTGACCTAGGAGTTTGACCTACTTTTGAAAAACTTTAACCTTGGCCATAACTTTTGAACGGTTAGAGCTAGGGCTTTCATACTTCACATATGTAATCCTTGTGACAAGACCTTCCTTTGGATACCAACCACTTCGACCTTTTGACCTTGACCTAGGAGTTTGACCTACTTTTGAAAAACTTTAACCTTGGCCATAATTTTTGAATGGTTGGTTCGAGGGCTTTCATACTTCACATATGTAATCCTTGTGACAAGACCTTCCTTTGGATACCAACCACTTTGACCCTTTGACCTTGACATAGGAGTTTGACCTACTTTCGAAAAACTTTAATCTTGGCCATAACTTTTGAATGGTTGGTGCTAGGGCTTTCATACTTTACATATGTAATCCTTGTGACAAGACCTTCCTTTGGATACCAACAACTTTGACCTTGACCTTGATGTTTTACTTACTTTTAAAAAGCTTTAACCTTCACCATAACTTTTGAACAGTTGCAGCTAGGGCTTTCAAATTTAACATTTTTTATCTTTTGGCCTGGATTTTGACTTGCATTTGAGAAACTTTAACCTTCACCATAAGCTGCCATACGGGGGCATCAGTGTTTCACAAACACATCTTGTTTTCTTATTAAATAAAATTAATTACAGTGTACTACAATTAAATCACTTACATATTTTCAAATAAAGATGCTTTACAATAAAAGTGTAAAATCAATGTTTTTTTTCTTACTCATTTGTTTGCAAAATTGGAAAGACTGTATTTCCCACTCCACATCCAACCTGCAAGCATTAATTTTTACATGCATTTTTTTTAAAAGGTCAATAGATTGTACACCTGGTAATAGATAATAAAAACATTACACTCCACAAGATTTCAAAAATGAACATGTATAAAGTAGTTGTATCATACTGAAGCATACTGGTGCCACATGATATTTTTTTAAGTTGCTAATTCAAACTTTAAAGTTGGCTTTTCCATCTTTAAAGTTGGCTTTTCAACTTAATTCTTGGCTTTTTCAACTTCAAAGTTGGCTTTTCCAAATTTAAAGTTGGCAATTCTATCTAATTCCAAATTATAGTTACATGAACACTTTATGTAACAAAACATATCAAACCTGTAGTACCTCTAGAATTCTCCTTTTTGCTCTGTGACCTGGAAATTCCTGACCAACTCTTACACTTTCAATATCATCATTGCATTTCTCATCAGGACCCAGCTCTGGAAATTCAGTGAATAACCAGTGCCGATCCTTAAAGAACCGATTCTGGTGAATCTGGTAAAACTTGTCCCAGTAATCATCAGCAAGGTCCTCATACTCTTCTGTTATAAAAAATAAATACCCTGGTACTTCACAAGTAGTCCATAGGTCACTACACTAATTTTTATGTACCGGGTATGCAAACCCTTAACATTATGGGTTTCAATGATGACATTTTAAGTGACACCAAATTCTCTTTACTTTCCCTTTCCTGTTTTTCATAAAATAGAATACATGCAAACATATCAAGAGTGTAACATCCCTTTGGCGAATGATATAAAATGGTGAGCTATAATATCTTACTGGTGCTCCTATTCAATTCTTATTTGGCATAAATTTATCTATCTTTGTTCACCTTATTTGGTCAGTGCTGCTGACATCAACAAATAATATGGCATCTGATGTAAAATGCACATGTTTTTAATCAATTTTTTTAACCTTTTTGATAATCTATACAAATAAAATCACACAGAAACTACTGAAAAATGATATTCAACATAATATTACTTTGATTTGTCACATAATTATCTAGGTGTTATTCTGTTGCTTTGAGCATTATTGAGGAGGAAATTAGTTCTACTTGTGATAAAAGAACTTAGATCCACCATTATACCTTGTTTCTCTAGAGGCAGTGCTGTTGTTAACTGTTCCTGGGTCTTCTTTTTGGCACTTATCTCTTGTTCTTCATCCCACTCAACATTGTCCCTAAATTATAAGTACAGTTGAACTTCGGTATCTTGAACACTGATATCTCAAATACCATGGATATGTCGACATGATTTGAAAGTCCCAACCCCTTCTTCTTTAAGGATTTTCTCCATTTCATCGAGTTCGAGATAACAAGGTTTGATTGTATATAGATGTACAAAAACGCTTGGATGAGTCACTGTTTTCAATCTGCTCTAACCAATAGTATATTCTTTAACTTTTTAAACTGCAGTCAATTAACATCTTGGAATGAAACATGTAGAGATCAATTCAAGTTTTCTTAAATAAATTGCAAGTGAATTTAAATACACTGTACTGCCCTGTAAACATTCCCCCCAAAAGTCAATTCACCTCACATGATAGTGGTTTATTTAATTTTATCATTTTAATTAAATCAAAATTGATTCCCAGTACAAAATCCATTTAAAAGACATCAAATACATTTAAAATTGAAAAACACATCAAATCATTTTGTAACCTAAAATAACATCACACGCATAAAAGTTTGCATAACATGTTATGCAAACTTTTAACATTATGGGTTTTGAAGATGCTTTGTAGGAGTAGAAGAATATGCAAAGATTACAATTTTTTGTAGAATCTTTGAGAAACAATACTTGAATTAATGCCCCAAGCTATAAAAGTTGAACCACTTAAAGGTTTTTCACTTTGAAGGAACTGTTTACATTAGCTTTTCTGCACCATGTCAATGTACAAATTTTCTGCAAATCAAAACCTAGTGCTCTTGCTATAAAATAAAAATCTAAATTAGCTAAGGCCATATTTAAAAAATTGTTTGGTTGCCCTCTCCTGCAAGACTGGTTAAAAATGGCCCAACTCAGAGCTTTTTTAACCTCCAGGAAACAATTTTTTTTATGCATTCCAGCAAATAAATTCTGAAAATTCAGCATTGATGTTAAAATATTCTGGAAAAAAAAAATTTCCAACTACTACCGACCCATTTTTGTCATCCTGAGTCAGGAGAGGGCAAACAAACGTTATTTTAAAGTTGGCCTTATCAATTAAATAATAAGATATCATTGATAATGAAGCAATGCCATTATACCATGCATTGTGCTGAAAGACATCTTCTGGATTTGTCAAGAATCGCCCCCCAAACTGTGGTCTCTTGTCCTCCTCATTCCCTGGACTTCCTGCTTGATCAGACATTGACTCAGCCATTGGTGGAGAACATACAAATTTAGGATGTGGTAAAATTGTTTGAATACAGGAATAAAGCCTTCTTCTCAGGATCTGTCCTTGTCTTATCAGCATCACCTACAATTATCAGTTCTTTGAACACATACAGCACAGTTTTTAAAAATGTTCAATCAATATGCCAATAATTACACTTTTCCAAATATTTATTTTAAAAAAATTTAAGCTTTTCATTCTTTTTATTAATTATAATTAATTTATTGAGTGTACATGAATATCTTGGGTTTGTAAATATGTGATTTTAAAAATATACAATTTAAAACGAAAGTAAAAGCCAAAAAAAAAAAAACAAAACAAAACAAAAAACAAGAAGTGTAAGATATTTTTCTTTAATAGGGTTTAAAAATACCCTTAAACAACTTGAATCAGGAATGCAAATACTCTATCATGGTTATCGATTAGCTGCAGCACTGTAGCTCTCTGGTTGAGAAAATTCGCACAGATAAAGCAGAAATAGTTTATCCATTGTTATCTGTCTGAATTTTCTGAACCAGAGAGCTACAGTTCTGTAGCTAGTAGAACTGCAGCTCTCTTGTTGAGAAAATTCAGACATATGAATCCCCATCTACTTCATAAATAAAATGATAAGTCCATATACCCGGCCTTTATATTATAAAATCAGCATTGATTTTAGACCTATACATGTATACCCATTTACTAGATGGGGAGTTCCAATCTTGGCAACCAATATTTAAACGCTTTATGCCAGGGCTGTTTGCAATGTAAAACAAGTAATAAGATTAGGAATAAAATCTATGGTTGATTCACAGATACCATACTTTTGGCAGGGGAATACATATAATACAAGAAATCAAATAATACCCAGTGTGCGACAAAAAGTGGTGCTGTGAATCGAAAGTTTTTCTAATGCTTGGATCTTTTGGATCTCTGGTTTATATGTCTGAATTTTCTCAGTCAGAGGGCTAAAGATCTGCAGCTTGGTTATCGACAACCAGCCAATGTCAATTTTAGCGAGAATGTATAAATCCAATGCAATAATGAAGACGATCAAAAACTATATAGAAGATAGAACGTTTAATCATTAAATTATTAATAATGCTAAATTGTCCTGGGGACCCGGTTTATGATAAAGACCTGTTTTACAATTATTTATAAAATGATATTGTTTTGGGGACCCGGTTTATGATATGGACCAATTCCGAGGAAGAGTGATTATCAGATTAATTGGAACCACAGGGGCTTGCTCCCGGCATGTAATAATTATTTATTAAAAAATCACATACGGTAATACTATAACGTGTTATTATAGTATTACCGTATATGATTTTTAATAAATAATTATTACACGCCGGGAGCAAGCCCCTGTGGTTGGAACCATTTTAACTAAGATAATACCCAAGTTCTTGTCTGTGCATCACTGGAGTCTGATGATAGTAATAGTGTCTGAGTCTCTTACTCCTAAATTAGGCTGGTTAAACACAATAAAATAATTTTACGATACTGTAAATACTTCTTGAATCAACGTCTTCTGGACTGAGGCACGTTTTGTAAACAAATTATTCAATGTCAACATAAGTCTTGAATCCGGTGATTTTGGGTTTCCTTAAAAAAAACGCTAAGGTGACAACAAGTTTAAAAGTAAAATCAACCACGTCACTAAATCCGGAAAACCCCATAAACCAAAAGCTGCAAATGTCAACAAAAAGTGAGAAAACATCTTTATCATGGGTTTACGTTAGAAAAGTACTGAAGAATATTGTATGAAAATAAGTACTCCATATTCAAACACAGTAATGGCATATTCAGGCTTAACTCAAACAGCTTGTAAACCTTACGTACATTAATTTAATGTAGCATATTTTAAAACATGAACTAGCTCATAAGCTATATGTAGTCTTAATAAAATATACTAAAAAGCTTGACTAAGCCATTTAAATGCAGTTTTGTCTTACATTAAGTAGTAAAGAAGTCACAGATATGTGCATGATGTGAATGCTAAAATTTGTTCAATAAAAAAAATCTTTAAATTAAAAAGGTGAAAAGTACATTATTGTGACAATTTTAAATTGAAATGCTAAAGAGTTCTGGTTGTTTTCACTGATTATATATGTGTCTGCATGGTTCAGACACAAAGGATTTGCATCTTTGGGAAACAAATGGATCAAAATATTACTTTACATTATACTGCGGTGTGCCTGAGGAGAGGCAGGGATAAGAATGATGTTGCTAATGACTATTAATTGATTATCACCTGTTAGGACATTTTCACTGTATTAAGATTTTTGGGTGTCACGGACAACAATGAGATAACATAAGCCTCATCTCTTAATTATAGGAAACATATGCACCACTTTAAATTTTACAAATTTTACCCAACTTTTTCTATGCTACATGCATTGCAATTCTTGCTCTCTTCCTAAGTAAACAGCTGCATGCACATAATTAAGTGTGCATCAACATTGTAATATTGCACAGTGACACATTTTACCAAATGTCCAAATGATCATTAATGTCCTGTCAGGGATTAGTTGATCCATTTTGTTACAGGGTCTTGTATGTACCCTTTCAATTTGGAATTTACTGGAAAAAAGTGCCAAAATATTTGGAAATATTGATGATTTATATATGTCTTATTGTAGAATAAACACATTTGAATTGTAGGCTTATCCTCTTTTCCCATCTTAAATGAGTCATTATAATTATGATCTCAAAATTCAAGAATTTGATAAGAAAAAGTAATGACAAATTGAATTTTCTTTGTTGAGAATTGGGAATTTTTACCTTAATATTAGGGAGGGCACCAGGGAGTCAATTTTCAATTGGGTCTGGGTCCTTTACTGACTTGCATGCAGTGGATATTATTTTTAAGCCCCGACTGTGATACTATTAACCAGAAATGCTTGGCTTCCATCAAAATTCTATTAAAAAAGTAAGTTTTTGATCTTGATTTAGTTTTATCTCACTTGAATTAGTTAAAATCATTTAAATGCTTCATTTACTAGCTACTGGTATTGAAAAATTATACTATACCAATTAAGAAATACAACAATAAACAAGCAGATAAGTCTATCTGCTCTAAAAAAAAATGTTCTTATAAACTGCCTCCTGCTTGCAAAGGATTTAGATCTAGGTCTTTTGCACACAAGTCTAAATTTGTGGAACAATTTGACAATACTTTCTGCCATCACAGTATGAATAAATTTATTTAAAAAAAAACAAAATAAAAAATTGGATACTAATTTAGGTAAACATGGAAAGTCACTGTCAGGTAGCTAGCCTTCATTATGCATTGTTATGTGTGACTGTTTATAATTAACCGTGGTCATGCAAAATAATATGACTTTTAGATGCATTGAAATTAATCTATATTCAAGTCAGGAAATTGAATTGTTTAATTCAACTTTTTTTGATCAGTTATTAGAGAGCTTGATCGTTTTGATTTTGTGTTGAAAGTGAATCATGTTTTGTAAACTTTTTAGCATAATTATATACAGACATGCAGTTTGATTTCCAATATGGATACCCAAATATGTGTGAAAAATAATTATACCGGTGGGGAGAAAAAATCTGGCATTTGTTTTTGATTCTGATCAGGAAACGACAGATCAGAAACAAGCAACGAAACAAACTGAAATGGGGGCTGGTAATACAATACCTCGTAATTTCCAAAGTGAACTCAGAACATGCATGCATGATTTTTATTAGTTAACTACTAAAACACTTTTTTGCAATTCATTTCAAAAATGCAAATTTTGATTACTAATACAAAAAAATTAATTTCTTCATTTTTTTTTTTTCAGAATACAAGCTTGAGAGGAAAACAAAGATCTATGTGTTTATCAGCCATTTTATGTCAGCATGGGTATGTATTGTTCTTTCTCTGTCCTTCTACCTAATTTCCTCCTTCACTTCTGTTTCTCTGTGATCTGAATACAGGAGTTTGACATTCATGGACTGTATTTACAGGGAGACCGTATGTGGTCCTTTGGAGTGGGGCTTTTCCTCATCAGTTTGGCCCCAGACTCTCTTCAATTGCCTGCAGTCTATGGATTCTCCTCAGGAGGGGCCACGCTCCTCTTTGCAGGGCTTGTGGGATACTGGGTTGACAACACCCCTCGACTTTCAGGTACATGTAATATACCGGTACTACAAACAAAGATGAAGATATTTCTGTGAAATAATGAAAAGTAACCATATTTGAATGCACACCTTCCACTGAAGTGATATACGAAGTTTTTATCATGTGTGATTTGTGATTTTCCTACAGTCAATATTGGCCCTTTCTGATTGCCAAAAATTAAAGAATTTTTCCCAGTGGGGCCTGTACTTTTCTCCCCCAAAACTTTTTTGAAAATGGAAAGGTCAATATGATTTACAGATATTTTTGATCATTTTAAAGTATTAAAGAAATGCATTACAAAAGATTGCCATGATTTAAAATAAAGAAATCAAATTTTATGCATTTCTTGATTGATATAATTTATTTAGCCTGTAGCTGGGGTATTGGTATTTTTCCCAATTTCTCCAAAATTTTGACAATTCTTCCCAAATAAAAAGCCACACCCAGGCACCTTTTTAGAAAAGTTAAAAAGTCACTGATTGATTTTTATTTTTTCTATTTGGGCACAAATTCCACTTAATCTCATTATATTTTATGATGTTTACATTACTGGTCTTCTCCATAGCGGCTAGAGTTTCCCTGGTGATACAAAACCTCCTGGTTGTGTTGTGTGCTTCAGTGGTTTTCTGTGTGTTCTTCTTTGGACTAGACAAAGAAAATGCTCCAGTCTCCGAAGTCTTGATTCATGTAAGATTTCTAGTTGGAAAAGGGTGTTTAAAAGTCTGAGCTTTTAAAAGGTTTGCTGAAAAATGTATTTTTATGTAAAATTGGGTAAAAATGATGCTAGTTGTTATTTGGAATGATTCTATTTTAGCGAGACAATGGTAACAAATCAGTTTGCATGCTATATAATAGATATAATATTATCCTCTATATGAAGAGAAATTTGAGATACTTGCAATAATTTACAAAAAAAAATTTTCCCCTTAAAATCTTGAAGAATTTCCTATAAAATGAATTTTGTTATGAATAAATTTTAATACATGTAGTTTAGTGATCCATTCATTTCTAAAAATGATTCCTTTGTAGGGTAGCAGGGGGGTCATTATTGTGTTGTCCATTCTGGCGGGCTTGGCCAGTATTGCTAGGAAGATTGCCATTGAGAAGGATTGGGTTGTGGAAATCTGTGGCAGAGACAAAGACATGCTGGCCTGTAAGTCTAAATACATACATGTATAATAAAATTTATTGGAAGTAATTAGATATTTCTCTTTGATGCTACCTAGTGCTCCATGTTGCTCTATGTTGTAATGCCTGCAAATGAATTTCGATGAAAGGGGGGGGGGGTGTAGATAGAAATCACTACTTTCTCCGTCTTTCTGTTGATGGGACCAGGATATATCAGTGGAATATTTCTATGTTGAACATTTAACACTACATATTGAGGGTAAGTAACACAATAAAGTCAGAAGTCTTTTGCCTTGATAATCCCTTGTGTACGAATATACTTTTGTGCAGTTCATTATTCTATTCAGTTACTTTAATACATGTATATCACAGCAATGATCCAACTATATTTTTGCCACTGATTCTCATATGATTAACATGTGAATATCCATTTTTTCATGATATACATGTACTACATGAAAATTCAAAAAATTATCCGAAAAAAGAATTGGTATTTCATATTAAAACATGCACATTTTTTGTGGCATTTTGAGGTTTATGAGTCATTATTCCTCATTGGACAGGGAGTCAATTAATGTAGATGAAATATTTGTCATTTAAAAGCATTGCTAAATCATTTGATTACAATAGGTTTACAGTGTATATATATCGGTCAAGTAATTTTGAATATAGAGCTGATTTTTATACCCCCGCTCCGAAGGAGAGGGGGGTATACTGTTTTACCCTTGTGTGTCTGTCTGTCTGTCTGTCTGTCTGTCCGTCTGTCTGTCTGTCCGTAACAAACTTTGGTTGCAGTTTTCTCAGCAACTACTCATCAGAGGTGCTTGAAATTTTAACACACTCTTTGTTTAGGCATGCCATATGGTGGGATTCATTTTTGTATGAATTCGATGTCAACTTCCTGTTTATCCGTGCGTTTGTCCATACCATACATAAAAAAATTTGGTCGTAGTTTTCTCAGCAACTACTCATCGCAGATGCTTGAAATTTTAGCACAATCTTTGTTTAGGCATGCCATATGGTGGGATTCATTTTTGTACGAATACGATGTCAACTTCCTGTTTATCCGTGCGTCTGTCCGTATCACACATAACAAACTTTGGTCGCAGTTTTCTAAGCAACTACTCATCACAGGTGCTTGAAATTTTAACACACTCTTTGTTTAGGCATGCCATATGGTGGGATTCATTTTTGTACGAATCCGATGTCAACTTCCTGTTTATCCGTGCGTCTGTCCGTACCATACATAACAAATTTTGGTCGTAGTTTTCTCAGCAACTACTCATTGCAGATGCTTGAAATTTTAGCTCAATCTTTGTTTAGGCATGCCATATAATAGGATTCATTTTTGGAACAAATCCGATGTCAACTTCCTGTTTATCCGTGCGTCTGTCCGTACCATACATAATAAATTTTGGTCGTAGTTTTCTCAGCAACTACTCATCGCAGATGCTTGAAATTTTTTCTTTGTTTAGGCATGCCATATGTTGGGATTCAGTTTTTACAAATCCGATGTCAATTTCCTGATTATCACTGTGTTTGTCCATAACTGAACTTGTGTATTCACATCAGAGCGGGGGTATTATTAGTGGGCATTGGCTCACAGACTTCTTGTTTTTTCTTTGCAGCAATGACCTCAAAACTAAGGGCCATTGACCTCTGCACCCAGATTTTGGCTCCTGTTCTTACAGGTCAGGTCATGACCTGGTTAGGGATCCAGTATGGAGCTGTTTTGATTGGTGTTTGGAATCTAGTGTCTGTGTTTGTGGAATATTATCTGATTCTTAAAGTTTACCAAGAAGTTCCTGCTCTGAAAAGCAAAATGTACAAGAAAAAGGCAGACAAAGATGGTAAGTGCTCAGACCTTATGATGTAGGTATTTTTCTTAATTTTTTTTGTCTCCTGCTTTCACTGAAAGTGGGGATATGAATTTGGGTTTGTCTGTCCATCTTCCATCTGTCTTTTTTGCCATATGCACAAACTGGATGCCCCGAACGGGGGTCATCTTCAATTGATTTTCTACCCTCTTTATATTGAACTACCCATCTTGCTATTGCTCGATATGAAAGAGCATGCTCTCTATATACTACATCTAAATCAACTTTTATTTCTGTTGCCGTAAAGCCAAGCAATGAGCGAATTTTGCAATACGCTCTTTGCTTAACAAAAAAATTGTTCTCCTTATCAGTCATTTTTACACCCAGTATACAGAGTATACCTAATTATGATGTCATTTTAGCAGACCTATACGTCATTTTGAATGTAAAATGACGTCACTACTAATGCATATTTGCCTAAGCTTTACAGTGGTATCAGAGTCATTTTAATCTGTAACGTAGTTAAAATTTTATATACCAGTTGCCAGAACTTTTGAAATGCCCCTCGTATCTAGCCGTTTGTCTGGTGTAACACTTTAGTTTTCAGACGATATTACAAGCAGGATTTGAGCTTTTGCAATGAAATTTTGTACCAAAATAGAAGACCCCTATTGATTTCGAAGTCCAAGGTCAAGGTCATAAATTCATGCATTCTGTTTGTGTATAACACTTCCATTTCCAAGCGATATCTTTAAAAACCTTTGAGCTTTTGCAATGAATATTATATCATAATCCCCATCGCCTAAGATTTTGAGGTTAAAAGGTCAAATGTCAATGTCAGAAATATATATTGCATATTTAGTTTTCAAATGACAATTTTACTTTTCTGGAAGCTTTTGCAATGAAATTTAGGTTTTGAATTCTTTAACTTTAAAAAGTCTCCTAATGACTTTAAGGTCAAAAGCTGAAAGATCAAGGTTGACCTCTTTTCTTTCTCTATCTGCAAAATGTTTCCAGTTCTTCCACCCTCTTCTTTTATCCTGAAGCGGAGGACACAAATCCTCTGAATTAGCTTGTTATACTATAGGTCTGTATTTATATAGTAAAGGGAGGTTTTAAAAATATTATATGTAATAGCAGAGGCCACCTTGTACAATAGGGAAAAATTTGAACATCTTATTCATTTAAGAAATGAATTTAATTTTTGAAGATTCATGAGGACATGAACTACGACGCTTCACGCCGGCATATTTCATGAAGCACGTTAGCGCTTCATGATAAATATGCCGGCATGAAGCGTTGTAGTTCATGTACCTCATGAATTTTCAAAAATTAAATTCATTTCTTATATTTACATTATTTTTCTGATGATTAGCAATAAATAACACCATTCAACTGTCATTTTTAAAGCAAAACAGTTTGCACTATAGTTTTGACATCAAGTAAGGTATTATGACGTAATAATGGAGATATTCATGCCCATCTATGGTAGTTCATGAGAAAATGAACTGTATTCTATTTTGTAAAGAATCATAGGGGAAATTTATTGGAAATGTAAATATAACATTTTGTTTTACAACATAGAAATATTTTGTATTTGTAAATGCAGTAGCTGAAATAACACAACCAGTCCAAAATGAGGAAGAAAAAGATATAACTGCTGAAGAGGATGTAAACATTGTCTGTGAAAAGACAATAGAAAATTCTGCCTTCCCAGAAGAAGCTACTACAGAATCAGCAAAAGATGAAGATACCCAAATCAAATCTATTGAAGCCTCTGCAACTCCAGAAAAGAAGATTCAAAAAGCAACAGAGCTGACAGGTTGTGCATGGTTCTTGAATAAGATGTTCTACAGTTTTATAACCCTGTATAGGGGTTACAGGACATATTTTAAATATGAAGTTGCCCTCGCTGGACTTGGACTCTCCTTTTTGTATATGACTGTCCTGGGCTTTGACAGTATTACTATAGGTATGGATATCATTATGCATCAAAAGCTTTTACACCTAAGATCTTATTATGAAAAGTTTTATCATGTACCTGTACATGTGTTTATGTATTAGTACCTACATGGTAAAACTTCAGCTATAATTGAATGTATGAATGCAAAACTAATTTTACAGTCTCATAAATGCATCATTGTGTCTTTTTTTACCCCGCTTTCATTGAAAGTGGGTAATATTAATTTGGGTCTGTTCATCTGTACATTCATTCATCTAAGTGTCTGTCTTTAATGCTCTCTGTAACACTTTTGTTTCTAGATGATAATTCGAAGAGCCTTTGAGCTATCATAAAGAAATTTTGTCACTTCTTATGACCGAAACAAGACCCTATTGATTTTTTAGGTCAAAAAATCAAAGATCAAGGTGTTTTTAGACTATGCCTATCCCCAGGGTCTCTCTGAGGTTGTAACTTTAAATGTGTTTCTTTTAGGCTTTGCTTATTTCCAGGATCTCCCCGAGGCTGTAATTAGGGCCCCGCAAGGATTTGCGGGTGCCCTAAAGTAATCACTCTGTCTGTCTGTCCGTCTGTCTTTCCGTCTGTCATTCTTCCGTCCACAAATTTTGTTTTTTTCCAATAACTTTTTTTAGGGTTGACCAATTAAGTTCAAATTTGGTATGTTGGTTGAATAGGCAGTAAAACATATTTTGATGCTAAGTTTGGTTCTCTATGTCATCCGGTTTGGAGCTGGGGTGGTGGGGTATATTCCTTAACTTTATATAAGAGTGAATGGGCAAAGAGAGATAACTGCTGAGAATGTTCCTATTGTAAACTATGAAAGGCAGCAATGAGTCTCTTGGGATTAATTAACTTTCCTCTTGAAGAAAATCCAAAGCATTTATCTTTATCTGCCACATTGAGATTAATTAACACTTCTGTCTGCAAATGAAGTTTGTTTTGAAGTTAAGGTTAATTCTGAATGATATATACATTCTCTGAAATGTGGATTTAAATAATGTTCATTCTTTATTTTGGTAAAATACACAATAAGTTATGATTTAAATGAATTCTAAAAACAAGATATAGATAAAGATATCGTTTTTATTATTTTTTATTTTTTATTTTTTTTATTTTTTTCTGCCTTACGTAAGTAAAAGAATACTAATTAGGGCCCAGCTCTGCGGGTGCCCTATAGTGATCAGTCTGTCCGTCCGTCCGTCTGTCCATCTGAGATCTCTTGTCCGGAGCATATCTTCTCTCTCCTTGGCCCAATCTGGCTCATACTTCACCCACAGAGTGTCTTTGGGTAAAGGGTGTGCAGTGACCTTGAACCATGTTTCTAGGTCTAAGGTCAAGGTCATAGAAGAATTATATGAAAAATCCTTGTCCGGAGCATACCTTCTCTCCTCTTGATCCAATGTGGCTCATACTTCACTCACAGAGTGCCACTGGTCAGTGGATGTGCAGTGACCTTGAACAAAGTTTTTAGGTCAAGGGTCAAGGTCAAAAAAGCCTCTCTGTTTAAATTTTTGTCCAGAGCATATTTTCTTTCTCCTTGGCCCAATCTGTCTCATACTTCACCCACAGAGTGCCTTTGGGTAAAGGGTTTGCAGTGACCTTGAACCATGTTTCTAGGTCTAAGGTTAAGGTCATAGCAGAATTATATGGAAAGTCCTTGTCCAGAGCATAACTTCTCTCCCCTTGGTCCAATGTGGCTCATACTTCACTCACAGAGTGCCACTTGTCAGTGAATGTGCAGTGACCTTGAATGAAGTTTCTAGGTCAAGGGTCAATTTCAAAAATAGCCTTTCTGTTTAAAATCTTTGTTCGGTTCATAATTTCTTTCCCTTAAGTCCAGTCAGCCTCAAACCTTACCAATTGACTTAGGATACAGATCATTTGTGATTTTCCTTCTGTATTTCTGATAGAGGATATGCAACAATTTTCATAAAGGATATGCAGCATTCATGATTTTTGTGTCGTTTTTTGATGGAAGGTGTTGAGCACTCGTGATTTTCGTGCCATTTTTTATTATAACGAGGATAACATAGAAGCCTTTTAGACTCAAACAACACATCCCTTAATAGTACACAAATGTTCCTCTTCAAAATAAACCCTTTACAGCTACCTTACATTTCCATGTTCATTGCTGAAATCGGGGCCCTCTGAGATTGCCACCATCTCAATGATATCTAGTTATTTTAACAGGTATTCAGATAATAACCTCATTCTATCATTGCTGAAAAAGTTCTTATTGTAAACTTAGAAGAAAAGGTTGAGAGAGCAGTACAATTAATCCTGTGGGTTTGATTATCTTGCTGGTTTGCAGAATATTTTAGAGGGTTATCTTTCTGTCACTTTAAGATTAATTAACACCTTTGCCTGCAACTGATATTTGTTTTGAAGTTAAGGTCAAGCCTGGATGATATTTGCATTCACTGAAGGCTGGTATTTTAGAAAACACATGCTTCATTCATTTTTAAATATACATTTAATTGAGTTATTATAGATATGATGTTTTTTACTGCCTTATGTAAATACAAGGATACTATTTACAGATTGTTGGATATTTAGCAGTTGCTGTTGCTTATTCTTTATATATTTTGAAATTTTTTGGAATAAGTAAAATTCTCATACCCTAATCTGCACCCTTATATTTCTAACCCTCGGCGGGGCCCTTGCTGACTGGTCAGATTTCTAGTTTTATTTGTGTTTTTTTAGGCATGCCTATTCCCATGGTCTAGGCTATGCCTATTCCCAGGGTCTCTCTGAGGCTGTTATTTTATTTTTGTTTCATTTAGACTATGCCTATTCCCAGGGACTCTCAGAATCTGTAACTCTATATGTGTTTTTTAGGCTTTGCCTATTCCCAGAGTCTCTCTGAGGCTGTAATATTATTGTGTTTTTTTAGGCTATGCATATTCCCAAGGTCTCTCTGAGGCTGTAATACATGTATTATTTGTGTTTTTTTAGGCTATGCCTATTCCCAGGGTCTCTCTGAGGCTATTTTGGGAGGACTGCAGGCAGGAGGTGCTCTGGTAGGAATCCTGGGAGCATTTGCCTATCCTGTGATCCGGAAGATTGTCAGTCTTGAGAGGACTGGTTTGTTTGGACTAGGTTCTCAAATTCTGTGTTTGTGTTTTTGTGTGGCCTCTGTATGGACCCCTGGCAGTCCTTTTGATCTATTAGGCACTCCAAAGACCTCAGTTAACAACATACTTGATGTAAAGTGCCAGAATGGATCTTATGTGTACACTACCAATGTGACTTTATCTCCAAGTGATATATCTTCGATTTCAATAAATAATTCTTCTTTTCCTTCTGGCATGCAATGTAATGAGACCACTAGTTCATCAGAGGCGTCACCTGACATATCAATATGGCTACTAATGGTTGGAATCATCACAGCTAGATTTGGTATGTTTTTCTTGTTTGTTGTATACATATATTGGTTTTTACTTTTTAAGACTCGTTTATGTCAATTTGTAGAAGTATATTTACTGTAAGCCATTTTATTTTCTTCAAAGAAAATATGCAGGGTTTGCAACTGACAATTTGTGGATATTAATTTGCACATTGAATAAATGAATGACTTAAAAACATGCATTATTAAAAAATGGCTCAATAATGAAAATTAATTTTAAACCTTTAAATGCAAGTGGTCTGATAAATTGCAAAATAAGAATTGGTTTACATAATATATACATTCTTAAGCCTGCATCCACAGAAATGTGTTCATCACATATTGTTTTATGTACTCTATATTACTCTGTGTAAGAAACCTGTATGTTTTTTTTCCAATTTCAGGTCTTTGGGTTTCAGACCTCACAATCACACAGCTTTTTCTACAGACTGTGGATGAGACAGAGCGAGGCATTGTCAACTCCATGCAGAACTCCATGAACAAACTCATGGATATGCTGAAGTTTATCATGGTTATAGTGGCACCATACCCCCATCAGTTTGGTTTGCTGACCCTCATTTCATTTTCCTTTATCTGTATGGCCTGGGTTCTGTATGCCGTGTACTGCCGTCGAGTTAGAGGGCATTTCTTTCACTTTGAGAAAGTGACTCAGTGTTTGGATCATCAAAATAATAATCAGACATCACAACACACATCAAACACATAAACTAGTCAGGGAGTGTGAAAGATGATTTCTGTAAATTCACAAAAAAGCACAAAACTAATTTACTTAAGCATTGAATTCTTATTTTGTGGATGACCTGGCTGTGCCAACAAATTGAATACCGCACTTTAGCGCGGTATGATAATTTGTCGGTACGGCCAGGTGTGTTAAAGGACCGATGACATCCAAAAATAAGAATCCAATGCTTATATTTACATTCTCTAATTTTCTCTCTTCATAATTGTTTATTTTGTTTATCTTTATTATGAATTTAGTGCCTTTCAGAACTGATGTGCTTAATAGCTGAAGAGCCATTTGTGACGTTGGAAAGTTAAATAGTGCAAATGAACATGAGAGAGAAAAAAAAGGGCAAATTAATTTTAAATGCACAGTAGTTGTATTTTACGTTAATTTAACAGGGTAGTTGTTTTTTTTAAATTAAATTGAGTCAAAACAATATACATTTTGGTGTTCCTAGATATTGAAAATGCACATAGTTCCTGCTGTGTATTCAACCGCGTTGTGACAAGATTTCACGTGTGTTGTAGAGATTTGAAAGTCGTAGATTTCCAATGGATTTCATAAAGAAAATTGCACTGAATGTAAATATAGTGATTTAGTTTCATAATGTTAAGAATTTTATATTATGATGATAGTTTTACTTGGTAGTTGTGATCTTATTAGAGCCCTGCATCTCTAATGCATGTGCCCTATAGTAATCACTTTGCCTGCCCTGTCAACATCTTGAAGGGAAGTGTCAAAAAGTCAAGGTTATTTATGTTTTGAATGCATAAGGCAACAACACAAGTGCTTTTAATGCAAATTTATATTTCTTACACAAGGACCAGTTGATTAGAGGGACACTCCAATATATTTTGAGATTTCTCAAAAGGTCAGGTTCAAGAGGTTGAAAGTTAATTGATATATATAATTATGTGTTTCACTTCACAGATAAGAGTATGGCTAAGGAAGATTTTATTTATTATAGGTTAAAGGTTCAAAGGTCTGTGTCAACACTTTTAAATGATATGAACAATATTTCTTCACGTAATAACTTCATAATTCCTTTGTGAGAGGGGGCGGCTGAACAAGAACAACTACAATATGTTTATTTTCATAATGTGTATATGAGGTACTGAAGATTCTTAATTTTCAACTCAAAACACCTGGGGGTAGGGTGGGGCACAATATGGGATTAAGTTTCGCATGGAACTATATAAGAAACAAATTTTGAAAATCTTCTCAAGAAACACAGTGGAACTATTTTAACTTTGTAAGCATTCCAGAGTTGTGTGGATTTAATTTTTTTTCAAATTATGTATCCTGGGTGAAGAGTTGCCTAAAATCGGGATCAAGTTTTACATAATGCATGTATGCAATAAAAAAAATTTATTCTCCATAACTGCAAGGTCATGTTAATAATATTGACATTGGTATATACACATGGTGTGTGGATTCAGAGACCCAATAGAGCTAGGTTGGGGTCATAATATGGGGTCATGATTTCTCATGGAAATATAGAATTATTTTAAATCTGATGAAGAAGAGCAGGGTTAAAGTAAATCAGGTGAGCTTTGTGGCCCATGGGCCTCATTTTTTTTTTTTAAAGCTCTTCTGAGCCAAAGGCTCAAAGAGCTAATACTATGGCCACTTCTGCAGTGTGCATAAACTTTTTAAAATATGGACCATAACTCAAGAACCCCTTGGCCAATTATTTTCAAATATGTCACAGGGTATCGTTGGCCCAAGGGCTCCCGTTTATACTAAAACTAGGGTTGTGACTAAGGCCTTAAATAAGGGGCGATAATTAGGAAAATAGAAACAAAAGTACTGATTGCTAAAAAATCTTCTTCTCAAGAACCACTGGGCAGATTATCACCAAACTTGCACAAAAGGATGAGGATACATTGTAGATTAAAATTTGCATGGGGACTTACCCTGGGGCAAAGGACATAGTCTCAGGGTCACTTCAAAGTTGACCAAAAATTACTTTTTATTAAAATGTTGATATTTTGCTTACTATAAGGACTAGGATCATCAAATCTTGTCAGTTGATGCATCTAGGGACCTCATATCATGTTGACTCAAAAGTAGGTCACGGTGACCTACTTTTTAAATTTTGCAGCCATTCTTTTTCAAAATGATTTAGAGGCATATTTTGAACAATTTAGGGCCTATGATCATCAAACTTTGTCAGTTGATGTATCTTAGGTCCTCGGAGTACATCGACTAAAAAGTAGGTCACCTTGACCTACTTTTTGAATTTAATGGCTAATCTTTTTCAAATCAATTAAGGTCATTAATTCGAATACTGAGAGGTTTAGAATCATTAAATCTCGTAAGATAATGCATTATGGGGCCATAAAACATATTTATTAAAAAGTAGGTCACAGTGATCTACTTTCTGAACTTTGCAGGCATTTGATTTCAAAGCATTTTAGAGGCATAATTTGGACATTTTAAGGCCTATGATCATAAAACTTTGTCAGTTGAAGCATATTGGGTTCCAAAAAAACGTCAACTGCAAAGTAGGTCACCGTGACCTACTTTTCAATTTATATGACTATAATTAAATATTTCAGGTACTAATTGGCTTAGAATCATCAAACTTTGTCAGTTGATGCAACTTGGGTCTTTGGAAGAGGTCGACTAAAAAGTAGGTCACCATGACCTACTTTTGAAAATTTTTGGCTTTAATTAAATATTTCAGGTACTAATTGGCTTAGAATCATCAAAATTTGTCAGTTGATGTTTCTTGGGTCCTCGAAGTAGGTCGACTGAAAAGTAGGTCACTGTGAACTACTTTTTCAATTTATATGACTATAATTAAATATTTCGGGTAATAATTGGCTCAGAATCATCAAACTTTGTCAGTTGATGCATCTTGGGTCCTTGGAGTAAGACAACTGAAAAGTAGGTCACCCTGACCTACTTTTGAAATTTTATGACTTTAATTAAATATTTCTGGTACTAATTGGCTTAGATTCATCAAAATTTGTCAGTTGATGTTTCTTGGGTCCTCGGAGTAGGTCTACTGAAAAGTAGGTCACTGTGACCTACTTTTCAATTTATATGACTATAATTAAATATTTCGGGTAATAATTGGCTTAGAATTATCAAACTTTGTCAGTTGATGCATCTTGGGTCCTTGGAGTAGGTCGACTGAGAAGTAGGTCACCTGACCTACTATTGAAATTTTATGGCTTTAATTAAATATTTCTGGTACTAATTGGCTTAGATTCATCAAAATTTCTCAGTTGATGCATCTTGGGTCTTCAGAGTAGGTCGACTGAAAAGTAGGTCACTGTGACCTACTTTTGAAAATTTATGGCTTTAATTAAATATTTCTGGTACTAATTGGCTTAGAATCATCAAAATTTGTCAGTTGATGTGTCTTGGGTCTTCGGAGGTCACCATGACCTACTTTGGAAAATTTATGGCTTTAATTAAATATTTTCAGGTACTAATTGGCTTAAAATCATCAAACTTTGTCAGTTGATGCATTTTGGGTCTGCAGAGTTAGTCGACTGAAAAGGAGGTCACTATGACCTATTTTGAAATTTTATGGCTTTATTTAAATATATCAGGTACTTATTGGATTAGAATCATCAAACTTTGTCAGTTGATGCATCTTTTGTCCTCAAAGTATGTAATCTGAAAAGTAGGTCACTGTGACCTTCTTTTGAAATTTTATGGTTATAATTTTAAAAATATTTTAGGTATTGATTGGCTTAGAATCATCAAACTTAGTTGATGCATCTTGGGTCCTCAGAGAATGACAAGTGATAAGTAGGTCACCATGACCAACTCTCAGGTCCTAAATGGCTTAGAATCATCTTGGGTTCAGAGTGTTTCATCTAAAACGTAGGTCATGATGACCTACCTTTGGAATTTCAAGGGTTTATCTAAATATACAGGATACTTAGAGACTTTAAATAGAAGTGATAGGTTGTACAGTTTATCAGAAGAGCGACTCAAGGCCCTTGGGCCTCTTGTTTTTTTTTTTAATTATTGTTTTGACAATTTTACTTAATATAAGTTTTTATCAGGTTTTACTTTGATTAGTCATTTCAGTCATGGTAATTGTTGCCAAACGATGTATCCTTTTAAATTTTAATAGATGGAAAACTTTTAAAATTGGTAGATATTTAATTTCTTTTAGCAATTTTAAGGCATCCTCACAATGTCAAGGTTTTGTGATTTCGGAACTCCACACAAACCCTTGACATAAGTCTTTATTTAAAAGTTACTATTTCATTTGTTCCTGGTTTGACTCGTCTTTAAAATGGAAAGGTCAATATTGTAGGATTTGTGACTAGTTACTTTAAATAAATCATTGGGGATTAATTTTTTGAGGATTGTCCTCGATCCTTACAATCACAAAAGATATGCTCTGAAGTTGGGCAAGTTGATAATGATGAATTTGAAAAATATATTCTCATTGGTTAGTTTATAATTACCCATTACGTCATGTGTAACTCCCAACTTTTAGGTAAGGACTTATGTCAAGGGTTTGTGTGGAGTTAGGAAATCACAAAACCTTGTCATTGTGAGGATAATTTTAAGGAAGATGCCAAGTTTACCGTTGAATTTAGAAGATGCCAATTTAGTTGAATAAATCAAATATAAAGGCATAGTTTACATTAACTGCTTATTGAAAGTACATCATGCGTGGATCTAGAGTGGATCTAGAAGGGGGGGGGGGGGTCCTGTACATGTATAACACTATTATGTATATTGCATATTTAAATAAATGATTGACATTGTCAAATTTGGACTTTGAACATTAAATTTTGTCAGTTTTACCTATTTGCAACTGTCCAATTTAGATGCTAGTAACAGTATTTTTTCAGAAGTTTATTGATATGACCTCTTTGTTAAACTTTGTGATTCTTGATCTGAGTAAAAGTATCAATGAGTCATAAAATTCTTAAAAGTTTTCCTTGTTTTAGTTACTGAATAGATACCGGTACGTGAATGTCCAATTCTTTTAATTATTAGATGTGTAGTATATTGTACAATCACTTTACATAAATTAAAGCCTTCACCATCTACATACATGTACATGAGTAAAGTATTTTGTACAAATAAAATGAATATTTCTTTGTTTTTAACCAGCCCAGTGTCTTTAGACACAAATATTGAAAAAAAATGATTTTTTTTAAAGTGTTAATATGCAGTTTAATTATTATTATTATGAGATCAAGTTGCGGGGGCAATATTGACCATAGAATGCCAGATTTATAGCTTCTGCAAACAGAGGACTTTAGTTTGATGGATTTTACAGGAGTGTGTTACCCAGAATGTCTTGTACATGTATGTACCAGTATGTCTGTCCAACAGGTTTTCTGTCCATCCTGCTCCTTATTCAGCTATAGTTTTGTAATGGAGAAACAAAGGCACAAAGTTTGCTTATGACAGGTGTGTTACAAGCCTGAACCAAAATATTAGTACAGTTGAACTTTGCTATCTCAAACATAGATATCTCAGACACCATGATTTCAGAGAATAGTCTGTATGCTGAATTGAATGTGCATACTATTTTGTAGTCCATCTTCAGTATACAGCTACAGCCTCATCAGAGATATCTTGACAAACTGTAGCCAGTTGTTTCAATATAAAGATTCATAATTTTCTTACATACTGATTAAATGGACAACATTGAACCTCTATTGTTGCCCCTTAGCCACAAAACAAATCTAATATGACAAGTGATACTTTATATTTCTTAAATCAGAGTCTTATTTTAACAATTGTGATAAAAAGAAAACAAAATCTTAATCACATATTAAAATATTATCACAGTTTAACAATAATATATAAAACAATAACAGAGATCAAACTGAAAATCATATTTGTATTTATGATCCGACCCATAAAAATTTGTCTTGTCACTAAAAACATAGTCACCATTGCAAGTCTTGTACAGCAATGGAATAATTGAAGAAGCACCAATTGCAGTTCTTGTCACAGTGGAAGAATAAATTTTTCTGATCAAAGAAACATTTACTGTAATTTCAAAAAACATTTCATCAGATGTCTTTGGGTACTTTCTATAAACATTTGACTTCTACATGTGATGCTGATGAAGCACAGCTATATGTATTTAATTTTCAAATTAAGTAGAACAATAACTTTTTCCCTTCTAAATAAAGTGATCACAGACAATTTGAGCTCATGATTAATTTAAAAATATTTCCAGTGATCCACTTGAAGAAGGATTTGTGAAATGCATAGAATTCCTGTAAAAAATCTCTCATCTAGTACTGTACTTGATTGTCCAATCATCTTGATAAAGCTGATATTTTTTCCTCCTCACATTTTTGACTTGGTTAACCAGTCAAAATCCTACACAGAAACAAACAGAAAGAATTGATGACATGAAAAATTGATGTGGATTTTGGCAAAAACAAAGGAGATTTTTACACAAATTGAAAACTTTTAGAGATTATCTCTGAACAATGAAATGTCAGGAAAATTAGTACATTGAATTCATATATTATTAACAACCATAGCTTTTTCAAACTTTGATACAACAATTTAAATGTCACAGAGTAAGATGGCATGTAGGAGTTTTAAAAGTTGGAAAAAGTACATGTATTCCTTAAATATTTCAGAGAAAAATTTCTGGAGAGAAAAAAAGGCAGGACAAGCTGTTTACAGTACCCCTACCCCTTTCTAAATTTGCAGGTATACAAAAAAGACTTATCAGAGATAACATCTTTTATCCAATTTGAGGTAAAAATTGATACAATCTTGAAAAACAGGGATGCCAAGAACAGATTTCCATCATCTATGAGTAGGCAAAAAAGTTTTCTTTGTCATATACACTTGAATGTTTATGTACATGTTTAATGATGCACGGAATGAAAAATCATGCATTTATTATTTGAAAATTATTTTACATTTGAACTACAATTGTCTCATCACAGTTTAGAGACACACTATTGTAATATTTCTCATCTTCAGCATTTTCAATTTGAATAACAATATTATTAAACAACAATTCAATTATTCATTATCAATTATATTCAACTTTCACTGAAAGCTGTTTAGCTCACCTGAGTTTTTCTAGAAGACACAGGATGCTACTCACCTGAATTTTTACTAATAAACAAAGGATGATGTTTAGCTCACCTGAGTTTCTCTAGTAGAGGATACTATTTAGCTCACCTGAGTTTTTCTAGTAGAGGATACTGTTTAGCTCACCTGAGTTTTTCTCGTGGACATAGGACTGATGAGGATGTTGAGGAGCGCCACCCTCTCTGGGTCCTTTGTGACCTCTGCAAGATACTTGTTGATTTCATCTGTTGTTCTCGCACAGTAACCTCGACCTCCGAAGGCCTCAATCATCTTCTCATACCTAGCTGCTGCCATCAGAGCTGTAGGGGGAGACCTGTAATAAGCAGCTTTCTTATTTTGTTTTGAATGCAAGAACTTCTTTATTTCCTAACTACAAAAATATGTAGCACTTTGTGACTAATACCAGAGCTTAACGATGTTGGCATAATTGAATTCTTCCACAAAAATCAAATATACAGATTCATACAATATCAGTGTAAATCAATGAACCAACAATTTCCATCAATCAAACAAATTACAATGGAAACCAGATGCCTCTCATTAGACTGTAGCTTTACTGCTTTCAAATTATAACAGAGTAAAAGAAAAGTTGCTCTTAGAAGACACACTTGCTTACATAAGTGTGAGATCCTCAGCCTGCATAGATTTCCACACATCTTCTGGCACACCAGCATAAATTCCACCATTGTTTATTATCATCAGAGTTACTGGCAGCTTGTACCTAATTGTTTCAATAATCTTATATAAGACATTGAATGTTTTCTTTAATAAACTTTTACTTTTCTCAATAAAATATAAGTATTACAACTGAATTATACACAAAGAATTCATAAATTCATAAATAATTTACAAACAGGGAAGTTGAATTTTATATACATCATGTAATCATTTTACTCCTGTTATTTTGAAAACAACTGCCAGACCCTTCTACAGCAATCATAAAAAATTTACCTGCATATTGTTTCAATTTCCATTCCAGAAAATCCGAATGCACTATCTCCTTGAATGGAAAAGACTCTTTTTTCTGGAGCATGATCCCTGCACCAGATCCCAGCAGCCACAGCAAATCCCAAACCCACTCCCATTGTCCCAAATGTACCAGCATCTAATCTGTTAAACATGGTAATAATCAGATAGTCAAATGTATCAAGAGTTCCTTGTTCAGTAATACATGCTTTAATACTGAAAATTATATAGAGTATGTTTCATTTATGTCTGACCTGTGTCTAGGAAGGTGGTTTGGTACCATGGTCCTGCTAATGTCCATAGTGTTGGCTCCTTCACTGACAATTATACAGTCCTTGGGAAGAAACTTTTGTATCTACAAAATATTCGTTATTTCAGCAAATATAATGTTCAATACATTATTGGTAAACTACATATACACATGTTAATAAGATAATATTAACTAGATATTCTGAACTGAATTGCAATATACTTAAATTAAATAAAATTAGACATTATTGAGAAGGCTACACCTAAAAGGGCTTTTAGTAATAATTTTAAGATAAAAGAAGCTTGTAAAAGACTGTATTTTGAGTTTGACCTTGACCTTTGACTTTCGTGGCATTATTGTTGTCCATGGGGGATCAATGTTTGTAGATTTCAATCCCCATCAGAGATAGCTTTGTCAACTTATTAGAATATTATATCATGTAACTGAGTTACCCACAAAATTATGTCCCCACAAACAAGTAAAATTTTTGTTGCCTACCAACATTGATCCCCCACTAATTAAAATTATTCTACTGTACATCTTTACCAAAAGGGCACACTTTGGGTGAGGTATGAGCCAGATGAGGCCAAGGGGAAAGAGACCTGCTATGACCTTGAAATCTGACCTTATTACTTGTTTCATGGTCACTCCATATTCTTCATTATGAACACTCTATGAGTGAAATATGAGCCAGATAAGGCCAAGGAGTGAGAAAATATATTCCATAAATGGAATTTTACACAGATTTGCTTTTTTACCATCATTTTTGTTCTAGGAATTGGTTCAAGTTCATTGCACACTCATAACCTATAAGTACTCTGAGGATATTGTTTGGATTGGAGACCAAGGGGAAAGAAAATATGCTCCCTACAAGGATTTTACACAGAGGTGTTTTTTTTTCACCTTGACCTTTGACCTAGTGACATTTGGTCACTGAATACCCTTTATCCATGGACATTTTGTTGGTGAGGTTTGAGCCGGGCTGGGCCAAGGGGAGAGAAAAAATATATTCCAGACAAATGATATTGAACAGATGGATGAACGGACACATAAATGGACATACGGATGAACAAACAGACTGGTCACTTTAGGGCACCTGCAGAGTGGGACCTTATTTAAATGAATTTCAGTGCTTCTCTTTAATTTAGGGAAGTAATGTAATTTTTTCAGAATATAATACCTCACTATATGCTGCATAGTAGTTAAGGGGTTCACTTTTGTCATCCATCATTGCCTGCAAAAAGTATAAACAAAATAAAATAAAAAATAACTCTTCTCATGTAATACTTTTGGTAATAAATCATTGATTTACACACATAAACAGTGTAATTAACTAGATTGCCAATGGTTAGTTACTTGCACAGCCTTTTGATTCTGTTGCACTTTGCTATTGAGAGTTTTCCACCATGGAGATTTTGGATTGAAATAAAACTGACCTGGAATTTTGCTCAGTTGTTCATTCATCTGAAAGATAGTGTGACTATCCAATAAATGTATTACCTTTTGGAATTAAGAAAAGACATTAAAATTATCAAACTAAAATAATCCATAGACTTTCTTAAATACTCCTTTTCTTAATTTAATTAAAATAATCTTATAGGAAGCCTGCTGAAAAAGTTTTGCATACATGTACAAACATAGCAAATTTTTAATTCTTTCAAATTCGTAGATTTAAATTAAAAGTCTATAAATCCAATAATACCTGTATCATGACAGCATCTAAATCTCCTACTAGAGATACAGCATTCTGTACATTATTACTCATCTCTTCAGCACAAATATCCACCTTAAAACAAGAAATAATCTCATAATGAACTCCCTTTTACTTCTGTATTAAAGGTGCATAGACACAGATTTGAAGTTTATATTTTCTCATATTTTCTGTATAATATCACAACTTATATTTTGCTATAGCATTTCACATGAAAATAAAATTAAAAACTTATTTAATCTGGAAATTATTGAAACTACGAATTTCTGGAGGCGTTTGATTAACACATCCTTGCACTTTCACAATTTTTAACTTTATCCTTAATACTTAAGAAAAGTAGAAATTTTGTTGTGTATTCATGAATAATATTACATCTATAATCCAGAAAATTCAGAGTAAAAATGTGCGAAAGCAAAACCCACTCACTTAAGTATTGTCAGCCCGTGCTCAGTGTTGTGTAGTTGTGTACAGAGTTTAACATATTGAATACACCCTTAAAACGTAAACTGTTTTTGTAAACAGGGCACGAGCCCTGTTGTTGTTAATGTTTATGCTTCACTGAGTGTGTTCAATTGTTAAACTCTGCACACACCACTGAGCACGGACTGACAATACTGGTGAGAGGGTTTTGCTTTCTACATTTCTACTCTGAAATTTCTGCATTATAGTTTTAATAATTTTCATTAATAAACAACAAAATTGCTACTTTTCTAAAGTAATAAGGATAAAGTTAAAAATTGAGAAAGTGCAAGGATGTGTCTATCAAATGCGTCCAGAAATTTGAAGTTTCAATAACTTCCAGATAAAATAAGATTTTTATCAAATTTTCGTATGAAATGCTATAGCAACATACAAGTCATGAAGTTATACAGAAAATTTGAGTAAATATTAACTTCAAATCTGTGTCTAAGCACCTTTAAAAACTCAATATCTACAATGTCCTATAAATCTTCATGTTACATGCAAGTCCCAGTAATTCCACTAATGTACTTTTAGCGAGGATGTTGATGCTCTTTGTATTTTTTTCTCTTTCAGTTTCAGTAATATTTAAAGGATTATGAATTATACTAAGGAAACTAGTGGGTATTGTTTTTTTAACAAAAAAAACCATGTCTCCCCTTCTTTACCAACATTAACGAGTGCAAATACATGATCAGGGTCAAAAATAATAATGCAGTGCATCTCAACTCAAATTCTGTGTACAAAATTTCAAGTCTTCATGTCAAACGGATCTCAAGTAATGGTCTGGTTGTGTTTTTCTTAATTTGACCTTGAAGAAAGTGGTCAAGGTCAAATATTTTGATGCAGTGCATTTAGTCTCGATGTTGTCTTTCCTTGTTCCAAGTTTGAAATCCTAATGTCAAAAAGTTCTCAATTATGACCTAGACTATATTTTCATGTTAATGATTGACCTTGACTTTATTTATAGGTCAAGGTGAAAAAAATGTTGCCATTCACCCTTCCTCTATACCACCTCTCCATGTTCCAAGTTTGAAGTTTTAATGTCAGGGTTCTCAATTTATGGTCTAGTCATGTTTTCTCTATTTGACCTTGAAGAAAGGGGTCAAGGTCAAAATTTTGAAGTGTTGCATCTTGTAACAATGTTTTCTTTCTATGTTACAAGTTTGAAGTCCTAATATCAAAGGATACTCAAGCTAAGGCCTGGACTCTATTTTGATATAAAAGATTGACCTTGACATTATAATAATTGGATCAAGGTCAAAAATTTTGGTGGCATGCATCCCTCCTTCGTACCACTTCTGCATGTTCCATGTCTGAAGTCTTTATAACAAAGGATTCTTAAGTAATGGTCTAATGAAGTTTTTTCCCTATTTGACCTGAGAAAGAAAAGAGGTCAAGGTCAAAACTTTTGGTGTGTTGCATCTTGTATCAATGTCTTCTTTCTCTGTTACAAGTTTGACGTCCTAATATCAAAGGGTACTCAAGCTATGGCTTGGACTCTATTTTGATGTAAAAGATTGACCTTGACCTTATAATAATTGAATCAAGGTCAAAAATTTTGGTGGCATGCATCCCTCCTTTATACCACCTCTGCATGTTCCAAACTTGAAGTCTTAATGTCAAAAGGTTCTCAAGTTATGGTCAGATCGTGTTTTTTCCCTATTTGACCTTGAAGGCAGAAAGGGGTCAAGGTCAAAATTCTAATGCAGTGCATTTTGTCTCAAGGTCTTCTTCCTATGTTACAAGTTTGAAGTCCTAATATCAAAGGGATCTTAAGTTATGGGCTGAACTCTATTTTGATGTAAAAGATTGACCTTGACCTTATAAATAGGTCAAGGTCAAAAATGTTGGTGGTGTGCACTCCTTCTCAATGTCATCTATCTATGTTCCAAGTTTGAAGTCTTAATGTCAAAGGGTATTAAAGTTACGGCCTGGACAAAATTTGGATGAAGAAGAAGAAGAAGAAGAAAATCGACAAAAACAATATGTCTCCCCTGGAAGGGGAGACATAATACTGGGAAGTGCAGTGTTACTAATAAACCAAATACAGTAAAAACCTGTGAATTTACTTTACTATATTCATAATTCATAATATCTGTATAACAAATTCGTTAAAGTATACAAAGTGATTTCGCAATATGTATAAAATCAGTTCACTATATCCCTAAATTCATTATATCCGAGTTTGTTATAACAATAAAATTTTTCAAGGAATTGTTGACAAATTTGCCAGGGGATCCCAAAAAACTTTGCCATATCTGTAAATATGGTATACATGTATCTGTGTACATACTACACAAGTTTTACTGTATATAGTATTTTGCAATTAGAACACTAATTTCAGTTTTGCAAGGAATTTCTAAATATAAATTTTGTTAATTACCATGATCTATGCCAATGTAACTGAAACTTGTAAATGAACTGAAATTAAATAAAAATCTTCACTTCTCCTATCAGACTTGAATGCTCTTTCTTTTTGTCAGAAAGTTAATTCAATTGATAAGAAGGAATTACCTGTATGACCTTGACCTTTGGATTAAATCTCGGTGGCAAACCAAAGTGGAGAATCCAATTTAATCTTGCTCCTAAAAGAAGGATGACATCAGCTTCCTGTAGCGCTCTGTGGATCGAAAATACAAACAGTCAAATTCACTTATAGCACAGTACCAAGGACAAACAATTTTGATTTGTTATCACTCCATTAAGTTCATAATATGTTTTTTTTACTACAGGGAATAAAAATCCATGTTGTAAGCATAAATTCATTATACCGTAAGTGTGTTTGCTGTAACCATGTTTTACTGTTTTGGATACTGTTCCACGATGAAACATTTTAAATATAAAATTAATTTACATTCAGTAAGAAGTTTATGGGCCTTGACTGGCACTTAACGCATCCCTGGGAAATGATTCATTATACATGTATCATGCAGAACTTACTTTGACCTTGCAGGAGCCACACAAAGTTCATGGTCATCAGGTAATACACCTTTTCCCATTGGGGTCGGTAGAAATGGAAGTCGGATGGATTCTATAAACTGCTTGACAGATTTTTCTGCTTTAGCATATGCAGCACCTAAATAAAAGTTTTACTTCTATATAAATATTGAACCTGTCTCATCCTGCTCAAAATCTGGCTAAATAGCATATCAAAAATTGGTGGTTGTCTTTAACTTAAAACTCATTTGAGGAAAACTTTAACTCAAAGCTTAAAGCATTTAAAAATAACAGAATAACATATACTATGCTTTACCTGGTACTAGCATACAATTAAGAGATAATTTTAAACAGATTTATGATATGTTATAGAAATGTAGATTTGTGATTGATTCAAGTGTTTAAAAAATAATTTTTTCACATTGGGGTTTGTAAATACACTGTACATGTTGTTGAATTACCTGGTAATGTTATTTTTGAAAATATTCATACCTTTCCCCACTATAACAAGTGGTTTCTCAGCATAATGAATGACATCTAGGGCCTCTTTTATTTTGTCTGGATCTGCCTGGGTCTTTGGAGGATCTAAACACTTAATATTTGGACTGAAAAAAGGAAGATGAATGAAGAATATTTCAATTTTTATTCATAATTTGTGATATTCATGCACATGTACATCATTGAGTGTATCAGTAAACATTAAATATGCACAAAGACTGCTGAAACAAAGCTCATGGCCCATAAGAGTTGATAAGATATCACATTATCTATTAAAAAAATCAATTTTTTACCTAAAACTCAGGAATAATTAATTTGTCTGTTAGACGTGAATTTCATAATCTTAGTATTAGCTAGTAGAAGGATTTTGGAAACTATAATTATACCTACAGGTACATGATGTACATGTAGTTTATCTACTGTGTGTTCTCAATAAAAAGATTATAATATTCTTACTTTACACTCAAAAACAATATTTCCAGGTAGATTTGTCCTACTTTGAGGTGTATACAGTGTATTAACAAGGAAGCTCAATACATCACACATACGTGTAACTGCATTTGTGCTTGCCAAATGTTTCTGACATGCTCTCCTCTTTTTAGGGTAGGAAAAGGGCAGTTTAAAAACACTGGGCTAGCAAAGTATGGAGAGGGTATTTACAGGCATTGCCTACTGCCCAATCCAATCAGATTTTTCTAAATAAAAAATTGTTTGAAGTAAAGATTGGCAAATAATCTACCCTCATGATTTTCTAACTTAACGGATTTTCAATATTCTTGCCTGCCACAGTTTCATACATTTGCCAAACTTTATTTATATTAGGGAATACATATTTCAGTTTATGTTTTTTCCAATTGATAAATGAAAATTCACAAGAACCTGAGATCCGCTACTCTGACTTTCTGCGTAACCATATTTCCAGCCAGGTCAATGTAACTCACACCAGGCCTTCCGTAAATACTGTGACGAACTGCCTGAAATGGTGAGAATTGCACGCAATAAAATCATATTCTACAGGAAAAAACTGCAATATAAATTCAGTATTTATTACAAAAACAATTTCATTACACTGTTTTTTCTGAAGGATTAAAAAACAGAAAATTGATATGATTGCAGTGAATTTATCAATAAAACATTTATAATTTAATTAGTAATAAGAAAAGCAGAAACATGAAAATAACTTTGACCTAAAAGCTGTATGCGCTAATTGCTGAAATAAACTTTAATTTTCATATTTGGAAAGTAACATTTCAGTAAAGAAATTTCTTACCTTTTCAATGTAGAATGGAATTCTCTCCACTTTACTTGGACGTGCAGTGTACTTGCAGTAAGGTCTGCATAATTCAACCTAAAAATCATAACCATTTTAATATTTATAGAGCACATTTATATGTTTAACAACTTGTTATACGGTTTAAATAATACAGTGTATGTATTTCTTGGAAATGTAAAAAAGAGATACAACTATGAATCCTTAGATTTTAATGAGTAGTGAAAAGTCCTTTCAGATATGTCCATATTTTCATCAGCATGCAATGATAATGGTCTCGCAAATTTATTGTACCGTAGAAGCTCAAATTTTTATAAGGATAAAATTTTGTTGATTTGTGATCTAAAAAGTTTCGTGGGCATTAAATTCCATTGTTTCAAAAGTAACCCTATTCACTATATAGTTATATAAAATAAATTTGTTGATAATTGTTTACAATGAAATTAACAAAATTTAATTCCCAACAAATATTATATTTCTGCTTTTACAGTACTTTATAATTGGAAATTTACCTGTGGATACTCCTGAAAAGCTCCCATACTCTCCTGATGAAGTTCACTGCTACCCCCTACTACAATCATTGGCCTTTAAAAAAATGGTTATGTCTGTTCAATTCATATCTCTCTGTTCATTAATATTTCCACTGGTTATAGGATGGATTGTTAAATTTACGTGTATGTATGCGGCATGCCAGGGTTGCAAATAACATTTAAGTCCTTAGGGCCCACGTGGGCCCCCAACTTCACAAGTTTTACGAGCCCAGATTGATATTTTGGGGCCCAATTTTTTCTATCCACATGGTTTAAAAATTTCCCAATCTTTTTTGCATCATAATCTCTGAGAAGTTTTCTCTGCTGTATACAGTCTTTTATTTTCCTGCGGATTTCAACACCACTTGTTTTCTGTAACTTTAAAACCTCACCTAGTCATAATTTTCAAATGATTCAGGGTTTAGAAATCGTTTTCTAGGTAGGAAACAGTGAAACTAAAGTGCATTTGATAGCAGAATAAAAGCAGTCAGGTTTCAGAAAAGTTCCCTTAGAATTCTTACTCTCCCTGTGGACAATAAGGTTCTCAAGAGTTGGTTGTCAACAGACAAAATCAATCACATTTGCAAGTGAACGAGTGGTTATTTGCAACCTACTCCTACAAGTAAGAGCCTCTGTTAACATCCCTATGCTCCTTATTATGCAGCGCCAAGTCAAAAGACTATCTCGTCATGAACCTCTAGCATGCTGGAGTAATTTGCAACCCCGCAAGCAAGCTATTTTGCTATGACAGAATCATCCATATCCATAAATCAATTAGAATTAATATTATACACTTATTAATTTCATGACTGGTGCACATTTTTACATATTCCAGAAGAAAAGCATTACCAGCAATTGACCTGTGCATTAGCCATCCCTGCCAAGGCATGGATAAGTCCTGGGCCTGAGACAACAAGGCAGACAGCTGGCCTTCCTGTCATATAACCAATGGCTGAGGCAGCATAGGAGGCCTTGTGTGGAATTCAAAAAACAACACATTTTATCAAGACAGGTCAAATGAATTTCAAACATTAGCAATCTACAGTTGATTATTTCTTAAATAATTTTAAATCAGTATTCACTTCATTTTTACCGCAACTTGCCAACGCTTTTGATTTAGTCTGAAAATTTTTGGAACCCAGAACAAGAAAAAATATTAGCATAATAATAATACTACCAAAGAGCAGTAAAAAATATTCCTTTATCATTAAAAATACAATTGAGAAGGAATCAGAAAATAAGTTTAAATGTACTATTCCTTCATTTTTACATACAGCCTGTTCATTTCGCATTCCGATGTATTTGATGCCATGAGCTTGTGCAGCATATGCCACCTCAATCACTGGAATACCAACAATGCCGAACATATACTCTACACCCTATAATAAGTAATTAGGTATTTAGTCATTCATTAATCAATATATATATACTGTTTTATATTAGATTTTTAGCTCACCTTGACAAAGTGGAAATGAGCTCCTGCTATACCCCCTGCATCAGTATTGGCATCCTTGTTAAGTTTTAGGAGCAAGTCCACTCCCAACACTCAAGTAACTATGGATCCGACCTACACTTTACAGATGAGTGACCACCTTAAAGTTTTTGGAGTAAGTCCGCTCCCAAGTAACTGCAAGTCCTTTGGTGACCAAACTTGCAAGGATAGTGCATCTAGGGATGCATACTACAAGACATGTTTCAGATGTTGGATCTGACCTACACTTTCCAGATAAATGACAGCTTTTGGAGCAAGTCCACTCCCATGTAACTATAAGTCATATGGTGACTAATCTTGGATGGATGATGCATCTATGGATATACATGCACTACCAGATTTACTTTGGATGCTGGATATGAGCTACATTTTCAAGATGATTGAACAGATTAAAATTTTGGAGGAAGTCTATTCCCATGTAACTATTAGCCTTATGGTGACCAAACTTGCATGGATAATGCATCTAGGGATACATAATACCAAATTGTTTCAGATACTGGATTTTATCTATGTTTTCCAGATGAGTGACCAGGTTACATATTCTGGAGCAGGTCTCCCGGGTTAATATAAGCTCTCTGGAGACAAAACTTGCAAGAATGAATCATCATGGGACTTGCTTCAGATGCTGGATTTGACCAAAATTTTCTGGATGATGAAGTTTTTGGAATAGGTCCAATCTCAAGTAACTAAAAACCTTATGACGACAAAACTTGCATCTTATAGATGATACATCTAGGAATGCACAGTACCAGACTGAGAGTAGCTTCTGATGCAGGATCTAATCTACATTTTCTGGATGAATAAACAGTTTAAAGTTTTAGAAGCAGGGCCATTCATAAGTTACTTTAAGCCCTACAGTGACTGAAATTGAATGGACGATGCATCCAGGAATGTTTTAGCTACTACAAGGCTGCATCTTCCCTTTTTTCCAGATCAGTGAATAAATTAAAGTTTTTAGAACAGGGTCTTTCCAAGTAACAATAATATGAAGCCTACTTGGACCAAACTTGCATGAATGATGCATCCAGAGATGCACACTACCAGTACCATGCAAGCTTTGGATGCAGCATCTGACTTACCTAGATGATCTGACCTACATTTTCAATTTGATTAGTAAAGTTAAAGTTTTTGGATCAGATCTCTTCCCAGGAACTATATAATAAATCCTAAATAGACCAAACTTGCATGGATGTTGCATCTGGATATACACACTACCATAACATTCATTTGATGTGAGACTGTGCATGCTTTCACTTATAGATAGTATTCATTAAGGTGAGCTTCATAATCTTTGATTACCTACATTTATGCTTTACTTAAATATTAAATTTTCTTTCACAAATTTTAAAATCTTTAATCTGGAACTTAGATGGTAAATATTAAACTCTCTTTCACAAATTTTGAATCTTTAATCTGGAACTTTGATGTTAAAATCAGTTTCTTTATTGTTCTTAATTGTTTACAGACAGAAAGATGACAGACCACCTCATAAGCTCTTTGTATGTTAAGTGCTACAAAAAATCATACGTGTGATTCTTCCGGCGGGAGTCAAAATCTCCCAATTTTTTAGACTGGTACCCTGACATTGGTTAACGGGTGCAAGCGGCCTTGTAATTCCTAGCGGCAGCGACTGGAATCAAGGGCAGAGAACCAGTGCTACCAATTTTTAACCCCCCCTTCCGCCACTCCCGATTATTTTTTAAATCTTCCGTGTTTTGAAAATCTTCATATTAATTATTTTTTTGACTAAATTGTTATCATGTTTCATATAATTACTCAGTGTGAAAAGAAACTGAGATAGCAACACCAGTGCAATAAATTTTGACAGCAGTAGGCCTCGTAGGCATCTACTTGAAGGTCATATAAATAAGCGGCTATAACACTTGGTAAATGACCACCGATGTTTATTACTTTATTACTGAATGCAGAACTGTAATTAGTTGCTAAAATTCTCTTATATCATCTTTGAATACTGGCGCAGTAGTCATTGAAAAATACCGTTACTAGTAAATTCTAGTTAAAAATAGATCAAACTACAGGGTGTTGTTAAAACTCTTGCCAAAAATATGAATGATTCTGTTTTTAAAAATTTTAAGAGAGTAATTTTAATTTATATATCTATGCATTTTTGACAAGTTAAAATTTTTATTTAAAAACAAATTACTGACATATAATTTGGTATATAAAACCTATGTTTTACTTTACTATTATGTCCAACAAGTTGATATATCAATATCAAATTTAATCATTTTTTAATGCTGTTATTTCTGAATTTAAATGAGCTTCTTTATTTTGATTAATTTCACTTCACTTTATTATAAAAACTTTGTCATATACTTTTTAATCCATACAACAATTTTATAAATAATATTTTTAATTTACTGTAATAAAACTGTGATGATGAAGTTCTTCAATTTTCCAGACCATTTTTTTTTTATTTTGGATACTGATGACAGAGAGATTTTTAAAGTTAATTTTACCTAAATTTAAGGGGTAAGATAGTCTTTTGCGATTTGAAAAAATGTCGATAAGAAATCTCCAGTTTTGAGACCCAAACTCCAGCTGAAAAATAAATTTCAAATCTCCAGTTGTGAGTGTTCAACTCTGTCACATGTATGAAAAATTGTTTAAAAAGTAGGTGATACTTCTGTCAAAATGACTATGTAGGTATTAAAAAAAAGAAGAAAAGATATTAGTTCAGCAAGTAGGACGACGTTTATAAATGGTTCAAAAAGAAGAACGATTTAGAAAGGCAAGCAGAAAGAAATAAGAAAGAAATAAGCAACCATAATTATTACTTTGTACATTAAAAAATAAAATGTTTTTATGACTTAGAATTTTATTGCATGCAAGCATATTTACCTGAGCTTTTAATGCCTGGGCCAAAACATTCGCACCTTCGATTTCGTCTGCCATCATGAAATCATGTGGTCAATTTGTGGAACTCTTTTATAGACAATCGGCAATTCTCGGCTGACTCCCCTTCGCTCCATACAAGTACGAGAAGCTCCGAGGGGTGCGTCGATTTACCCAAATGGACCCAAATGGAACTCAAATGGACCCAAATGGACACAAATGGACCCAAATGGAACCCAAATGGACCCAAATGGAACATTAAACATATATTATCGTATTCCCAATTTGTTACTAATTTAAAATGATAAGAATTATGAAATTACAAATGGATAATATTAATTATTCATTTCTAATATTGTATTTTAAAATACGAATTAATCTTTTTTCTATTTGTAATAACTTTTGCATATCATTGAATACAAAATTGAAGTATTTCATTTTAAAGTTTATATAGTTTTCATGGCTGTAGGAACGGGGGGGGGGGGGGACTGGGCCTGTGCCCCCACCCCCACCCCCCAATAATTTTGCCGATATATAGAATACTAAAGAAATTTAATTCGTATTCTAAAATACAATATTAGAGATGAATAATTAATATTCTCCATTTGTAAGTTCATTATTTTCATCATTTTAAATAAGTAACAACTTGATAATACGATAATATATATTTAATATTCCCTTCGATTTCCATTTGGGTCCATTTGATTTCCCTTTGGGTCCATTTTGATTTCCATTTGGGTCCATTTGGGTTCCATTTGGGTCCATTTGTTTCCATTTGGGTCCATTTGGGTTCCATTTGGGTCCATTTGGGTAAATCGACGTGCCGTGAGGAGCTGCTGATTTGGAACTCTTATGTGTGGAGGAATAAAAGTTAATTGCAATGGCAGCCCCCTTGACATTCATGATTGCAATTTCACAAGCTAATCGGTTGTTATCCAAAAAGCTTATTTGTTTGTCTGAATACCAAGCATGTAATGCAAGTCAGTATGGTAGGAGAAAATTTAATAAGAAATTTTCGAAAAAAATTACAAAACCTCAAATGTTGTCACAAAATCCAAAAGAGACTCGTGATGTGGAAGACGACGAAGAGGAGAAGGGCGACAGGAAAGTGAGCACAACAAGGAAAAAGGTACTAATTTGGAACGATTTATGAATACATCTAGATAAACAGAAGTAAAATTTTCTTGGATCTTTATAGCTTTTTCATGCATTTTTTAAAATCTTAACCTCAATAAGCACTAAGCAGGATTCAACTGAAATACTTGGTGTGTATTAAATTTTGTAGTACAAAAAATCATGTTATAATCTATTGATCATTTTATGTGCACAGTTTTGGGAATCTAGATTTTAAATCTAGTTACGATTGCTTTACCATGACAGTTTCATATGGACAATGGTCACAACCTTGGTAGAGCACATAAATTAAATCTAGTTTGACTGAAATTTATAGTGAGCGCAGCGAGCAGTGCGAAGAGCCGCTCGTCACTGCGAGTTCTTAAAGCAATGCCTGGGTGAAGAGAAAATTCGGACTTTGCACATTGATCCAAATGATTTTTTTCCACAGTTACCTGTGGTCCCATAATGCTTAGCAAATTGCATCTCATCACAAATTACGTTCTCACGGTAGCTCAACAAAAAATAAAACCACCTTGAAATAATGGATATATAGCAGAGAAATAGTAGATCAAAATGTTCTTGACAAAAATTAGCACTGATCAGACTCCGTTTTGGTAATGCAACATACATACGACATCCTATGACGTCAGAGTCTCGATGTAGCAAATATCACGTGCGGTTTGACAAGCCCGATCTAAATTAAAGCTGAAAGGTACCTGTGTTTGCCCTAACGGTCGCACCGTCAACATATTATTGTTTATAAATCTTCATGCTACCTAAATCCACTTATCATTTCACTGATCTGTAAATAAGTTTGTTTGAACCATAGGCAGTCATCTCCTGTTCATTTGGTTGCTCTGTGGTTCATGACAGGTGGTGATGGATATAATGGATGAGAGCATAATATTTTATATCATAAGATGTTTTAGTACCACTTTTAAAATAAGGTTCAACTTTAAAATTAAATGAATGCAAAATTAGGAGCTTTCCTTCTTCAAGTGCACATGTAATTTATTGCTTAAAATGCAAAATTGAAATTGAATATTATGATATCATGATGAATCTCTAAAAAAGAAAAGTCTATCTTTTTCATTCATACCATTTATTCTTCAGTAGTTCTATGTTTGCAGGCAAGTATTCAATAGTAATATACATTTGATTAATTTCTTTAACAGAATTTCCTGATGGACAGACTACATGTGTTTATGCGAGGAGGTACTGGGGGTCACGGTTTGTCTCGGTATGGGGGAATTGGAGGGGACGGTGGAAGTGTCATTGTCAAAGCCTCAAAAACAGCATCTTTGCAAGATATCAAATCTAAATATCCACAACAGAGATTCAAAGCTCCAGATGGGAAACCGTGCAAGTGAGTGTTGTGATTATCATGTACATGTATTCAGAAAATTAACCTATTTCATCTTCTTAGATGGTTTTCTGCTAAGTCTGCATCAGAATTATTTTATCTAATTGCAGAAAACTTGCTTTGTTGGGAGAGAAAGGAGAGGATCTCATTGTAGAAGTACCAATGGGAATAACAATTGAATCAGGAAGTAGAATAATTGGTAGGAGTTGTTTTTTATTCATTTTTTCAGAGATTGCTGTCATTTAAGAAGAGTTTAACTTAATATGACTCCAATTTGATTTTAAACATAATATTTGCTGTGAATTAGTTGTTATCAGAATTATTGATTTCAATAATTAGGTGATTTGGATGAAGAGGGCAAGGAATTTGTTGTAGCCAAAGGTGGATCAGGGGGAAACCCCTCAAATGGGTTTGAAGGGGCAAAGGGAGAAGCAAAGACTGTGGATTTAAATCTCAAGCTGATCGCTGACATTGGACTCGTGGGGTAAGTGAAACATAATGGAGATTGTTTTAATGATTGTGTTAAATTTTTAACTTGAAATGGAATCAGAATATTACTGAGAAATTCAGTCTTAATTTTGAAAATATCATTGAAGGAAAACTGCATCCATATTTTAGATTTCCAAATGCTGGGAAATCTACCTTTGGGTCAGCAGTAACTCCATCAGGTGGTTGGAAAATTGCAGATTATCCATGTAAGAATTCAAGTATTTGGATTTTTCTCTAAATCTATAATGATAGCCATTTTCAAGTAAGATTTTCTTCCATATAAATAAAGTTGCATGATTATCAAGCAAAAGGTGAATATAGACTATAATATTGGTTTTATATGATGCAGCACTATTAAGGAATACTATAAAGACCTTTCCAAATGTGTTATGATTTTTGACCCTGTGATCTTGAACTTGAAGTTTGACTTATTTTTCAGAAAAGATTAACATTGGTGATAACTTTCGAATGAGATTGCGTATTATTTCATATTCTGGTACATGTAGTCATGTATCATGAGGACTTGTTTTTTTTTTGTGATGACACAATAAACATTTCCTGTATATATTAGGCCCGTCTCTTTATGTAGCCTTAAAGAGCTGCAGAGCTAATCATTTTTTTTTTTTAGACATATTTAGCTCATGTTTTTAGCTCTACTGGTCAGAGACCAGAAGAGCTTATGCGATAGTAAGGTGTCCGTCGTCCGTCCGTCTGTCTGTCTGTCTGTCTGTCTGTCTGTCTGTCTGTCCGTCTGTCTGTAAACAATTTTTCAAAATGCTACTCCTCCTACAGTTTTGGTCTGATTTCAATATAACTTGGCACACAGGTAGACTACACTAAGATTCATAATTTAGTGCATCGGTTTTTGATTTGGATGAGCGGTGTTGCCATGGTTACTAAAAATAGAAATTTCTGTGAAATTCCTTTAAAACCCTACTCCTCATACAGTTTTGGTCTGATTTCAATATAACTTGGCACACAGGTAGACTACACTAAGATTCATAATTTAGTGCATCGGTTTTTGATTTGGATGAGCGGTGTTGCCATGGTTACTAAAAATAGAAATTTCTGTGAAATTCCTTTAAAACCCTACTCCTCATACAGTTTTGGTCTGATTTCAATATAACTTGGCACACAAGTAGACTACACTAAGATACATAATTTAGTGCATCGGTTTTTGATTTGGATGAGCGGTGTTGCCATGGTTACTAAAAATAGAAATTTCTGTGAAATTCCTTTAAAACCCTACTCCTCATACAGTTTTGGTCTGATTTCAATATAACTTGGCACACAAGTAGACTACACTAAGATACATAATTTAGTGCATCGGTTTTTGATTTGGATGAGCGGTGTTGCCATGGTTACTAAAAATAGAAATTTCTGTGAAATTCCTTTAAAACCCTACTCCTCATACAGTTTTGGTCTGATTTCAATATAACTTGGCACACAAGTAGACTACACTAAGATACATAATCTAGTGCATCGGTTTTTAATTTGGATGAGCGGTGTTGCCATGGTTACTAAAAATAGAAATTTCTGTGAAATTCCTTTAAAATCGCTACTCCTACTACAGTTTTGGTCTGATTTCAATGTGATTTGGCATACAAGTAGACTCTATTAAGATTCATAATTAAGTGCATCGGTTTTTGATTTGGATGAGTGGTGTTGCCATGGTTACTAAAAATAGAAATTTCTGTGAAATTCCTTTAAAATGCTACTCCTCCTACAGTTTTGGTCTGGTTTCAATATAACTTGGCACACGAGTAGACTACACAAGATACATAATCTAGTGCATCGTTTTTGATTTGGATGAGTGGTGTTGCCATGGTTACTAAAAATAGAAATTTCTGTGAAATTCCTTTAAAACCCTACTCCTCATACAGTTTTGGTCTGATTTCAATATAACTTGGCACACAAGTAGACTACACTAAGATACATAATCTAGTGCATCGGTTTTTAATTTGGATGAGCGGTGTTGCCATGGTTACTAAAAATAGAAATTTCTGTGAAACTCCTTTAAAACCCTACTCCTCATACAGTTTTGGTCTGATTTCAATATAACTTGGCACACAAGTAGACTACACTAAGATACATAATCTAGTGCATTGGTTTTTGATTTGGATGAGCGGTGTTGCCATGGTTACTAAAAATAAAAATTTCTGTGAAATTCCTTTAAAACCCTACTCCTCCTACAGTTTTGGTCTGATTTCAATATAACTTGGCACACGAGTAGACTACACAAGATACATAATCTAGTGCATCGGTTTTTGATTTGGATGAGCGGTGTTGCCATGGTTACTGAAAATAGAAATTTCTGTGAAATTCCTTTAAAACACTACTCCTACTACAGTTTTGGTCTGTTTTCAATGTGATTTGGCATACAAGTAGCCTCTATTAAGATTCATAATTTAGTGCATCGGTTTTTGATTTGGATGAGCAGTGTTGCCATGGTTACTAAAAATAGAAATTTCTGTGAAATTCCTTTAAAATGCTACTCCTCCTACAGTTTTGGTCTGGTTTCAATATAACTTGGCACATGAGTAGACTACACTAAGATACATAATTTAGTGCATTGGTTTTTGACTTCTATGAATGATGTTGCCATGGTTACTAAAAATAGAAATTTCTGTGAAATTCCTTCAAAATGAAATCCCTCCTACAGTTTTGGTCTGGTTTCAATATAACTTGGCACACAAGTAGACTACACTATGATACATAATTCAAAGCATCAGTTTTTTTATTTCGATGAAAGATGTTGCCATGGTTACTAAAAATAGAAATTTCTGTGAATTTATTTTAAAACGCTACTCCTCCTTCAGTTTTTATTTGATTTCAATTTAACTTGGCACACAAGTAGACTATATGAAGATATATAATTCTATTCATTGCTGCATGTTGCAAAGTTTCGAATCCAAGTGCTACTTTTTCTTTGTTACATGTATATGTACAGACCAGTAGAGCTACAGTCTCATCAGAGACTTCTGGTTCTTGGCTTATATTCATGTTATAGCCTTATTGTCTCACCAAAATAAATGGTCTCTATGTGTATGTCTTATTAATATCCAGTAATGAAAAAGATTAAAATTAATAAAAAGGATCAATTTGAAATGTTATTCATTTTTGTCCCCCACCTTCACAAAAGCAAGGGGACATAAATCTCATTCATCTGTTAGTCTGTCTGTCTGTCACAGAAACTTTAACCTTGGTCATAACTTTTGAATGAGAAAAGATTGGTCTTTCATATTTCACATGTATATTACCTGTGACAAGACTTCGAAATATATGTACTATGATTGACCCCATTACCTTGACCTTATTTTTCCAAGAATTATAATTTATCTATAGACTTTTACCTTTTCTTCAACCAAAGAAATCCTTTAAGTTCTGCAAGATGATCTGTATATTTCAGTTTCTTCTATTTCTAAATTTTTACACAATCATTTCAGATTTATGCTATTGAATAACATTAATGCACTTGTGGTTTCAGTCACAACAATTTCACCAAGGATTGCTTGGATGGATTATCATGATGGAAGAAAGATTGCAGTGGCAGATCTTCCAGGTCTTATCGAGGGAGCCTGGGACAATATCGGAATGGGACATAGATTCCTTAAACACATTGAGCGCACCAAACTTCTCTTATTCCTTGTCGACATCAATGGATTTCAGCTGAATCCCAATTTTCCATTCCGTGATCCTATTGAAACTATACTGATTTTAAACAGGGTATTTGATTATTTCATTATTTTTTGGGGGGGATCAACAAACTTTATAGGTATGATTTTTTTCCTTTGTAAAACACAGTTACAGCAAACACACTTGTGATGAATTCACCCTTATAGTGAAAAGATTTTCATTCCCTGTAGTTTTAAACATATAATGAACTAAACAAATATACCAAACTTTGTTTATAACAATCAAAATTGTTTGTTCCTAGCACTTTGCAGTAAGAGTGTTTTACTGTTACCAGTATTGCTTTCCGATAGAGTTATCCATTTTCTTTACTTGATCTGGGCTTGATTTCCAATTTTATACATGATAGTTATTGTACAAATATATGCAAGTGTGAGGCAAAGATTTTTTAATTCAGCACCTTTCTTTTGAATAGGAAGTAGAACTATTTAAACGTCACTTGGTTGAGAAGCCAGCAGTTTTAGCACTGAATAAAATAGACTGTGATACTGATGGATCAATAGTGAAAGACATTATAGAAAGAGTGAAGAGTTTACCAGGTATGGTTAAATATTTGTTATATTACTTTATCTATGAATTATTTTATTAATTTCCAAACTTAACAAATTGATTAAAATGTATGTTTGTAATGTACAAATTTCTGTCACAATTTTGTTACTACATGATATGTACTTTTGTAAAAGAAATGAAGGGTAAGAATTTCCAAATTAATGAAGCTTTTTTGATTCTCTAAGCAGTCTTATACTCCAATGTTCATGTATAAAGTTGTCACATCAAAATATTCTACAAACTTCATTTGTCTAAATAGCTGAGGTTTTAGATCACCTGAGCCAAAGGCTCAAGTGAGCTTTTCTGATCAAAATTTGCCTGTTATCTGTTGTTGTTGTAGTCATTGTCTTAAACTTTTCACAATTTCAGAACCACTTTCAACCAAACTTGGCATAGAAAATCTTAGAATGAAGGGGATTCAAATTTGTTCAAATGAAGGGCCATGCTCTCATTCAAGGGAAGACAATTAAGAATTATTAAGAATTATTGAAAATTTTATGGCATCTTTTAAAAATCCTCTTCTCAAGAACCACTGGGCCAGAAAAGATGAAACTTAAGTAAAAGCTTCATTACATAGTGTAGATTCAAAGATTCAAGTTTGTTCAAATCATGACCCCCGGGATAGGGCAGGGCCACAAAAGGAGATCAGTGATATACAGGAAAAAATCTTCTCAAGAACAACAGGACTATGATTAGTGATATTCAATTTATTTATTGACAACACCATCAGTGATATTAATAATCAAGCATCCCCAGGTAGTGCAGATCGAAGTTTGTTCAAATCTATGCCCAAGGGGGTAGGGTGTCCCAATCCAGATAGGGGATTAAATATGGGATTAAAGGTTTACAAGGGAATATATAGGAATTGTCTTTAAAAATTTTCTTCTTAAGAACAGAAGGAGTTATATTTATATGCAAGCATACCAGTTAGTGTAGATTCAAATTTGTTCAAATCATGGCCTCCATGGGACAATAGGGTATCAAAGTTTTTCATGGGAATATATAGAAAAACATGTCTTAATCTTCTTCTCAAGTATAGCAGAACCATGATTAGTTGTATAAATATGCAAGCATCCTCATGTAGTGCAGATTATAGTTTATTCAAATCATACCCCAGGAGGATAGGGTGGGGCACAATATGGTGTCAAATTTTTACAAGGGAATATACAGGAAACAATCTTACAAAAATTTCCTTTCAGGAACAGTAGGGCCATGATTAGTGATATTAATATGCAAATATTGTCATGTCATGTAGATTCAAGTATTTGAACCCCCCCCCCCCCAAAAAAAAATGTTAGCTCTATAAGTGTGTGGTTTGTAATGACGTAAGGTTTGCCAGAAAGTAATAAAGTTTAAAGTGTATAAGAATGACTTTTGAAAACCCTATAATAATTAGATCTATACATTAGATATGGTTTATTCTATGAGTTGTCAAATTTAAAACAATGTGACATACTGTATATAAGTGTATGGCCTTCTGTAAATGTCTCAACACAATTAACCTTTAACCAACATGAGGAAGAAAAAAAACTCAGTGAATTTGCTGATTTTGAGCAAAGAAACTGTGAATTTTAATTCTCTTAATACTAGAATTAAATGCTCATGAAATTTGCAACTATTGATTAAGAATTTTCTTTGCATGAAAATGAACAATTCTTCATGTTTAGAGCATAAAGGTATTGGAGTAGAATCATTCTCATAATAAACCTTTAAATCTCCATCATATATTTACAAAGACTCCCATTTATTTGTGTTTTCATTTACTTTTCAACTTTGCTCCTACTAAACAGATTTTGTTTTATTTTCAGAAAACATTTCAAACTTTCCAGAGGAGCTACAGCCAGATAAATTGATAAAGTTTGAGGACATTTTCACTATTTCAACTAAAGAAGGAACAAATATTATCCAAACTAAACTGAAACTGCGACAAATACTAGACACTCATTTTGCTGAAAATCTTGAATATCCTCTCGAAAAATGGGAGCATGCTCTAACTGAACACAGAAAAATAAATAAAGATATTTAGTACTCAATCATTATACATGAATGAGAGATAGGGGTGGGGGAGATGTGCACTAAATATCACGGGTGTTTAGTGTGACCTTTTACGAAGCAATAACAAGCTCCACCAACAAAACTACCAGTAATACACACATTCTGAATATGGACTTGTTACATAAGTACATGTAGCACTATTGATGCATTAGGGAAGCTGATTTTTCTTCATTTCAAATGTTTACTTACAGATTTGAGGAACAATAAAGTGTATATTTTTACATGGTCAGTCATGGGTACAATAAAATAAAAAGTATGAGCACAATTATTGCTACAAGCAAAGTAGTATACATGTACCGGGTACTTGTAAAATTCACCCCTAGTAAGCATTCTTGATTGCAATTTGTCTCTATAAATTTAAGTGTTTGATATGGAATTTGTAAGTAATGGAACTGGCAATAGTAATTCAGAGGTAAATAATGAATAAATATTTGTAACAGTTTAAATTTCTTGTCCATTTTTAGCTCACCTTAGTGGAGTTGTAGGAGCTTATGGCATTGGTGTCAATTAATGTTGGTGTCCCAGTTCAAAGTTTTTAGTGCAGATTTCTTTCCAAATACTTGTATGCCCTTGTATGCCCTAGCTATATTGAACAGAGATGTATGGATGATGAATCTATGTTTCATTGTACAAGTCAGGTTTCAGATGCTGCATTTTCAGCTAAAGAATGGCCAAGTTTTAACTTAATGTTTTTGAGCAGGTTAAAATTTTTGAGCTGGTTAACGTTTTTGAAGCATGTAAAAAGTTTTTGAGCAGGTGAAATTTTTCAAGCAGTTTTTGGGAGCATAAATCATTCTGATGAAACTATAAGCACTATGGTGACCAAACTTGCATTGATGATATATCTAGGGATGCACAGCCTTGCTTCAGATGCGGGATCTGACAAACATTTTTCAGATGATAAACCAGTTAAATTATGTTAAAATAATTAAAGGCCCTGGTGGCCAAACATGCAGAGATGATACATCAAGGGATGCACACTGGAAGTGTGGTCACCCGCATGGCGCAGTGGTTAGAGCGTATGCTCTAGAGTCGCAGAGTAAGGAGTTGATCCTTACGTCGCGGGTTCGAATCCACTGCGGGACTGGAGACCAGTCCTTCAGATGAGACTGTATAAACCGAGGTCCCGTTTTCATAGGTGTTGGCATGAAAAAGATCCCTCACTGCTCAATGGCCCTGAGTGCTGAGCATAGGTATAAATTTGCAGCCCTACACCGGCAAGTCGTGGCATCTCCATATGAGTGAAAAATTCTTGAGAGGAACATTAAACAACATACAAACAAACACTGGTAGTGTGTAGGTTCATTCTAGTGTAACTATATCCCTGTGGTGACCAAACTTGCATGGATGATGTATCTAGGGATGCTCGATTCAGAAATTTATTTTTCTGGATCAGTGTCCAGGTTTAAGTTTTTGGAAAAAGTCCATTCCCAAGTAACTTAAAACCTTTAGGTAACTAAAGTGGTGTGGATGATGCATCAATGGTGACACACAGCTAGACTTGCTTAGGGTTGTAGATCTGACCTTCATTTTCTGGATGAGTAACCAGGTTAATGTTTTTTGGAGCAAGTTTATTCCAGTTTAACTCTAAGCCCTACATGGCAGGGGTAAAATAATACATCCATACATCAATACATTGTGATGTAGAAGGGGTCAATATGATACATAAAATGAAGTATCTTTTTTCCCCAATATTTTCCATAAATATGTTATGGACAAGTTTTGGTCCGAAAATTAGAATTGCTTAAATAAAATGGTAAAACTCATTAAAAATTCACAGAAAAAGTCAAAGTTGTAATTCGCAATTAAAAAAAATAATTTTATAATTATATTTTGCTTTAATCTATGTACTAGAATAACATTTTTTGAAAAAGAAAAGCTGAAATCAAAATTTTCCTTCCTTAAATCAATAAACAAAAATGGAGAAACAAACAAATGTAAAACTTGATATATTATGATATATTGCAATATTTTTCTGAAACGTAATATGGTACATTGTTATACATGTACTTTTTTCCTTCACAAAATTTGACACGGTGAATGGAAGGAGCAATAATTTATTATCACAACATTAAAGACTAGTGGTGTTCCAATCATCGATTGTAATCGAAAATCAGTCGATTGCTGGCATAATCCAAGTGCTCAATTTCAAAATTTTTATTCCGATTAATCGGGTTATTTATTTTATTTTACAAGCGTAATAGTTTTTAAGGCGAATATTCCAGCTGCCACTTGTCTGTTACCTTATTTGTGATGGCGCATATGAACAGACATTGTATTCATACCCGGGTAACAACGCTCATTCGCGGGTATGAACGTACTTTGGATTCTACAAAATGAAAGAAGAACCATCTGGACTAGAAGGAATGTTCTATCGTTAAAATGATATTGTCCTAAGGACTAGGGCTTGTCCCGAGACACAGTTAAATTATTCTAACTACAGCAGGACCACCACAGAAAGTAGTCATTCACCCATTCTTACCATTTATTAAACTAAATTGAGAGACTTTGTAAATGTCTGATTATAATTGATAATTAGTTAGTTACAGTAGCCCGGTCATCCATTATGAAATTCTTACCGATTCCCATCACTATTAAAGACATAAAGTACCGTACATGTATATATGAACATATATTTTTTGTCATACATATTTTAAATTCATATTAGAAAACATAATAAAGTGTTGCTTAATTCTTAAGTCAGAATATGTACTTGTACAAAAAATGCATCCATCAGGAAGAGTTAAAATCATCTTTATATTTTTGTTTTAATTTGAAAAAAATGTACTAATAAAAAAAATTCTATGTGTGGTACATGATAAATTACTTCAGTTTTTATATTGTGTATTAGAGATAGAAATATTACAATTTGTATTACTTAAAAGAAATAAGTGCAAAATGCAAATGTTTGAGGTCAAATGTTATTACAGTAAAACTCGCTTATAAGGAAGTCACTTGGACCTGTGAGATTACTTCGCTATATCCGTAATTTGTTCTATCTGTGTAAGGAATTCGTTAAATTTACATAGCTGGGGATCCAAGAAAACTTCGCTATATCCATGAATTGGCAATATCCGTGTTTGTACTAAACGAGTTTTACTGTAATGACTATCTAAAATATTGGCAAAAGAAAACAGAAGTTATTGTTGCATGTTATATTTGAATTGACTATAAATGATCTCCAGTTCTAAATTCTAGAAAAACAAACTTAGGATTTTCTTGAGGAGTTGTCTCTCTTATCAGAGGGTCATTCCTCCTTAAATAAGGTGATATGAGAGAAACACTGCATTATTATCATGTGTATGAAGTGTAAGACTGGCCCCAAGATCCTCAAGGATTTGAACAGAAACCTTTGACAGTTAGCTTCATCATTCATCAAACCACTCATTTTCAGCTTGCACCTGCAAAAAAATTATGAGGATACATCAATTTTCATGCAATTTACCAGTAGATGCCTATTTCTTTGTCAATTAAGTACCAGTGTTGTAGAGTAGGATTTCCCCAATAGCCAGCTTTCTGTACTCTAGAGTAGGACTTTCTCACAATAGAGCCAAATTTCCCTCAACTTCTTTCTCAGAGTAGGATTTAATCCCGTTTTATCAAATTGAATGCTAAAATCATATCAGCAGTATTTTTGCAAAAAATTTAATTGAAGCAACTCATTTTTATGCCCCCTTATCGAAGATTCGAGGGTATACAGTTTTTGCCCTGTCCGTCCATCTGTCTGTCTGTCTGTCAGTCTAGCTGTCTGTTTGTCCACAAAAATTTTAACCTTTCCCATAACTTTTGATTGGTTGAAGCTATGGCTTTCATATTTCACATGTGTAATCCTTGTGACAAGATCTTCCTTTGGATTTCAACAACATTGACCTTTTGACCTTGGAGTTTGACCTACTTTTGAAAAACTTTAACCTTGGCCATAATTTTGAACGGTTGGTGCTAGGGCTTTCATACTTCACATGTATAATCCTTGTCACAAGTACGTTATTTGGATACCAACAACTTTGACCCTTTGACCTTGATCTTGGAGTCTGACCTACTTTTGGAAAACTTTAACCTTGGTCATAACTTTTGAACCATTGGTGCTTCGGCTTTCATATTTCACCAGTGTATTTTTTTGGAGAAGGCATTTCCTTGGGCACCATTAATTTTGACCATTTGACCTTGACCTTGATGTTTGACATACTTTTGAAAAAAACTTTAACTTTTTCCATGTCTATTCAATGGTTGCTGCTAGGGGTTTCATATTTCACAGGTTTATTCCTCGAGACAAGACCTTACTTTGGGTACCAACATAATTGATTTGCAGAAATTTTAACCTTTGCTATAAGTTACCATACGGGGGCATCAGTGTTTCACAAACACATCTTGTTTTTAATGGAAATTCCACTCAAGAATTCTTGAAATTGAATATGAAATCTTTAAAATATATTGTTCAAATTATTGAGTCTTAACCCAAAATTTTAATTCTATAAGAAATTATAAAAGTCACTCAAAAAATCATAATACTTGATGTCTTAACACCTCTCTTAGCAACAGCGGTGCCAGTTTTTCACAAATTTTAAAATGTGCATCAGGCCACCTTTAGTGATTTAATACTTTGTTTGCCCTCTACAAACCCAGTATTTTTCATATGGAAATATAGATGTATAATTTTCATACTTTGTTTCAGTGGAAATTTTAAATGTTGAATGCACAACTAGATTGTCTGAATATAATTTTTGTGAAGTTTCATTAAGATTATCCACTGCAAGATCACTTTTGGGAAAATTATAGAAGAGACATTTCTAACAATGTGTTGCCCCCCCCCCCCCCCTCAAACACATGTACAGGCATTATATTTTATTGGGGGAAAATTGGCTCTGGAGGAAATCACACTCTATAACTATTACACAAAGTCGGATTTCCCTCTGGAAAATTGAACCCATTTTCTGGGGGGAAATCCTACTCTAGAACAGTAATTTTAGAGGGGAAAGCCTAGTCTCTACGTGACCGTTAGGAAGAATGGGGAATTATAACATCTCTTTTCAAAATAATACCTGTCCTACTCCTCCATTAAAAAAATCCCTAAGATCTGCTGGACACATGGTTTCACGAATCTTCTGGGCTACAGTTTTACAGCTTACCTCCATTAGTACTTTAATATCCAAGTTATATGCTGCCTGTAAAAGAAACAAATATTCTTTATTTAGAAATAGAAAATATATTCTTTATTTAAAAATAAAAAATGTATTCTTTATCAAAAAGAGGAAAAAAAAATGATTTCCAAATTTTATTTGACCAACTCTTCAAGTAGCTTACTCGAACCAGTTCAATTAGAGTTATGTCATCAACTTTGAGGAATTCAGCATCCCAAGGGCAGATTTCATTTATTCCAATCTCCCTGTTTTCTGGGAGAGGAGGGTCATTTCTATGATATGTGCACCATTCAATGACCTTGTTAAGAATGGCTGTATTAACGTTGTGGATCTGGATTGGTTCATCTCTGTCTTCACTTATTATATCTGCAACAAGATTTGAACTATGATAATGTTCACCTTTTCTACAAGTAGGGCCTAGTTCATTATTTCATTATTCAACTTATATACAGACAGTATTCCATTTGCAGGTTCAACATAGGAGCTATCTGAAATTTTCCCTAGAAGTGTTTTATTCATGTAATTATCAGGCACTTGATGTCATACTCTTTTTTTTTAATCACAGGAAGTAAAAAATAATAATAATAATATTTTTTGTTTTAAAAATTGCAGTGATTATTGCATCAATTATCAATAATTTATCAATTATTGTGTATTATATAAGCAGACCTAGAGGTTTTAATTATATCTTACAATCTTTTTTAAGATAAGTTTATACTTACCTTTGATAGAGCCACATTGTCTGACAATATTCCTCCTCTACTTCTAAAACATCACCATTCATGCTTTGTAATTTTACTTTAGACATGGCTGCAAGTTGACTGGCTCTAAAGGAATAGATAATTAGTTCAAGATTTTTTTTTTTTTAAACAGTCAGATTGATCCTCAATTATACCCCTGCCCATCACAAATATGACCTTAAATATGGCATTACTTTTTATGGCAATGCCTTGACCTTTAAGATTTAACCTTGAGACATGACAAATCTCTTGTCATTATGCAGCACCTTATTTGTCAAAGTTACCATAAGTCATTAACAGTGTTGTGGGGACACAGAGTGTGGAGTACCATTAGGCCATTAGTCAAAATTTTCTAATGAACTGGAATTGACCAAAGATTGCAGAGCCTGGCCATAAGTCAAGGTCAAAATTACTATGAGTTTAGGACAGTGTTGTCATGGAGAATACCAACACAGTTTTTAAATAGATGATAAAAGAGAAAAAGGCCTTCACAAAATGATGATCAGCTTTAGGTCAAAGAGAGATAGGTGTAAACAAAGTTGTGAACAAAAATATACCAAGCACCTTTTACTTATAGGTGAAATTAAGTTGTGGGGACAATTTTGAGAGTAACATACTGGTTGGTGTTTTTTTCTTCTTTTTTTTTCTTCTTTTTTTTTTTTGAGAATTCTCATGCTTTCTATGGAAATCCATGGTGACAAGTGGAAGAAGTCTGTATTTATTTACAGAATCAGATGTCAAGCATTAAGAGTTGCATTCATTATATTGCTAATACCATATCAATTTATTGTGAGAAACTGTGAGTGAAGCCAGTTGTGTGGGGATGCTCTGCATTGCAGCAGTGCCCTTGTAGTAGGTTATATACTTCCTCATTGTCCTTCTGCCATTTCTTGGTGTTATTTTGATTCTTTTGGAAAGTGATGTCAGCGGAATTATTGTATTGTCTTAATAATTTTCATTGAAAAAATTCAGTACAAATAGATGCTAATATACCAAGGTCATGATCTATTTTTGCAGAAGGAAAGATGCTTCACCCTTTTACGGCTCTGCTTTTTAGTTCACCTGAGCTAAAGGCTCACGTGAGCTTTTCTGATCAAAGAGTGTCCAGCATCCATCTGTCGTCTGTAAATTTTTCACATTTTTGACTTCTTCTCAAGAACCATTGGGCCAATATCAACCAAACTTGCCACAAAGTATCCTTGGGTGAAGGGGATCTAGGTTTTTTCACTGGGAGTGCCACACCCTCTTTCAAGGGGAAATAATTAATAATTCACGAAAATTTGTTGGCATCTTTTAAAAATCTTCTTCTCAAGAATCACTGGGCAAGAAAAGAGGAAACTTATATGATAGCTTCATTACATACTCTAGATTCAATTTTTTTATTCTAATAACCCCAGGGGATAGGGAGGGGTCACAAGAGGGGGTCAAGGTTTTACATCGGAATATATACAATATGTATTTAAAAATCTTCTTCTCTAGAACAGCAAAGCTATGCTTAGTCATATTATAATAGAAGTATCCTCATGTAGTGTAGATTTAAGTTTGTTCCAATCATGACCCCTAGGTATAGGGCAGGGCCACAACAGGGGGTCAAAGTTTACCAAAGGAATATATAAGAAAATATCTTTAAAAATCATCTTCTCAAGAACAGCTAGGCCATTATTATTATTATTAGTATTGTAGAATCAAGATTGTTCAAATGATGACCCCCAAGGGATGGGGGGGGGGGGGCACAACAGAGGCTCAAAGTTTTGCATAAGAATATATAGGAATCATCTTGAAAAAAATGTTCTCCTCAAGAACAGTGAAGCCATGATTAGTCATATTAATTATTATGGAAGCATTCTCGGGTAGTGTAGATTCAAATTTAGGGTGAGTAGGGTGGGGCCACAATGAGCGATCAGAGTTTTGCATAGGAATACATGTACATAGGGAAAAATCTTTAAAATTCTTCTCTTTCAGATCAGCAAAGCCATGATAAGTGTTAATGATATGGTAGCATCCTGAGGTAGTGTAAATTTAAGTTTGTCCTCCCCTCCCCCTTAAAACTTTTCAATACTAAACTGATTTATGCTTCTTCCTAGCCAGTGTGCTCAGGTGAGCGTTTTGGCCCATGGGCCTCTTGTTTTTAAATGACAATATCACTGAAATTTGCATTGAGGACGTATGCAATAAACTCACACTGTATACTGTATTTGAATTTAAGTCAGTTAATTAACACTCAATTAGCTGTTCATTGATTTATCGTTTCACAATACAGGAATTCACTCTATTAACTTTCTGGGGTAGAAGGGTCGTAGTCTATATCAGAATGTGTTGTTTTTAATTTAACAGTTCACAGTACAATTATAACGTACTTGCCTCCTTAATTAGAACATTGCAATAAAATTCATAACTCGATATTAAATTATCAAACCGTTATATCACACTGCTTATGAAAGATTACACATTTAATGAATATTTCAAATATCTTCTAGACCTTTTAACATGTTTAATTCACCATTTCGCAGAGAGAAAAAAAACTGTCTAGTGGTAACTTTTTCAAATTTATTGTTTCAATCGTTAATTTCACTTACCTTAATTGCTCTATTAAAGTACCAAAAATAAATAAAATAAAATCACCAGGCAAATTCTAGGGAAACACAACAATGCCAACACTCCGACACTCACACAGCCTCCCTGCAATAAATAATAGCCAACATCCCTTTATTGTGAAAACATCCACAGGGGGTGACTAACACCGTGTAACACATGTCCATAGGGCTTCCTCCCATTGTGCTCTAATTATAGGGAATTAGATTGTGTCAATTGATCATTTTCCAGATGTGAAAGTAAATTGTGGTTACATTACATAGGTACAGATAATATTTTCATCTTGTTCTTTACCAATACATAGTGATTTTTTTTTTTAAATTATTATGATTGTAGACAATTTGTTGGTTTTGAAATAATGTATAAAGTTCTATGCCCCCCCCCCCACTTCCCCAACCTAAAACAAAAAATATATATATCTAGCAGATATAATTCTCACTCACACCTCGATGAAATAAAGGTAAGCTTATATTCATAAGGTTTATACTAATTGCTCATTCTTAGGATCTTAATGGGGCTTCGGTGGTTCCCTTCATCATCTAATAGCCCCCCCCCCTTTAATGCAAATTGATGGATCCGTGTCTGTATGGGTAAATAATATCACAAATGAACATGTATCCGATAGATACACCACCGTATCCTGATCTTATCAAATTGGATTAAGCTCTGTTACGGCATCAGAGGAGGGGTTACTATTATATGGACAACCTTTCTAGAGAACGCCAATTATATAATATATAAAATATTTGCACCTATCATGTAACTAAACGTACATTGGATCTCAAAACGTTAAATCTATGCTTACGTTTAATTCAGTCGAACACTGTTGAAGATTGATGCAAAAGGTTTGAAGATAAGTGTAATTGAATTACATATAGATACAATTTCTCATGAATTAAAGGTAAGTAGGAATATACACCGGGTAGATCTAAGTGAACTGAACTTATACACTACACTGTAACAAACATGCATTCCTTAGCCTCATCTTGCCGCGAAATGCTGTATGTTAAGAACGGAAAATATGAAGGAACTTCAGTAACCATGCATGAAAAATATTCCAAAGGATCATCGTTTTTATGACCTTTCTTCACACTTACAATCAGCAGTTAGACACGTGCACAGATTCAAATCTAAGCAGAGAATGCAAATATATACAACAGACCAAAGAGAATTCAAAGAACTTTGCAAATATAATCATGCTAAAATTTAGCTGTGTTCCCCCTTGCATATACATGTATATATTACGAAAGCCTATTAGGATCAAATTACGGTAAAAAAAAATTTAAAAGGCGTTATAATGCCATTTCAAAAGTCGTTATAACGCGAAAAAAGGCGTAATAACGCCCTTTGAAAAGGGGTTATAACGCGAAAAAGGCGTAATAACGCAAATAAAGGCGTAATTACGCCTTTCCAAAAGGCGTTATAACGCGAAAAAGGCGTTATTACGCCTTTTTAAAAGGCGTTATTACGCCTTTCCAAAAGGCATTATTACGCCTTTTCAAAAGGCGTTATTACGCCTTTTCAAAAGGCATTATTACGCCTTTCTAAAAGGCGTTATTACGCCTTTCTAAAAGGCATTAATACGCCATTATTATGTCTTTGACAGGCCGGTGCTTTTGAGGGGGGTGGGGGTGGGACAGCCTCCCATAAAATTGACAAGCAAACAAAAAACAACAACACAACCCCCCCCCCCCCCCCGAAAAAAAATAAACTGCCTAAAACTGAGGGGAATCTTTTTCTAACTTTTCGGTAAAACTTTTTTTAAATGCAATGACTTGCCCGAGTTTAACCATACTGCAACAAAATGTTAAGGGACCAAGCAATCAATAAATGTTTTTTTTATATTCAAACTATAGCAGGACTATTCTCCCAAAAAGTGGGGTGGGGGAGCCCCCCCCCCCCCCCTCGCATTCGTACTACTGGCCTGTTTGAAAATGAGTTATATCCAAAAATGGAAAGGCGTTATTTTAAAATAATAAATATATGAAAGATTGAACCAAAGCCATCTTTATTTATGCAATATTTAGATTATAGTTTTGATATTATAAATTATATTATAAATTATAGCATTTTCTATATTCCTGCACATCTCGCAGACAGCTGTTTGCATGCGTATTAAGAGAAGTCAACACTCTACTTTTGAAAATCCAGGATACAGGCAGAGCCAGCTTTGGGCTTTGCTATAAATAAAAATTCATGTCAAATTTGAAATATTTTTCTCTCCTCTTGGAGAAAAAACAGGCAAACTATTTGCATAGGTATAATGAGCAATTAGCCTTCAACCAAATTTCTGAAATCCATGCACCTTGGTAGAGGTGTCTGGCATCAGAAAAGGACTAAGTTGGTTTAACACTGAAAATATTTTACACATTTAAAAATCTTTTTTCCTGGAAATCTAATTATAATCAGCCCCAGGGGTGGGCTAAGTAAGTCATGTATTGAAAAATAAGAGGCGTAATAACGCCTTTTGGAAAGGCGTAATAACACCTTTTTAAAAGGTGTAGTAACGCCTTTTTAAAAGACGTAATAACGCCTTTTGGAAAGGCGTAATAACGCCTTTTGGAAAGGCGTAATAACGCCTTTTGGAAAGGCGAAATAACCCCTGTTTAAACGGCGTAATAACGCCTTTTTGAAAGGCGTAATAACGCCTTTTGGAAAAGCCTTCTTTCGCGTTATAACGCCTTTTGGAAAGGCATAATTACGCCTTTATTTGCGTTATTACGCCTTTTTCCGCGTTATAACGCCCTTTCAAAAGGCGTTATTACGCCCTTTTTCGCGTTATAACGCCTTTTCACGTTATAACGCCTTTTATTTTTTTTTTACCGTAGTTTGATCCTAGTAGGCTTTCGTAATATATTAGTATATACGAGGGGTGGTCAAAAATTAAGTTTGTGGACTGACGCGATTAAATTTTTATTTTATTTACAATTTAATAATTTTTATTTTGACATTTATATTCGCATAAGTTCAAAAACATGCAAAATTTCATCGTCATTATCCAAGAATAAAACTAGTTGTTGTTAAAGTTCAATTTATTCTCTCAAACCAGTCCATGGTACATGAGGTTCTATGTACAATATATACAAAAACAATATACAAGAAGCACGTAAAATGGCGGAAATACATACAAGTTAAGTGAACAAAACTAATTATGGTCATTGGAGGACCATCTTCGCTAGCCAAGGGTTTCCGATCCGAAATCTACTCTACAACCCTAGCGAAGATGTTGGAGGACAGACTTTTTCAGATATATAACTACACAATTTAGTTAATACACTGGAGTCAGCAGTTGACAATAATTCTGAAAATTTGTAACAATTTGGTCTATTACAATATTTATTATATATAGAGTGGATTACAATTTTTATAAAATGTTTTTTTAATGTAATTTTTCGGATAAATGGTATGGATTATAGATCATAAATATGTTTAAAAAAAGATAGTTTGTGAAAAAAAAAGCTCGAAAAGGCCCGGGGATCTAAAAGGGGGGGGGGGGGTTCCTGTCCTCAAGAACTTGTGATAAAGAATGTATCATTGTTTTAAAGAGGGATTCTTCTCATATTTCTTGTATTTAAAAATAAACGAAATTTTCATAGATTCAAGAAGACATTATCACTAAGTGATGGTATCAATAAAATTAAGTTTGACCGTTTTATTTTAGAAGCAAGGTCAGGTCAAGGTCAATATCTTTTTCCTTGACATTAAAAATGAAAAATTACTGTTGCCAATCATGTGATGCCTACTGCTATTTCAAAAGATTAAATGTTTTTCTTTTCGCATAAAAAGATATTACTTTATAGGGTCTATCAGATGATACTACAAAATTGACACAAATAATTTCACTAAAATAGATATTGGCTAATCCGAATTTCCTCTATTTTTCTTAAAATTTTAGGATATATTGGTTATTTTTAAATACTTTCTATATTTAAATTTTTATATTTAAATTGGAAGCTTTTAAAATCTAATAAAATTGTATTAAAATTGTATCTCTTAAATTCCTTACATCTAAATATATATGACATATAAGCAAGTATACTTTGAATATTTCATCTAGTCAGAAACCAGACAAGAATCCCTCCTTAAAAAAGATTTTAAATTTTTTTTCGTATATATATATATATATATATATATATATATATATATATATATATATATATATATATATATATATATATATATATATACCACACACACAGAGAGAGAGAGAGAGAGAGAATTGTTTATAATGTCTATCTATGGATTAATCAAGTAATTGCATTTCAGTGCATGTATTTTTAATTCCATTATTACCAGTAACAGTAACCTAAACTGCAAGTTATAAAACTTCCATGAAACCCCAGAAACCGCAAGGAATAGGGTCAAAAGAAAAAAAGCTTAACCTTGCAGATATTTACATCTTGTCCCAAAGTGCAATTAATCCATGTGCTTTATACATGTACCAGCTTTGATTTTCTAGATGCTCTCCTTTATATCAAAAGAATGATAAATCTTGTCTGAAGTAGAAGAAACATAAAATTTGTTCCAACAAATATGTTATTTGCCAAGTTGTCCAAGCAAATATCCAATTCCTATGCAAAACAATTTTCTTTTCTTTCTACCAAGTGTATTTAATGTGACCTAAGAAAGAACTTATTTATCCACACAAATATCTTATTTGTCTGAAGAACAAACTTGTCAGAACTATTACCTTATATTTCAGAACATATATTAAATTCATCCAAGAATTTATTTTTTTACCCTGGTCTTTAATAGCCCCATACTATTGCATTATATTCTGTATTTATAAAAGTTAGGACCTTCATGGATTTTGTAAATTTGTTAAAATTATTAAGATTCTAAAAGTACATAATGTATAACTTTATGAATAAAGAAAAATGTATTTGCTAGCAATGTCATTATAATGACCCAGATATTTTCTAAATGCTGACTTTGAGACTGTTAACAGCCCTGTAACATCAACTTATTTGTCAGTATCATGCCTCTGTTTAAAAGTTGACCGAGCATGCTCTAGCACACCCGATAAACACCATAAGCAAGGGATAATTGAATATTCCTTCATAAATACATGCAAGAAGTTTGCGATGGAAAAGCTGATTCGGAAGTCATCCCATCTGTCACATAGTTTAGTTTTTAGTTGGCCATAAACGTCTGTAATCAGTAAAATATCCAAATATAAAAAGGTAAATGATATGATAAAGAAAGATTAAGATAACAGTTTTAATGAATAACCACAGTGACTTATCTATTGTGGAATTTTTATTGTGTGCTGAAAACACAATAAGTCCAATAGATCTAAATAAATGCATTGCTGTTACCCGTTGCATGTATATTACATTTAAAAAGTGTGTTTGTCAGAAAAATGCATTCTGAAGAATTTTAAAAGCGTAGAGACCAAATCCTTGTCATTAATTACCTCTTCTAAACTTTATATCCCTCTGTTGAGATAGGGGTCATTTTTCAATGGGGGTCAACAGAAAACAATATCAATGTTACGAAATCTTTACATTTAAACACTTTCTTATACAAGCATTAAACTTTCTCTTTATTGAAAAAAAAAATCCATACTAAAATAATAGCAAAGTAGTCATCATTATAGTGTGAATTTTTTTTATTTAAGAAGAAAAATGTTTAAAACATCGAGTTCCTCATTTAAAAATTACGACAAGGACACAATTTGCACAGATACTGGGGTACACAGGGATATCATTATCCATATATTCCCAGATAAACTATGAATCATATATATATATTTTCACTGATCATTCTCAAAAATAATTTTAAAAACAACAAAGAATAAATATTTAGGAAAATTTTATAATTACATTAGTTATTTTTTTTCAAACAGTAAACAATGTGTTAAAAACATCATTTTCATCTCGGAGAAAAACTTTCAATTCAACATATATAAAGGTAAGTTGAAGTGAAAACTACATCTATTCCAAAAAAAATAAAATGAGGTAAAAATAATTTTTTCTACATCAGCAAACAAGAGAGGGAATTTTGTGATAAATTTTATCTTGGTGAAATATGTAGAGAGAGAGGAAAAAAAAACAACTAACAAACACTAAACAAAGCAACTTCACAAATAAATACAAAATGTGATATACAACATCACCACCATTGTGGTCAGGCTGATTATTAAGACAATTTATTTATTCCATAGCACATCGGAGACAACACTATAGTTTGTCGCTGTCCTTTGTAGACCTTTAGAAAGTCTCTCTCAAAACACAAAAAATATTTTTCATACATTCCCTTTATTTTTCTTCACACCACTCATTCTCTTTTCGAACCTGAAAATAAATAAAAACTTTATGAAATAACAGTAAAACTTCATAATACAAACAAACTTCAATAAAATATAGAGAATTTGAACTGTCAGTGAAGTACTGTTGACAGCTAGAACTCACTCAAGTCGCATTACCATCACTGCAAATGTAATTGACACAACCACTTATTCTGGCCTTAAAATAAGCCATGCTCTTTTTATGAAATCTGTGTGTCCCATGCAAATAAAATGAATTTCATACCCACAGACTCAAATGAAAACGTAAATCTGCTGAAGTTTGACCCAAAGGAAATAAGCATGTCTACAGTAAGTAAACTGTTTGAAGGTATATGTAGCAGTTGAAACACAAACAGACCTTCAGAGAAATTAAAACTGATATTGTAACTTATTTTTATTGTAATTTCCCACCTGTTCTTCTTCTGCTGGGGTGAAGTCATTCTTGATATTAAATGTCTTTCTGATTTCTTCTGGGGACTTTCCTTTGATCATATTTGCTACCGTTTTACAGGTAACATCCAACAGTCCTTTAATATCCAGGTAATTTGCTGCCTAAATTGTAAAACAAAAGAAAAACATTTTCAAGAACATCATTTTTCAAAATGAAGTACAGACCATTAGAGCTACCGTTCTGTCATCCACCATATTGACTAAATCAGGGATTTGGTCATCCATAATGCAAAAAATCCAAGTTATATCGTGTTTGTTTTAGTAAGATTAACACGAAGAGCTGATCAGCCATTGTCATCTTTGACATCATATGGTCACATAATCGATATCTAATTAACTTGGATTTTTCATTCAGGGGTTTTCATTTGAGTGTTTAATTTCTGCAGTATATCCCCAGTAAAATGTGTTTTTTAAAATGTGTTTGCTTTTTTGTCAGACTGAAGGGTACCTTTTAGATGAATTAAGGGACACAATTGTCACACAAAACAAAGATATAATTAACCCTTACATTTGCAAATGTTTTTCCTTATATAAAACAATTTGATCAATGCATATCTAACCCTGTATATATAGGCTCTACAGTCAGTGCTCTAGATTCTCTATTATTGGGTATGTTCAAAGGTGCCATTCACAATTCAAAAAAGGTACCCTTTTCCCAACTGAATGTTAAAATTTTCCAATTGTCACTTCCCCATAAATTAAAGAATATTCAGTAAGATATGTTATTACCAAATTTGTTATTCATATTACTCTATCATACAAAACAGAAATTTGGTTGATAACGAACACCAAAAACCCAATAAATAATGATTTTAATGTATTATGTCTATCTATGATTTTCCCAACAAGGTCGCTAATTTTCTCAATTTTTATGACCCCAACCCTGGTCCCAAAAAGTGGTGCAAGAGCCCTGACAGTTCATCACACCATCACATATTCATTGTAAATTCATAAATGGTGCATTTTCCCAGTGAAGTCATAAAAGTTCATCGAATTCAACAGATTCAAGTTTTACTGTTGAGTTTGAGTTTAAAATAAAAATTTAGTGCGTTTAAAACTAATAATTAATTACTAAAAAATTTGTTATACATCAGTCACAAAGATAAACAATTAACATAAGTAATAAGGTATTATTTTTAACCATCTAGCAGGGCATAAATATGGGATGGTATCTGATCAAATCTATCATGAATATTGAATACACTTGGTAAAGCCCTTTGAGCTCTATGGGAAATGATCATGTGACATATTTGAAACTCCACTGCCTGAGCCTGAATCCACTGAATTAATTCCCAGCTACTTACAAGAATTAATTCAAACAGAGTGCCCTGGTCAACTTTAAGGAATTCAGCATCCCATGAGCAGATATCATCTGTTCTCTTCTCCTTATTCTCATCATCCTCAGGCGGAGGAGGGTCATCTTTGTGGTAGGTGCACCAAGCGATGACTTTTCTAAGGATAGCTGCATTGACATTTGGAAGTGGGACGGGTTCTTCATCATCATCTTCTACACCCAGATCTACAGATACAAGTTTGCTTCTATTTTAATTACAAGTCATCTTTTCATGCTTTAAAACCAATGTCTGTTATTCTGAGAATATTTACTATATACCCTATTCTCTATAGAGAAGTGGACGGGCTTTAGCCTATATCCACAAATGTAGACGAAACCCCGTCCACTTCTCTACAGAAACATAGGTAATCAGAGATTACAGAGCTCACCTCAACGAATGTTGTCTTTAAGTAAGGCAAAGTCCCACACTAAACTAATAATCTTGGAGTGTGCATCCCTAGGTGCAACATTTATGCAATTTTGGTCTGATAGGGCTTGCAGTTACTTGGGAATAGACTTATCTGAAAACTTAAAACTAGTCACTCATCCAGAAAATGTAAGTCAAATCCAGCATCCGAAGCAAGTTTTGAGATTGTTCGCCCCTTGATGCATCATCCATGCAAGTTTGGTTCAGATAGGCCTTATAGTTACTTGGAAATGAGATCTGCTCCAAAAACTTTAACCTGGTTACTCATCCGGAAAATGTAGGTCAGATCCAGCATCCGAAGCAAGTTCAGTAGTGTGCATCCTTAGATGTATCAGCCATGCAAGTTTGGTCAATATAGGGCTTATAGTTACTTGGAAATGAGACCTGTTCCAAAAACTTCAAACTGCTCCAAAAACTTTAACCTGATCCAAAAACATTAACCTGGTCATTCTTTAGCTGAAACTGCAGCATCTGAAACTTTGACTGGTACAATGAAACACACTAGAAGCATCCTCCATGCATCTCTCACTAATATAGGCCATAGAAGTACTTGAAAACTGCTCCAAAAACCTTACCCTGGGACGCCAACACCGATGCCGAGGGTATTACATAAGCTCCCCCAACTTCGTTGAGGTGAGCTAAAAAACTATTCACCCCAGTAATCATGGTAGTCATTAGTGTGGAACTCATTTTGATGATATACATTAGTTTCAGCTCTATATCTCTTGTACCAGCAATGTCACACATTGAGAAAAACTGAAGGAATGTATAATTTTCCAAAGAACTGTGCACTGACCAGGGTTGTGGATAACCACTCGCCCACTCGCAAATGCGAGTAAAATTTGCTGTGGGCGATTAGATATTAAAATTATGGTCGCCCACATGGCGAACGATTTTTTTTTTCCAGAACATAATCACGTTTCAGATTTATATTATAAAGTATGTACTTTCAGTTTTAAGAAAACACACTACTAACCTAGACTTGTGTCACATGCAAGCATATTAGTCAAACATGTACGTGACTTTGATCAAACATGGCGATTTATCAAAGCGGTTAAATTTGCAATCTCCTTTAAATTTGATGATATGAGGCAAACTTTTGAGATTGTTCTTATAGAACAATTGTAACAATTGGCTATGGTTGTCAGAAACTCAATCCGGACAATCAGATACTCAATCTGGACTCATTATTCATAGATAGAATTTGAATTATCGTGCCAAATGCACACAAAAAAAGATCGGAATCAAACTTCATTATGAGTTGTATGCAGTTTATTATTTAATATGCCCCCTTGATAAACCATAGATGCTTCAGTTGTATGATTAAACACTACAAAATGTAATAACTATATTCTCGGATTTCAGTTTTTAGAAAAGACTGCAAATTAACAAATTGATACCAGGAATTAAAAAAACTCAGTTAAAAAAATTTAGGATTTTGTTATTTTTACTTAAAATATAATGTCACATTGAATGTGGGCCCGTGGAACACATTGTGGGCCCTTAAAATTTGTAAAGTTAGGAGCCCACCTGGCCCCTAAGGTTTCAAAAGTTAACCACAACCCTGCTGACTTAGCAGAATTTGGCCAAAGAAAGCATCTGCCTGCTGCTGAAAACTCCTTAAAGGCCAGCATTCAATTTTCAATCAAGCATTCATAGAAATTTACCTTCAAGCATAGTTTTGATAGTAACCGATTGTCTTGCAATCTCAACATCTATCTCGAATACTTCTCCCTCCAAACTCTGTAACTTTATCATAGGCATCTGAAAGAAAACGGGAGCTGATAGTCAATTTTATTTCTCAAATTAAAAAGCACAAGAGGCAATTAAGGCCAATATCCACCAAAAGATCATTTTTAACTATAAAGTTTGTATAAACTGTCATGAATTATGACAACTAGATTCGAACACATTGGATTTTTTTTAACCTTAAATTTCTCAACGTTCAGTTCCACTACATTAACGATGACCTGTATTTCATATCATCAGTTATCATTAGAAAGGAAACAAATATATGTGTGTAAAATAAGTAATCGCTTGATAAACACAATACAAAATACACGTCACTTGGCAAATGGTCATAACTATGTTAAGAAACACTCCGCCATCTTTGTTGGCAAGAGAGAACACGTTCGGTGATCTAAACAAATCAACTTAACTAAAGAAAATAATAGATTGGATTGCAGCGGTCGATCTCATAACAAAACTTTGATCAGGAATTGTAAATAAAAAGTGAAATAGCCTCACCTTGTTTGTATATTATGCTATCAAACAGACCAGTTTTCATAGAACGTCTGAGCCAAAATATTACGAAAATGTATTTTCAGAATATCGAGTCCGATCCAATACATTTTCAGACATTCACCTTGATTCTGTCAATATAAATCGACCAACTCGACAGCTAATACGTTATCAATGTATGCAATTTTTGGTATCCGACATGCACAACCCTTTTTTTAATTTCATCTGTGCATCTATTTATCTATTGATCCGTTGGATTTTTGAGATTATTTTTAAATTATAAACCCTAAGCTGAAAAAAAAATCAGGCCCCTATCTTATGGGATGGGACACATTTAAGAAATAAAAAAAAAAATAAAATTTTCAGAAGGATTTTGAAACTTTTCCCTCCTCCAGGGTGCCCCCACTTTTTAATGAGTATAGTTTTTCGCTAGAGTAAATTTTCCTTTAGATGCTGCCCCCCCCCCCTCCCCCAACACACACACACAATTTTTTTTGTTGCTGTAAGGTCGAGGGACTGGCGAAGAAGAAGGTATGGTTTTAGCTTTCTTGTGCCCTAAAAATTTAATGTTTTCAAAAAGTTTTGAAACTGGCTTAAATATTAGTTGAGTATATGACTGTAATAAATCAGGAAAGAATATAGCATGATGGAGTACCATTCTTGATATATGACGTCATTAATTTGATGCATTTCTCTATTTTAAACAGAAAAAGCCTCAAAATGACCCATTTCAAGGGTTATTTTCCTTAAGAAAATAGTGTTCACAGCCGTCGCCCACGTTAATTTTTAGACATGTTGTGTAAAATTGTTTGAAAAATCACATATCTCAAAATCTTTGTGGGCGATGCCTGTGGACAATATTATCTGAAAGAAAATTCCATTGAAAATTGATGTCTTCTGCAACTTTTTTAGAAAATACGGGAGAATGCACAAGTTTATGACGTCACAATTAGCATTTGGAAGGTCATATGAGAAAAAAGATTTGTATGATCTTTCTGTATGGAATTTCAATAATTCAAAAAGCATGAGTTTTAATTTTTTAAATCACTTTTATTTTTAAAGAAAAACACAGGGCAAGATTTGTATTGAAACCGTACCTTGTTCTTTAAGGATATAGATGATAATAATTAATGATTATTACTATAATTTTTTTTTCGCTGGTCAGATTGGGAAGTACCCCCCCCCTTTTGAAACCGAGTTTCTACGGGCCTGTAACTTGACATACTCGTACCTATACACTTGCATAATATGTACCTATAATTATTTGAAGATATCATTAAATTAAATGAATTGATGCATGCATGCATCGAATCAATTATTTCTCTCTTCAATTGAAAGGATTCGGGAATCAGTTGAATTAATAAGACCATTGATTTTATGCGCGCCGTGACAAGAAACAAGCCATGGACCAACTTGCAGCTAAGACAGAAGAGACGGCAGTACGGGGGAGCAAAGGAGAGTATACAGTTGTCATACCAGAAGTCACAGAGGATCTGGACATCGACACTGACCCATCAACTAAGGATGAGATAATGGATGCAGTCAAGACCCTTAAGAACGGAAAGTCACCAGGGTGCGACAATCTTGATGTAGAGCTATTTAAAGCAGACCCTGGAATACCAGCCACCATCCTCCAACCACTGTTCACAGCTGTGTGGGATGGAGAGAAAGTGCCTGATGACTGGTGTAAAGGGGTGATTGTCAAGATCCCAAAGAAAGGAACCCTGAGCGATTGCAATAAATAGAGGTGAATCACTCTATTGTCCGTGCCAAGTAAGATCCTGGCCAAGATAATCATTAAAAGAATGTCAGACGCTGTTGACGCTATACTGAGGAAAGAGCAAGCAGGGTTTAGGAAACATCGAGCATGTACTGACCAGATCTTTGCACTCCGCAACATCATAGAGCAGTGCACAGAGTGGAAAAGACAACTGTATGTAAACTTCGTGGACTTTGAAAAGGCATTCGACAGCATACACCAAGATAGCCTCTGGAGCATCCGACGTCATTATGGTATTCCATATCCAAACTGGTAAACCTGATCAAGAGCTTTTACAGCAACTTCAGATGTTCAGTAGGACACAATAATACTTTCTTCGATGTTAAAACCGGAGTTAGACAAGGATGCGTGATGTCTGCAGTATTATTCAACTTGGTCATCGTTTCAAGTCATGAGGAGGACAACAGAAGACTGGGGCCTGTTCTCAACTTTGGAGGACCTGGACTTTGAGGACGACCTTGCGCTAATGTCTCGCACACACCAGCAAACCTACGGACAGCAGGTGGGGCTACGTATCAGTACGAAGAAGACGGAGACAATGACACTTAATGTGGAATTGCCTGCTCCTGCTAAGGTTAATGGTGAAGAACTATGCCAGACAGACAACTTTATTTACCTGGGTAGCATCATTAAACCAGAGGGCGGCACAAAGGAGGATATCCACAGCAGACTGGACAAGGCCAGGGGAGTATTTAGAGAAATGAACAACATCTGGAGGTCTGCACAGTACAGCACTAGCACCAAGCTGAAGCTTTACCAGAGCTGTGTTGTATCAACTCTCCTATACGAATCGGAATGCTGGCGAATAACAGAGACAGATCTTACCAAGTTACAACCCTTCCACACCATATGCCTCCGCCGAATACTTAGGATATTCTGGTCCAAGAAGGTTACTAATGAAGACCTGCTGAGCAGGTGCAAAAAAGGGGACATGAGTACCATAATTACCAAACGCCGATGGAGATGGATAGGACATGTTCTAAGAAAGGGCCCCCAGTCAACAACAAGAACAGCACTGCACTGCACACCAGAGGGAAAAAGAAAGAGAGAGAGGCAAAAGACATAATGGCGAAGGACAGTTGAAAGCGAGATGAAAGCCATGCACCAGACCTGGGGATCATTGACGAGGCTGGCCAAGGATAGACAAGAGTGGAGGAAGTTTGTTGCTGCCCTACACACCACAGGGTGTAAAGGACAATGATGATGATTGCCTGATGCCACGTGCGTCAGGCAGTATAAGGATTAATTTTTCAGGGATCCGAAACTAAGCGATCATTCTTAATGAACTAGACTTTGTGCTAGCTGATTTACATCGGAATTTGTTACCTGCATTTAAAAAAATACAGCTTGCAGAAAAAAGAATCATATAACTGATGCAAAATAATGATATGTTTAATTCCTTCAGTTTTTGTTGCATACACATGTTTATTCTTCGCGATTCTTTGTACGGACATGTCCGTGTAACATTTTTTCTGCGTTTCTAAACTACTGGATCAGTCCATTTGCCTTCTACGAGAGGGGTGACACAATCATTTCGCGCCAAATGTCACATGTAAATTATCTTCGCGCCTTTTTCTTGGGTTATTTTATTGAATGGGTGTGATAACTTCTATGGAAATAAAGTTTATTCTTTTATCTTGATTCTTAAGCTCCAGATTTTTTATTAACAGTAACTTTTATCTCATTTTTTTAAGAGAACACATTGTATATGGACAGACAACATAAAGCAATGGATTTGCTGATTAGTCTTTCTATTTATCCCATAAGTGGACTAGTCTAATCATAAACAAACTCCCTCCACCTAGTAAATGGGACATCCCTTCTTGATTCATTGTTTTCCACCTAGCCTTTCTTTCAATATTACATTTATTAATAATGTATGTTACAAGGTTAGGTTTTTAAAAAAGCTTAGAAAGTCAAAGAGTAGCATATTATTTCATGCTTTGTGATGAACAAGGGTTTCCTTTTATTCAGTGACAAGAGTGTATGTCAGTACCCGTAGAGGAATGGGCTTCACTCCCGTAAGGTTCTAAGTAAAGAATCGGCAAAATGAAGAAGACATCATGATCTGTACTAGTTTTCATTTCATAAAAAGTACGTTATTATAATTTTGAGAAAGGTCCTGAAATCGATTGAAAAGAAAAACTAAAAAATTTCAAAACTGTATATAAAGATGTATTTCAAACTCATTTATAATACAAGTACATGTATATGGTAAGACCATCATCGCGTGAGTTTTTTGTCCGGGGGGGGTGGGGGGTGGGGGGGGGTTAATAGTATCTTGTTTTGCGCTAGCTATAAAGTCTACAGGTCATTTACTTTGATTTCTAGAGCAGCATTGAAGCATTTTTGTCTCAAATACTTTAAGACAACTTTCCCAGTTAAAACTGTTCATAATTGACTTCGTCGTCGAGAACGACGGAAAACAGACCAGTCTATAAATAGACGCCGTCTCATCAATCTATCACTGACCAGGGAGTGTGCATGAAGAAGCGCGCCCTCTAGCAAGAGAGTACATGTGATATGAATTTCTTTAAAACGAATCATCTAAGTATTTTTCCCAGAATTATCAGTGGCGGATCCAGGAATTTCATAACGGGAGGGCGCAGTAGAAGGCAGGGGGTCTGGGGGAGGGGGCTGTCTTGAAACCCCAGTGGGTCCAGGGCAAAGCCCTGATAGGGGTTCGGGGGCGAAGCCCCAGGAAGCTGACGAATTCTTACAAATAAGAGGTGTTTTTTATTTTAGGATAATGAACATATAAGTTCTACATACAAAAAATTCAAACGGGGGGGGGGATGCCCGGCGCTGGATCCGCCCTTGAATATAATCTACGCTAGCGCACTTGCAGTTTCATCCCAACGTAACTAGTCAGCCCGTGGGCTAACTAATAAATGCCCAAATAGTCGCATGTCTTAGATATTCTTTAATCTGTAGTTATTGGTTATGACATTTGAGAAAGTCAATTGTACATATTGTGAAATGAAGTATCGCAACCATGTCGCTCCTTGAATACGGAAACTTTTAGCACCCCTCTTGTATATACTTTCCATAGATATTGATTGATTAGTCAGGCAAGCTTTTTGAAAAGCTATTACTTGTCAATTCTAATATTGTGTGTTAAATACTGTGGCTCAGAAAAATAGATTTGGACCTCGGTATATATATGAAAATGATTTGATCTTTTTTAAAAATTCAATATTGAAGATATCTATAATTATTTTTTCAACAAATTTGTCAGAGGAATTAGTGCGCGAATCAATTCTTTTAAAGAGAGCAAAAATTAAATTAAAAAGATATTTTGTAGATTTGGGTTTGCTTGATTGAAGATATCACTAATTAAATTATTGTTCTCTTCAAAAGAAATTGTTGCGCGCGTTATAATCGAATGAATGCTACCATATATTCAACTGAAGATAATAACAATCCAATTTATCGCAAGCGTCAAATGGATTTATAAATGCGAATTGATGAGAGGAACAAACGAATTACCGCACGCATAAATTATTGCTCTTATCAATTGAGTTTTTGGTCGCCCGCGTGGCGAAGTGGTTAGAGCGTCTGCTCTAGAGTCGCGGAGTAAGGAGTTGATCCTTACGTCGCGGGTTCGAATCCCACTGTGGGACGTGGAGACCGGTCCTTCGGATGAGACCGTATAAACCGAGGTCCCGTGTCGCAGTAGGTGCTGGCACGAAAAAGATCCCTCACTGCTCAATGGCCGTAAGTGCCGAGTATAGGACAAAATTTGCAGCTCTCCACCGGCAAGTGGTGGCGTCTCCATATGAGTGAAAAATTCTCGAGAGGGACGTTAAACAACATACAAACAAACAAACAATTGAGTTTTTACGCGCATACAATCAATTATTGCTCTCTTTATTTCAATTGATCGCGCATCAATTCAGCATATTAATCATTGATTATATAATCAAATAATGAGGGATATTTTCAATTATTCGAGTTTATGTGAATTTGACGCCCGATGCAGTCTTTATGTACGTAATGTGCATTACGTGGGTTAATGTTTTCCGTAGAAATCTATTGGAGCCTTTCTTCTCGACTACGACTAAAACGTTGCGCACGGTGTTGGTACACATTGACGTTACGTCGAAATAACGTTATTCAAGTCATAACGTTGTAAACTAACATGCAACTAGCCTCTTAGTATATATTAATTTGAGTGGCCTAGGCCCAATAGCCAATATGCATCCTATGTTGTGTATATTAACCCTATCTCCCAATCTGGTGAGCGTGAACTACAACTGAGATTAAAGTTGTGCATAGGAGTCTAAATAAATGATCTTTAAATCCTTTTATCAATTACCGTCAGGCCTAAAACGAGTAAAATCAATAATCAAGCATGCCAATGTAATGACAATTCTCCAGGATCAGAGAGGGGGGGGGGGGGCATTGGTGTGGGGGTGTCAAAGTATGTGCTGTTAAACTTACGGAAAATTTCACGTACATTATGCTTCATCTTTGTGAGGCAAAATTTTCGCTCCAGTCCTTGTCATGCGCAGTGGAACAAAATCCTTTGGCATGAAAATATGTTTCTATCTTCTATAAAAGTATACCTAAGTATAAACTACTAGTACATAAAGAACTTGTGCCCTGAGATAGATTTCAGTATATAAATAACTTAAATCTATCTCATGGCCTCAGTTCTTAAAATTAGAAGAGGTTTCCCCTTATTGACAGTTACGAACATCTGTAATTTTTTGTCACAAGTTTTAAGCATATTCCTTTTGTGTGTGTGTGTGGGGGGGGGGGGGGAGGTTTCAGACCAACAAACTCGACTCAGTTATATCCCTTGTTCATTTTATTCGACGTTGTAACATATCCCTCGACATAACTCTAATTGGCTCTGAGTGACAAGTTGATTACATTGCCGTCTATCGATGCTGAATTCTGGCTAGCAGTTAGAATTTTATCTGTCCAATTGGCAAAGCTTCACTTGTGGCCAAGCCGTGGGGAAAATGTGCATGTGAGAAAATATGAGATGGGGCTTCACACCACGTGATAAAAAAGGAGGGAATTAATGTTTAAAGGAAGTTAAATTTAGAAAATTCATTACACTTTTTTTATGATAAAAACTTCAATTTTAACTCTCTTATAAAATTAGAAAAAAGGATACAACACAAAAGCATCAAATCTATAAAAAATATGTAAAAATAATCGGCATTTTCCGTAGGTCAACATGATACAGGTATAACACATTTCTAAAATTAGAACTGGAAAAATCTCCCTTTTACACTTTGTATCACTTTGGATGGATGAAGAAGAGTCAGGCTCCCTTCTTTTGAAAATTATCAGTGAAATGGTGAAAATACCCACAGACAGCCCCAGCCAATGGGCCAAGAACTTTGCAAATGATTGAATCTAAACTACATGAGGATGCCTGCATATCAATATGACCTCTTATGACACTGCTGTTCTCATCTTAACCCCCGGGGAAGAGGAAGGGTAGGGGGCAAATCTGAGGCTACTCCATATACACCAAATTTTCAAAGTTTGTCTTTTTTTGATTTAGTGATCATAAGAAGATTTTCAAATGATACGGTTTTCTATATCTCCCTGGGAGATTACAATAATTTTAGCAAACTGTGTCATCTCCAACAAAATGTGAGTGTGTGTGTGTGTGTGTGGGGGGGGGGGGGGGGGGTAATTATTCCACCATATTTTGTCTTACGTGTTAATGAAACATCACAGTAATAATAATCACCAATGTAGTTTTGCATGCGACTTCAAAATGGCCACCGTTGCAGTGAAAACAAAGGTCAGTTTCGAGCAACATACACTACTATATCCAACAGTGAAGTTTCTAGTTTGAATTCTCTTCTTTAGTTCAAGAGAAGTCGCTAAAAATCCTGCATATCATTTGTTAAATTTTTCACAATCTTTTATTGCATTACTATGCAACAAAGAAATAGTACTTGCACTGAATTTTCTCTCTCAAATAAGTACCAACTCAGCCAAAAAACTAGTTCAAATTGTCAATACTACTACTCATCAATACAATTAACCAAGCCATCAACATAAAGTAAAACAGCAAATAAATTATTGACATTTTATTGAATTATTGTACATCTCTGTATAAAGCAAATTAAATAGCAGCAGTGGAAAACCTTGCAATGTCAGTTACAGAACATGTTTAGTTTTGGTACTTTATCCATACGACATGTCATAATAAAGTAGTCATACAGAGAATTAACAAAAATTGACAAAGGCAAGCTTGGTATACTTGATTAAATATGAGAAAATCTGCATTTGTACATTCTTCATCTCTTGAACAATAGTAAAATCATGCCAGTTTCTCCATTTCACAACCCTGCATTAGAGATCCTTCTAGAATTTGCAATAAACATTTCAAAAACTTTTATCAAATTGGGTATAATATTTTGGAAGCCCTCCCCCCTTCCCCGTACCTGGAGTACTAGTATCTAGCTTGGTTAATGACTGATATATTAAATTAACCTGAGCAACAGACTGAATATATAAGTAGAGATATAATTTGGTTGTTATACATATATTAAAAAAAAATCTTAGCAACTTGGTCAAAAGCATCAAAATGAGAGGCCTACAAGTACATAAAATTGTATAATGGCCTAAACCATGGGAATAAATTTATCCACAGTCAATTAAAATAAAAATTCAGTTCAGTCTCACTCACTCTTTATATATATAAATAATGCAAGAAAATCTTGCATTATGGTCAAAACTTTACTGAAATACATATGTAAAGTTTGCATGTTTGGGTATGGTGTGGTCCACTACTAAAAAAGGATAAGAAAAAAAATATTTATGACAATCCCCCGTCTACTTGCCTGATGATGAACACAGTTTCTCTTTTCATGGCAAATTGATGCAAATAAATGAAAGACACATTGAACTTTTGGACTAGAATGTGTCTTGGGTAATCAAGCTATTTAAAATCAATTTGCATTTACTCTGTCATTGCACAAAAGATAATTTTCTCTGATGAAAAGAATATCTCTGCTACTTGAAAAAAAAAAAACATTTTGCTTTTAGAAAGGTCATTAGAGTTATTAAGCAACTTCCACACACACAGTTCATGATCATGGGGTACAAAGCCCAATCAAGATGAAACATTTCTTAACAATTCTTTCAATCTAAATGGCACATACATGTATGGGAAGATATTGTTTTCTTAATTCAACCAAGAAATCCATTAATATTACATATTAACACTGAATTCCACATCTCTTCAAAAGATGATTTATAGAAACCATTTGAAGCTGTGTTTACAATACTTACTCTGAAAAGCATTCTATCAACTACATGACTATCCTTTACTGAGATGAGTATCACTTTATGCTGTTGGGTATGCATATATATATATGTATAAATATATAATAAATACAACTGACTTTGGTGTAATTTCTTTTTTACACATATGGTTTATATGGTTTTATAAATATGAGAATAAGATAAATTATCATTCAAGGTAAATTTGGGTGTACATGCTCAAAATGGTTTTCCCATAACTAAAAATTATGTTCCTTACCTTATTTCTATGTACGATAATTAAAGCCCTATAAAAATCGAAAATATTACAAAATGTATGTAAACATAGCTATTTATGTAAATGTACATATGCTTACACAGAAAATTTTCACCTTTCAGTGTATTTAAAGACAGGTAAAAACTTTCAGAAATTCACAGCTCTATGGTCAGTACTTTTTCATCTCCAGACACAGAAGAGTCAGTTGATGAATCATAGGAAAAAACATGCATGTCCAAACATGTTGTTGTCATAATATTGAATTTTTAAAAAAATACATTTTTTTATATTTATTCCAAATGTCTGCATATCATGAAAAAATTAAGTATTTCTTCCTTTTGCAGAAAAATGATAGTTAAGAAGTTGTTGGTCTCCCAAATTAATAACAGTTTCAATAAAGAGTCAAAAATAACACAATACATGAAACAGATATCACAAAAAAAAAATCAACATTGTAAAATCACAGCTGAAAAGGGTTTTCTCTAACAAAACAGCAGAGTGACAAAATAACACTTCATTGAAAAAAGCTATTATGTTTCTTGTTGATTACAAGACAATGTTCACTACAATATGATACTCATATGAACAGCACTTACTTATTATTTTCATTATGATGCAAAATATATATTCACATTAATTTTCAACAAATTTTTTAACTTTTTCACAACTAAGAATGACCAAATAATCACTAGCAAAAAGGTTTCAAGATTGCATATTTAGCATCTTGACGATGGATAAATAATTACACTTCATTCTGACTATATGTTTAAAACAATGTGAAAAAAAAAGTTTGAGGCGGAATACTTGATATCACTGACATTAATAACAAAGCATCGATCATTTTCACTTCATTGCAACAATCTCCCATTCACATATTATGCACTGGTATATTGGCCCACTAAAATTGTAATAAAACACTATATAATCAATGAACAAGAAAATGCCTCTTTGAACATCCGCTAACCTGTTGAACAGTTAGCTGCCCGAACGCCTCCTGGTGTCAGTCTGCCATTGGATGGCATGCAGGTCCGGCCTGCGGCAGTCATTTTCTTTTGTGCTGGCACTGGATCTTGCCACATCATCATCAATTTAATCTCCCCATTACGCCATCCTACACTGATATGAACTAATTAGTTAGGTTTAAAAGTTGAATTGTCCACACAATGCTCTCTCTCCTGGTCACACAACCTCCGAGATTTCATCCTCACCGTGAAAGAAGAAACCACATTGTTCTATAAGTGTCTGTACTATAATTGCTGGGAGGCGCGTCATCTGTGTCATGTCTGTGTAGGTTTTACCGGTAAAGTCTATCCGCAGAAGAGTGGGCCATAAACAGATGGCCAAGTTTGAACTGTTCATGTTATGTGTCGCCTTATGTTGGCTCACTCTGTAATAAAGAAAAAAAAACATGTACTCTTCTGAATCATTCTTATGATTCATCTGGGTGAAGATGCAAGCATGTTGAGAGATAAGCATAATTACATTTGCACTAAAATTTAGATGGCTCTTTTATCTAAGTAACTGAAAAAAATGCAATGCAACATTTATATTTTTACCAATATATTTCTTAAACACAACTAGAAAAATTCAATCTTTAAACCAGGGACCCATGGAGCTCTATGATCCTCCCTCATAGGACAATTTTTTAAAAACTTATTTTAGTATCTACTCCTTTGTAAAACTTAGACAACCCCAAAGTATCCTCACTTAGTGCAAAGGGTATTCAAGCAAACAAATCTAAATTTACACTAAAAAAAGATTCTTTCATATCAATTCAACAATATAGAACTTTGTGCATTGTTTTCATGACAAAAAGTTATCCAAGTGATTCAGGTGAACAGAATTCAAGAAAAACTTCAAACTGTGCTTAATTCCCAATTATATTCATATTTTTCAATCCAATTACCGGTAGTCAGAGTTTACCTTTTCAGATGAGTAATGAAATACTTTAGCACTTCATAATTTGTAGGGTAAATCTTCTTTAGGACACCTCTTAAAGCTAATAACTTTGAACTCTTGTCTGGCATACCTGAAGAATTAAAAAAAAAAACATGGTGACAATCTCTAATTAGCCTTCTGGCTCTGTCAAAACATAAAGTATGTTTTTTTTTTTTTGTTTTTTTTTTTTAAATTTGACTGATAATGTGTAGTGTTGTAAATAACTTTGCAATACCACTGTTAACCCACAAATTTGTGTCTCCTATGATGTATCCAAATATAGAGTGCAAAATCAGACATAGCTTTCAAACATTTCTTTTTGGAAGTGAAAAGAATACAAGATAGTACAGGTTACATCATTACAGTAAAAATACCCTACATACATAACCAAGTATGTACATAAAGAATGACTCAATAAGGCATTAGTAAAATGTTAATGCATGCAAATCCTGAAAGAACTACTGATATCTGAATTCTGGTAAATCACTTTTACCATACCAAAAGTACAATGTACATATGATAGTAACATCCCATTTACTGCTCTACAAAATCTAATGAGTACCAGAGTTTGGGCTCTAAAAATACCCAAAATTTTAACAATATCCAACAAAAGAGGAAAAGATTGATTGAAAATGTATGTATATTAAATCCAAGACCATTCTTACATTTGATATGTTAGTTGCTTGATAGAGAATGCTAGAGATTAATAGAATGAAATATGATTTCTACAAATAACAGTCCACCATGGAAGGTCAAAGTTACACCACAGAAGTTTGAGGTTACACCATGAAAGGCAAAGGATATTCTTAATGATGCTTACTGGTAAGTAACACAAGCTAACTTAAACATAACTTTGGCATGTATGAAAAGTGACACCTCTGCAAAAACAACAATTTCTTTTACAAAATAGTTACTTGTTTTGTTAAAAGAGAAATTTCAAATTACTGACATGAGTTTACAGTCATATTTACAAGAGGAGACAAAGGATAGAAAGTTAGAGTAGACACCTAAATGTACTGGTAGATCACTGACAAAGTGGTAGAACACATCCTTTTTAAAACATATATAGAAACGTCATAGACTCATGCACAGTAATTAATTTTCATTCACTGGTACTAAGCTATTTGGTACATGTATGTCTTTTGTAGTTGATATACAAATATATATAGAGTTATGTATGTGTTGATGCAGTTCGTTGTAATATATTTTCAGTGGCATGGGAAAATGACAGAATTATAATGACAGAGATGTTCATGGAAAATTTGTTAATAGTGGTATATCAGTGCTTAGAAAAATAATGAAGCAATAAAGCACACAGGCAGGCACGCCAGATGTGACCTCTAACATGACCTCAAGCTAAATTGTGATTGGTTGATATTTTTACCTTCAGACTCATCATCCTGCTCAGTAATCTTTGCTGTAAAGTGTACACAACAATTAAAACAACACTCTAATCAGCTACCGGATGATGCATTACACAAAGTTTCACTTTTTGAATTTCAATATTTTAAACATCATTTTTGAAAAAAAAAAGTCATTACGATTTTATCACTATACAGAAAAATGTAGTAGAAAAAAAATTGTCTGATGTATGACTCTGAATTTCTAAACAAAAATTGAGGACAAGCTTATTAACATAACAATCATTTTACAATAAAAAGTTTTTTAAAAAATTTTTTTTTGCTTTTAATACAACCATGCATCAAAAAAATTCACACATCAAAACCTTTGACAAGCATTCTTGAAGGTCAATTCTCAAAGAAAGCATCCATCATTAAAACATACAGTATACTCAAAAATATCTTTAATCTGTGAGAATATTTGATACCTTAGAGGATATAACCAAAGACAACACTCAATTATCATTTCTAGAAATCATAATCATTGGAAACACTATAACTAACCTGCTGCTTCTAACAGCTCATCATGTAGACTAGGGGGAATTAAGGCTTCAGTATCGTTGATGAAATTCTTCAGAACAGTTGCCACAGCATTCACTTGAATGTCCAAGCTATGGATGTCTATTGAGGGGTCTGAAAAATCATTGGATGCAAACTCAAATTGTAATTAGATTTAAAATGAAGCAGTTTATTTTTAATAAAATTCTCCATTTTAACTTTCTTATAAAATATACAGTTAAACTTCGTTATCTCGAAATTGACGGGACCGTTGATGAACTTCGAGATATCCGGGGGTTCGACATATCGAGGGTTATAATTCAAATGAACTTCAAATAAACTTAGTGCAGTGAACATGTACTTAATAGTAATCCTTCTTGTTTGAAATTCTGTATAAGATTTCTTTAATATACATGTACATGTATTTAGCAATCAAAAATTTTTTTTACATCCTCTTTATAATTCACAAAATAAAAACTTTGTATAATATGCACAGAAGTATAATCCAACGCGGCAAGTCAACCACTAGGCATCGTTTCCCATGTTTACATAACCGGATATCGTCTATGCATTGTAAATTTCAAACCGATCGCTGTCAGAGTAACGAAAACGAAATATACATTTTCTTTTATTGGAAAAACATGTTCAGACATGTAAAATCAGTTAAAAGAAAATTATTTTACCATAATGAAATCAAATGCAAAAGAAGAATCTTTGACTAACAACAAAACACCACTGAATCACAGGGCACTACAGCACAAGCTTTCACTGCGACATATGCTCACATGATGGTGTGTACGGACGATTGTAATTTCTGCACGCTCATATAGGGGAAATAAATTCTAATTGCAGTAAATTACTTTGTTTTACTTCAATGTTTATAATTTTCACTTTAATATGCATAAACTATGTATGCGTGCATATTTCACATAGCATTAAATAGCGATTATCAAGATAAACTACCCAAGCCACAAAACAATGAACGTATCATCCACGCGTATGCATTAGACTAATTCACACAACCTTTGGCTTGCATAATTAAAATCAAGGTAAGTCATACATACACTTCGTATAATTATTGCACATTATCTGTTGATCAAAGGAACACAGGTAACCCGAGCGTGACAGACAGGTGGGTGTTATTAATAGAGCATTCAGTTTACCTAACGGACTTGATCATTAGAGCGGAAAATTATCCTGACTTCGAGATAACGCATGTGATTTTAATGAATGGGTACACAATTTTACTTAGAGATAACCGGGGTATTCGACATTACCGTGTTCGACAAAGAGGGGTTTATTTTAATCATTTCTAAAGCAAATTTCGTCGGGACCGCGGCCTTACTTCGACATATCTGGGGTATTCGAGATATCCGTGTTCGAGATTTCGAAGTTTAGCTGTATTAACATAATAAATAAAATTCTGTAATTACCCTCTTGCAGTTTACTTTGAAGTAGTTCCACCTGTAGCTTGTTACCAGGGATACGGTAAATACCCTCTGTGTTCATACCTGTATAAAAGTATGACATCTCGTAAAGTAATTATTTAACAATTAAGTATCTCATATTCATTTTAATTCAAATTCTTTACAAAATTATCCCAGAAAATACTGGAGTAAAAGTTTAAACTAGTCAGGATTTAAGATTCCCTATCCAAAATAGTCAGACAGTACTCGCCTAATATCACTTAAAACTAAAGTCAAAAGTACTCTATCAAACAATCTATGTCTTTAATACGATGTTACTTTAGTCCTTTTCAGCAATTTCAATCATTAAAATGTGTTGTCTAATCTGTAATGTTGTCTAATCCAGCCAATTTGGCCAGAATAGACAAGTTTTACTGTATTTGGAAATAAAGATGGTATACTGAACCATTTGTTCAAGCTATACTTTCTTCTACATAATGTTAATCTACCTTCATTGTCTATGTATTCCACACAAGTCTCTACAAACTGTGGTAGGGAGGGGTTATTGCTGGACATGGGGAATTCACTTAGTTTACAGCCACTCTCAGACGTCCCGGGACGACCGTCCTTCTTCTTCTTCTTTTGTGCTTTCTGCTGTTCTTTTTGTTTTCTTTCCTGAAAAAACCAAAACAAGTTTTATTATAACATTAAGAAGCTAGTAAGATTTCTGAAAGTTGATGAAATTTAAGGCACAACTGTATTTGTAACTAGAAATCTGACCAGTCAGCAAGGGCCCCGCCAAGGGTTAGAAATATAAGGGTGCAGATTAGGGGATGAGAATTTTACTTGATTCCAAAAAATTTCAAAATATATAAAGAATAAGCAAGCAACAGCAACTGCTAAACATCCAACAATCTGTAAATAGTATCCCTGTATTTACATAAGGCAGTAAAAAACATCATATCTATAATAACTCAATTAAAGTATATTTAAAAATGAATGAAGCATGTGTTTTCTAAAATGCCAGCCATCAGTGAATGCAAATATCACTCAGACTTGACCTTAACTTCAAAACAAACATCAGTTGCAGACAAAGGTGTTAATTAATCTTAAAGTGACAGAAAGATAACCTCTAAAATATTCTGCGAACCAGCAAGATAATCAAACCCACGGGATTAATTATACTGCTCTCTCAACCTTTTCTTCTAAGTTTACCATAAGAACTTTTTCAGCAATGATAGAATGAGGTTATTATCTGAATACCTGTTAAAATAATTAGTATTCTTGAATTTACATAAGGCAGAAAAAAAGAAAAAAGAAAATACATGTAACAAGAGGCCCATGGGCCACATCGCTCACCTGAGTAACTTTGGCCATGCTGTTCTTTACCAGATTTCCCCCTTGTAATACTTATTGTGGCCCCGCCCTACCCCCGGGGGTCATGATTTTAACGATTTAAAATCTACACTATCCCAGGATGCTTCCACATAAGTTTCAGCTTTTCTGGCCCAGTGGTTTTTGAGAAGAAGATTTTTAAAGATTTTTCTTACATATTTCAATGTAAAACTTGAATTCCCTATTGTGGCCCTGCCCTACCCCCGGGGGTCATGATTTTAACAATTTTAAATCTACACTATCCCAGGATGCTTCCATATAAGTTTCAGCCTTTTTGGCCCAGTGGTTCTTGAGAAGAAGATTTTTTACTGACCCCACCCTATTTTTGTCTTTTCTTGATTATCTCCCCTTGTAAGGGGACTTGGCCCTTTATTTTAACAATTTAAACTCCCCTTCACCCAAGGATACTTTGTACCAAGTTTGGTTAAAATTGGCCCAGTGGTTCTTGAGAAGAAGTTGAAAATGTGAAAAGTTTACAGACGGACAGAAGGACAGACAGACGGACGACGGACAAAGGGTGATCAGAAAAGCTCACTTGAGCTTTCAGCTCAGGTGAGCTAATAATAAAAACGATATATTTATCTATATCTTGTTTTTAGAATTCAATAAAATCATAACTCTTTGTGTATTTTACCAAAATAAAGTATGAACATTATTTAAATCCACATTTCAGAGATTGTAAACATCATTCAGAATTGACCTTAACTTCAAAACAAACTTCATTTGCAGACAGAGGTGTTAATTAATCTCAATGTGGCAGATAAAGATAAATGCTTTGAATTTTCTTCAAGAGGAAAGTTAATTAATCCCAAGAGACTCATTGTAGCCTTTCATAGTTTACAATAGGTCTGAATAGGAACATTCTCAGCAGTTATCTCTCTTTGCCCATTCACTCTTATATAAAGTTAAGGAATCTACCCCACCACCCCAGCTCCAAACCAGATGACATAGAGAACCAAACTTAGCATCAAAATATGTCTTACTGCCTATTTAACCAACATACCAAATTTGAACTTAATTGGTCAACCCTAAAAAAAGTTATTAGAAAAAAACAGAAAATTTGTGGACGGAAGAATGACAGACAGATAGACGGACAGACAGACAGACAGACAGACAGAGTGATTACTATAGGGCACCCACAAATCCTTGCTGGGCCCTAATAACCTATATCACATCTAAATGTTTTAATTTACTTACTTCACATGAATAACTCACAAAGTGATACCCCCTGTTCCCATATGAGTATAATGACAAAGTCCATGTTTTGCTATGGGAAAGCCCAAATATGCTTAAAATAGGAGGTGCACAGTAGCACTATGTAATAAAGATTTCTGGGAAAGTCTCATCAAATTTTATTCAGTGGTATAGGAGGAGTTGCGGATAAGAAATCGGTCCCACCAATATTACAGAAAGAATGGCAGTATCCATGTTTTGCTATAGGAAACCCCAAAAATGTGTCTCATCAAATTTAAAATGGGAGGTGCACAATGGCACTATGTAATAAAGTGGGAAAGTTTCATTACATTTTATTCAGTGATATCGAAGGAGTTGCGGATAGGAGATGTACCCAGAGCCTAACAGAGGGACGTATAGACGGACAAACACCCCAATCACCATATACCCTCACTTTTCAAACAGAGGGTATAAATAAATATCAAATATATATATGACAACTTGCATTTGTTGAGAATTAAGAAAAGTTGCAGGTGTAAACAAGAGAGCATGTGATGTATGTGGTATATCAATTGGTCACAAATGAATGATAAATAATCTATTAAAATACGGCAACCTGTACAGTATTTGCAATTGGTCACTACCCATTAAGTATCATTGTAATTTTGTGAAAAGTTTCCCAATAAGGATGTTGAAAATGGACTGTCAAAGTTGCCTATCTTGCATCTCTTTCAATCAGTTGGTGTGAGGTTTGTTAATTTTACGATCTCTCAATTGAAAAATTTTGAAAATATGACATAAAAAAAATGATGTTAAACAAGCATTCTGAGAGTATTGCATTAGCAATACTAGTCCCCTACCGGCAAGTGTAATCTGGTTCCCGTTAAGAATTGAAAATGCCATAATTCCGTCAAAAATCAACGAAGCGGGACGAAATGCATACTTGATCTATAAGTAATCAAGGTAAAGTCACATACCAAAAATCAGCTCAGTATCTGAAAGCGTTAAGAAAAAAAAATGCGGAAAACCCCTAAAAATTGAAATGGCCGTAATTCCGTCAGAAGTCAATGAAAAAAGTGCGGAAAACCAAGTGGGACAGACTGACAGACAGACAGGGGGACAGACAGACAGAAAGACAGACAGACGGATGGACAGACAGATGGACAGACTCAGAGGAAACCTATAGTCCCCTCCGGTTTCACCGGTAGGGGACTAAAAAAACAACAGAATAGCCCTGGAGGTATAAAGCTGCAGAGGAGAAGTGCTTTAGACCATGCTTATTAGTCCCCTACCAGTGAAACCGGAGGGGACTATAGGTTTCCTCTGAGTCTGTCCGTCCATCTATCTGTCTGTCTGTTTGTCTGTCCGTCTGTCTGTCCCTCTGTCTGGCTGTCAGTCTGTCCCACTTGGTTTTCCGCACTTTTTTCCTAAATGCTTGCAGATATTGAGATGATTTTTGGTACGTGAGTGTATCTTGATGAGTTACAGATCAAGTTTGCATTTCATTCCGCTTCATTGATTTTTGACGGAATTACGGCCTTTTCAATTTTTACGGGTTTTCCGCAATTTTCTTCTAAACGCTTGTAGATATTGAGCTGATTTTTGGAATGTGGCTTTACCTTGATTAGTTATAGATCAAGTTTGCATTTCATCCCGCTTCATTAATTTTTGATGAAATTATGGCATTTTCAATTCTTACGGGAACCAGATTACACTTGCCGGTAGGGGACTAGTATTTCTAATGCAATACTCTCAGAATGCTTGTTCATACACACAAATAAAAGATATAACTCTGTTTTGAATGTGCATGCTTGTTCTTTTATATATATATTTTTTTAATCATTTCTTTTTCAGTTACATTTGGTTTTGAAAATTAGCAGAGACAATGCAGTGTAACTGAGACTGATCACACTCTACATTTCATACCTGGTTATTGTCTAATTGTGCTGTACTTTTCAGAATAGTGGAATATGGCATCACATGAACTGAAGCTGTACAACCCATGCCTTCCTTTTATTATATCTATCTCAATAGTATTCACTTCATTTCAATCAGATATGAATTCTCCTGAATGGTTAATGTGTAGGGTTTTTTTTTTTTGATAACTTCCATAACATAAAACTAATTAAACATGGTTACTTGGCACATGTCTCTTGTACACTAAGGCACCTGGTAATGCCATTTAAATCCAAGGCCATGAAACAATAGATAGAGGTGATACACACTATTCTTGTATTCTGACGGTAAACCAAAGTAACAAATTTATTATCCTAGAAAATACATTTAATAGCAGCTCCATATTCAACTCCTCATATCATTAGGCATATAGTCAATTTCAATAAAACTTTCACTATGCATAGCTAAACCCAAAGTGTACAAATAAAATTTTATCTAACTTGCTGTACAACTGGAGATTTAAATCCATAAAATCCTGTATACGTCTTTAGTTCAGTTTACCCATTCTAACAGAATATGTGTATTGATCACAGGCCCTTTAAATATCTACCTGTATGATAGGATTCACAAAAGCAGAACACAAAACACCCAAAGAACAAAGAACCTAAGAATTATAGATTGTGTTAATTAATTATTCATATAAATGAAGGAATTAGCAAATCATGATATACCGAGATTGCAGAAATAGAAATTAAATTCAAATTGATTAGTACATGGTTCCACATGTAGGTCGTGTATTGAACTGAAGCTTGACAAAGAAATTTAATGACCTTTTTATGGTACTACATGAACTCGGTAAAACCTCACAAGTAAATAAAATATTTCAGAGGGTGCTTGACTCCATAAGATTTAGTGGGAGAAATTTGCAAGTTACACAGATTAACTACAAATGATATCTTATTGACAGAATGTGTACTGCTACTGCAGTGACAATCGTCTGGCCTGTGTAGCAATCAATATTTCTGTGTTATTACCACTTGGAATTAATACTGGCCTTATTAGCCCAACGATCCTTAATCATTTCACCTGATAAACTAAGCCTATAAAAACAAATTTGATGTTTTTTCTTTACATATAAGCTTGTCATAATCCAACAAATACATGCATCTGGATTTGAGATTTTTCACAGGTGATGGGGTTTTGGGTGTGATTGTCCAAAAGGACAAAACCATTCTCTTCCATGCAACCCACACAGACTGTGAATACTGTAAAATCACATATTTTCTTGGGGTCAAATTTTCATGGTTTGAGGAAAAACTATGGGTTCATGGGGATTGATCTTGTGAATGAAGAATTACCAAGTTGTTATGTATATGACATTTTACAGGTGGTGGACATGAATTTGTGAGTCTCCTCATACCTCGAAAACGATGAAAATTCCCCCCCCCCCCCTACAGTAGTAGACAAATGCTGTGCTAATCAACCATCAAAAATTTGTATCCCTTAATTAAAACAGAATATTCTCTTTCTTCTTACAATACCCATAAATATTTTGGCTTGGTTACCTTTTGTAGTAGATCTAACAGAATAGAATTTCCTATTGCTTTAAAAACTTTCGAAAGAAATATTCATTATTACAATAATAATGCATATTCCTTGTAGCTGACACTTTCTAGCATGTTGTAGTGGGCATACGTTTGAGTTATGGCTATCAAAGCCGACACTTTGTAGTATGTTGTAGCGGGTATACTTTGAGTTATGGCTATATTATCGTGTAATCAAAGCTGACACTTTCTAGTATGTCGTAGTGGGCATATTTTGGAGCTGTTACTACATTATAACGCAATCAAAGCTGACACTTTTTATTATGTCGTAGTGGGCATACTTTTGAGCTATGACTATACTTTAGCTGACACTCTCTAGTATGTTGTAGTTGGTATATTTTTGAGTTGTGACTATATTTTTGCCTACCTCCTCTTTTTGTCTCCTCCTCTCATCATCTTTGATCCTCTTCTCTTCCTTCCTCCGATTCTTGTCTGCTTTTAGGGTCCTAAACTTGGTCATCCAACTTCCACTGTCATTCAGGTCAAATTCCTCAAAACTTGAAAACCCTCCCTGGTTTAAAAGGGAAACCACTCATGATAAGACACCACCATACCTTTCTATTCCATTTTCATTTGCACAAGATTCCATTTTTAGTATTCTGTTAAATTTTTAACACAGATTTATCATACTTACCCGAGGCATGGTGTGTGAGTACTCTTTGTTTGGCGTATCGAGGTCAGAGTCTCTGTAGTTACCTATAATACAGATGATAAATTGTAGCTATACCAAAGTTGAGTCTGGTTTTCAAAATATTCAGAAGAGAGGGTTTTGACAACACAAAGAATATGACTGGGAAAATGTCGGAAAATATATGGATTCTAGACATACACATTTGATATTTATGATACAGAAAAAATTGCACAAAAATACAAAGAAAAATAAATGAAGTGGTGCCTTGTTAATCTGAGCAACTTTATCCAATGCATGAACCATACAGTTTACTGATAGCTTTTTCAGAGGGCTTGTGTGTAACATGGTGAGGATCATTTATGTGAAGAAAAGGAGTTTTTTTGTTTTTTTTTTTAAATCAGTCCTGTCTTTAAATTATAACATTTTACCAAAATCTTTCATTTTAAAATAACTTACAGAAAAATATAATCAATGTTTACTTCTTATCATATATTTAAAATTTAAATGTTTTTGTCGATCATTGATTTCAGAAATATGATTCTATATAATTCAAAATAAACATTATGTTACGTCATATATTTATTAAAATACATACAATTTATGACCACATGTAGAGTAAGAGTGCTAGAAAAATGAATACTGACTTTAAGACAATAAGAAAAAAGCTCAAAGCAGAACACTGTAAAGCATTACACAGAAAAAAAAGCAGGGAAACTATTGACTTAGCAGTGATTATTATAGCTAGTAAAAGTTGATCATATTAAAGGTGCAGTATTAGACCATGTAGTTCTCATATAAATAAAAACTGTGTAAGATTGTGATTGAAATGAACACACTTCAATGGCTTCAACATTTCAGTGCTTCAGTTTTCAGTAAACTATGATACTGTATTACAATATTGACCCTTTGGGTTCGTATCTCTGTAGCTACACATAAAATAGTTTAACAACATACATGAGAGAGCTATATGAAAAAGTATTCCAATCAACAAGCATCAAAATCTATGATTGAACTCTAACTCCATCCCATTCATGCTTCAAATCTAACACCCCTCCCTAGTTCAACAACACCCCTCCCTAGTTCAACAACATCAAGAGTTATGGGGAGGTACCTGGTGAACCCAGAGATGACTGGGGACTCAGAATATAATTGTCAGTCACCCCCTGCCACTTCCAGTGTTTAAACATGCATTTCTTCATTGGAGTTTTATTCATCTCATCCCCCGTTTCTTCACTTTCTGTGGGTGAATCACTTCGTTCTATTTGGTGAGAAAAGGACTCAGTAATTCATGCATACTTTAATTCACTGTTGACATATTCTCAAAGACTTCAAGCACTAAAGTGATGAGAGTTTAGATCCCTATATATCTGAGCATGAAATAAATGGTACCTGTACATCAAAAGGACCTGTACATGGAAAATCAAGTTATGGTAGATTTTACTAGCCATCTGAAAACTAGAAAACCCATAAGTTCCCTTGTGAATTTTGTCAAATTCACAAACATATGTACATATATACGTATATTTTGCAAATAAAAGCTTATATTAGTTTTTAGTTTGTGTAATATATTCATATACATGTACATGTAAGTATATATAGAGTAGAAACACTTATCCCAAAGCTGTTATTTTATGACTACAAAACTGCCAACATCATGAAATGAAACACTGTACGGAGGGGGTCAAGGGGCTGCTTAGGCCCCAGGCAGATTTTTTGTCTTTCATTAACTTTAAGATTATTTAGATCGCAAGTTGGCATAAAAAATGACAAAGCAATACAGGCAAGCTCTGTTAGGACTTTGACTTATAATAATAGTGCAAAATGAAGGTTGAAGCTATGAAAATTCTGGTATTTCAAACTTTTTATAAAGAAAAATGGAAATCGGAAAAATAAATTCCAAAATTGTAAGGCATATTTTAGATGCTTAAACCGCAAGTCGTATGCCAAAATTGTAAGGGTTGGCAGCTTTGTAACAAGATCTTAATGAAAGTAATATTAAGGTTACTGATATCTACAAGTAAGCTACGCAGATCATATTCAGGGAGCATTAATATAACATAGGCTAAATATACAGATCGTTGAAGGGTGAAAATGCGTTACATACTCCAATCATCCTTTTTAAAGGCAAACAACTGCAAGCATGGCATAAGTTAATAAGCATTAATAACTGGACAGTGTTCACAGTGACATTATCTAACCTCGGTTGTCCCTGCGTCGATTTCCTTGTGGGCGTTCATCAGTATATACAGGTATGGTGTACACCTGTCCATCTTGTGACTTCTGTTTGGTTTTCTTTTTGTGAGGTGTGGGTTTCCGATTTACTCTGCTGTAAATAGAATCCTTGTCCTTCTTTTCACGCTCCAGTGAACTGAACTCTCCGGAATCATCTGAATCTTGAGCTTTTTCTGAAAAATTTTGTACCCTCCAATTTGTACATTATTTCAAATGACATAGTATTCCATCATAGATTCAAGGTTTCTGATGATTTTGGTATTAAAATAGTTCAAGAACTGATTAATTTCTAAATTCTTTTAACATTAACTGGACACCATTTTTAATAGTCTTACTTTTGGATTTGCGTTCCTGTGACATAATGCGCTGGCGTTTACCAGGTTCCAATGCACCATAAACTGAGGCATAATCAGCATCCTCTGTTCCCGTAAAACGGTGATCCTTAATGAATAATAATTAATATCATTTAGAAATATGACTGAGGACAACAAACCTCTATGACTATAGAATAACACATAACATGTAGTTCTCACAGAATCTATAATTTCAAATTCTTTTACTACAAAATTTTGAGCAATTAATTTACAACCTTTATCATGAACATGAACTTTTTCAACCTTGCCAAAGGACTTATTGCAAAGCTCCACATTACACTGTAACAATCTTTTTGAGCTTACATCAAATCCATTTTAAACACACTAAAAATAAAATCAAAACAAAACATTATATCATGTCCTACCTTTGGTATTCCATAGTCATCTGCCAGACTGATGTCTTGTTCAGGTTGAGCCAATGGAGCATCTCCCTTAAAACTTTTCTTTGGTGAGGCCTAATGAAATGACCATCATGTACTAAATGTAACTGGCCAGATACTAAAAAACTTGTTGTTATCATAATTCAAAATGTCGCACAGTCTTCATGATTAACATCCGTCATGATATATTTTGATAATGAATCATGGTTAACATACTCTTTTAGAAGTGTATCACCTTTTTTTTATATCAATAAATGGATGTACCAAATAAAATATATCCTGTATACAAATCTCTCACCTTAAAACTGGGATCATTTAGGAAAGTTGAAGCCCTCTGATACAGATCATTCTCAGCCCATATGGTGTCATCTCCAGAATTTTGTGATTCTGTAGACTCATGAGTTGATGGATCAGTCCAAGAATCTATCAAAACATGCCAATTAACAGCATTAACATATTAATTAAGACCAACTGTTGATAAATACAGGAACTGAATTCTACATTTCTCTTCTAATCATTTTTCTATAAGAGGAAAGAGAGATTACTTATCAATAATAAGTCTAACAGATGCAAAAACTAAAATTCTATTATTTCACAATCGATGAATCCTACACATAAAATGGATGATCAATTATGAACACATTCAGTAACATGCAATTTTTTAAAAAATTCTTTTTCAAATGAAGCATGTTATTGTTCATTTAGAAAAAAATGCTGGCATTAAAGTGAAGAACAGATAGAAAATTGAGACTTTATTCAATGTTTAAAAAGTAAGGAAATAATTATTTACAAAGTACATAAGTGATTAATTTGGACACTAAGATATAGAATAACTGAATTACTACACAATTAACAATATCTGTGACACTTCCATGGTTCTGGTGTTAGGATAATAAAAATATTTTGATAAGTGATAAATCTTAATGAATTTAATCTATGCTTAGATCATCTCAGCTTATGATCAACATTTTAGAAAGAATAGCTGATGATTTATTTAATAATACATACCAGTAATAATAATTAAAAAAAAAAAAACTACTTGTGAATACCCACTGCAGTGAATACCAACTGCATAATGGATTGTGCATACAAATATATAATTGGAGAAGTAAATGAAAATATACTGGAATACAGTAAAACACGATTATAACAATGTCCCAGGGATGGACAATTTTGCTTCATTTTAAGCATTATTCGTTATATCAATTAAGTTTACAATATGATTTAAAGTTAGCGGAATGAAAATCACTTTGTTGTAAGCCTCAATTCATTATAAGCATGTTGAACTTTGCTATAAGTGTGTTTTACTGTAAACTAAATTAGGTATTTCACTTCATATTTGTGTTTTAAGTGATTTTTTTGGTAAACATTCCAATACATATTTTCATACATGCCAATGTCACATATTGTAATGTACAAAATTAAAATATAAACATCTGTTTTCCATTTACCGATACATGTAGTGATTACAGCATTCCCAGGTGTCCATATAGTTTAATATTAACACTAACAATGAAAGTAAATACAGTAAAACTTTGGTATCTCGGCAGGACTACCAGAAAATATCCAGACATCTAACAGTAGAAATATCAGATATTTATATATACCCAATCTTTACCTCAGTTAGTTATCACTATGTCTGAGAGTGCTTTTTAGTGTTAGTCTTTTCTGGATAAACATTCACACAGATACACATACTATGCTGAGATACCAAAGTCTACCTGTGTAATGATCATGCATAAAACATGCTCAAATAATGAAAAAAGAACTTTATAAAAAGATCATTCCACAATGTAACTTGTCTAATCTGGATGTTATGCAAAGCTCTACACAGAACTTTTTAATTACTATACAACATCTATTTTATATTCAGATGCTATCTACACCAACTAAGTTGAATACTTTTTATTACAAAAGCCTGGCCTGTATGGTTTAAACAAGTTATACTGCATAAAACATCAAAACCATGACCAGATTTAAATCTGTGTTTCTGTGAGGGCCTGCTCTGCAGTTAATCATTTTAGCATGCAATTTCTACAAAGCTACATGTATTATCATTACTGTGTTGTCAGGTGTCACATTTAGTTTGCCAAAATAAAAAATAAGCTGAAATAGTAAAAATATCTCCCCAATTCACTCTCAGAGAAACACGTTGGTAGACTTTTCCTTCTAAAATTATAAATGGTTTAGATGACCATTTTTTATGGATGATCTACACTAAAACAGACTTTTTGGTGTTTTCTGAAACAGAAAATTCACTGCGACAAAGAATGATAATAAATCTAGGAACACTATCCATTCAAGAACTATGTAACATTAATTTTTAAATTATTCCAAATCAAGTGGTGAGAGTGCTACAATGAGAGATGAATGTGGAGAGAGCCCAAGCCCAAGTTTATTACAACAACCACCATTAATGCAAAAGCAGTTATCACCATTGTCCCGGGCGGAATGATGCACGTCTGTCGGGAAAGTGGACGCTTTCTTCTGTCTCTGGGGCTCGTTTAATGCCCAGGCTTTTGAGAATAAGAAAACATTCAGAAACCATCAAAGATAGCACCAAGGAGAGATAAAACTAAATGGTTATTAATATTTTTTTTTCTAATTCAATGAACATGCAATTAATAATGTCATCTGAATTATTTTTTTAAACTGATTACAAACGAGGCACATCCAATATTTCTTGCAGTCATTATAGTTTTCATTAGAGAGTATGAATCTCATTTCAGGTTATGAATATTCATAACAGAATACACTGCGATTATAGCTTAATTAGACAAAATTGTACTATATACAAGACGGTCTATGAAGACATCAAATAATACATTGTATGAAAGAAGTATTACAAAAACAAAACTAATTTCCAGAAACAAATAAATATCTACAGAATAAACACTCAGGGTAACCAAAATTCTTACTTCTAAACATGTATAAAAATAGATCACGAAAGTTATTTTAAGTAAAATAAAAAATAAGCATCTTCTTTTTGCAAGCAGATAAAAAATAATCGTACTTGAGAGATTTCAAAGGGAAGAAATGAAAGGAAGGGGAAACAAAAGAACATAATTCTGAGGAAAAAAATCCACATTATTCCAACTATCCCTTGGAATATTCAAAGCACCCAAACATAAGAACAAAATCACAAAGCTGACGACAATATCGAATCACCTGGCTCTTTATCTTTCACAGCTAGTTTCATACTACAAGATTTCCTAAACTGAAATGGGCTCTGAGTGGTCTCAGAGTCTGGGTGTTCCAGACTCTTGTAACTAATCAAGCGTAACGAATCAGTTTCAATCACAGGAAATGACCTGCGAAAGACTTCCCGATGGTATCCCCCGGAGACTACAAATTACATAAAAAATAAATTAACCTAAAATTGACATCTACACAAGTTGCAAGACCCTACAAGACTGACATTTACATATCAACTATTTTTCACAAATGACTATCATATTAATGAGTGAACCTATCACATTATGGCCACTAATTAAATACTTATGTCCATCTGAAGCTAAGTAAGCCTCTTTTTCTTAAAACCAACATAAAACTTCATAATTAAACTTTAATACAGGTCTCATCAATATTTTTCTTAGGAATTTTATTATCATATTTGAACAGTGAATGAAATAAAATACTGTAAACCAACTTTAATTCGCGTCATCTTTTATTCGCAATTTGTCAGCTTGAAATCAATCTGCGACGATTAATTTTCGTGACTGTGGAAACATTCTCTACAAATACAAAGCAAAATAGATGGTTTGCGGCGATTAATATTCGCGATTTAAAGAAGGTCGTGAAACTCGTGGATATTTCTCACACGTGAATAAAAGTTGGTTTACAGTATTTGGTATATTTTATTTACGTCAATAAATTTTTAAAATAGTTCGAATAAATATTTAGACTGTTGCTCTAGATAAGCAAAAGCATTAAGGAGCTTTACAGTTTTTAGTAATGGTCTCTATTAGTAAAAAAATTATTATTGTAGATATTTGTCATTCCAAAACTACTTGTATATTCTCTGAAATTCTAAAATACAAATGTTTTATACAAATGTAAATATAAATTTTTTGTTATGATCTTACTGTAGAAAGGATATCTTTTCAAAATATAGAACAAAGAAGAAATGCATCAATTGCTTGACTTTGAATTTCAAATCTTTCTTAAAAATGTTCTATACAGACCAATGTCACACATAACTTGGTGCAATGATAAAGAGAAAAATAGTCAGAAAAATATTTCACTCAAGAGCACTGCAAAATTTCAAAGTGTAAAACGGAGTTTTTTCCCTTTGTCATTTACCTGCATTTGATCCACGGTTTTTTCTTAGCATGCTGGGTTTCACCAACTGGTCCCTGCTGGGTAATTCTCCATTTGGAGGACTTGATGGCCTGACGGGAGGGGGAGAAGTTGAGGAGGGGCGCTCATGTTCACTGTCTGAAGGATGGGGGTAGGTGAACGGTTTGTCGTATATTGGTTCCTGTGTGTACACTGGTTCTTTAGACTCGGAGTCCTCGGTACTTTGGCTGTACAAGTAAAAGGCATCGTGTCAAGTCAATGTGCTTGTCTAAAAAATTTTTGTACTTATATCCTAAATACACATAGTACAGTTTCTAAATAAAAGAAAGTAATCAAAATATACAAGATATACAAAATATACATTAGTACATATTAATGACATCCCAACATCCCCTCCATGTCTGCTAAGCTGAGTTCATAAAACCAATAAGATAGGTACCTATTACTGCTACCATTGGTAGGATGGAAAGTTTCTGGTAGAGGGGCCGGAGGTCTCATGTCTAGCTTGGTGTCATATGGAGGGCTATTAGGGTCACAATATATAGATTCCAGTTCATCACGTTTGTTCCAAGCTTCCTTCATAAAGGGTAAGTAAACAGTGGCTGAAAAAAAAAACCCAACACATTGTTACCCCAATGTATGCTTACTTACGAATGCTATCAATGTAAAAAAAAATAATTCTTAATTTAATCTACGACTTGTCCAGCTACAAATTCTAAACAATACTTATTACTATATCTAACATGCTTAACATTCTGTTTATCTTCTACACTTTAATAACTGTTCTGTCCCACTGAAAATGCAGACTAAATCTTGCACTTAAAATACACTTTCTTCCCCAATTGTTTAGAACTCTGCAAATCAAAGAAAATGTGATGTCTACTGTTAACAGTAATACCTTGTTGCTTGAAATCAGCAGTTGTGACCTTGAATTCTGCCCCTAAATCCTCTGCAATTCTCTCCCCTGCTACAATTAAATCCTTGGAGAAAGGGACACGACTCAATGGATCTTTCACAGCTACGATCATAAGCGGCATTACATTATAAAGATTACGTAAATTTTCGGCATAAGCTCTGTAAAAAAAAGAAGTAACCATTTTTTATCTTTTAAAATAGTTTTTAAAGGTGTTTATTTGGGGAAAAACAAGAATTTTTACTAATGAAGGTAAATTTAGCATGACTGCCATAATTAGCACATGTCATTAAACTAGTGATTACACCTGCTGACAAGCACTTACTTCATAGCAGCAAATGATGCCTGTCGGACTGGGCTGTAGACTAGAATAAAACCTTGAAATTCCTCCTCCTCCCGAAACACCCTCGTAATGAAATTATGGTACGCCCCCACACAAACCTCCACTTTTTGTTTGCCAGAGTCTGGAGCACTTTCTAAATTTAGTTCTAATGAAACAGAGAGATCAGTTTCTACATCTACATAGGTGGCGCTACTGTTCAGGATCGGACCTATTGGAATATCCACCCGGAAGTCTTCTCCACACATAATACACATGGCAATCCTAAAAAAATATATACACTGTATTCATAATGATTTAAACCCCTTTTTAATGAAAGGCTATGCAATAAAAGGAAATGTTTTCCTATAGGTTTATAAATGCTTCATATTACATTGTTGATATATAACTATGCATGATTTTTGTACGAAGCATGTAAGTACATGTTTATAAGCTTTTAGTCTGCAAACAGCTTCTCATATTAGGCTAAAGAAAATTGAAATTAAGGTTTTCGGGACTGTGTGTGTCTGTTTTTAGGTAGCTGCACTGCAATTTTTGCATATTTTTTCAATAAAATAAAATGTTGCTAATATGGAGATCAATCAGGGAAATAAAATTCCACCCTCATTTTTTTTGCAGTAGTTTTGTACTAGATTTTCTATTCTGGTAGCAATTTCACATAAGTGTGGAAATCTACATGGACACTTTCTTCACAAAAAATGAAAAATATCCATGTATTTGGTAATTTTGTTAGATTTTAAATACATCTACAGAATGACTCTAGTATAATTTTCATTGTTAATTTCATAGAAAATTCTGGAATTCAAAAAATGCCTGAATTCACATTACCTTAGTTGGGGTTCTAACTGAAGGTTGAATCCATTTGTAGTTCGAACCAGAGCTAGTAGAGCATCTTCCACTTGAATTAGGAGCATATCTTCTGGGGTGTCCTCAGGAATGTATACAAAATCACAATTCATCCTGAAACAAAGATCAGATATACACAAACATTAATTAGGTCAGCTTGTTTGTAAATGAAGTAGCATTGCATGCAAATCAGACTGACAATTCTAATGGAATTTTATGAACTTTCTCATAGTGTCCTTCCTTGTAATCCTTTACTGTATAGGCCTACAGGGAAATTTTCGCCCCTTTCGCCCTAATCACAGGTGGGCGAATTTAAAACTGGGCAAATACATAGAACACACTATAATTTCTTTAACAGAACTGTGACAGGGTGAATTAAATGGGGCAAACTTGTTCACATGTGTGAAAGGACTAAAATAACAAGGGGCAAAAATCACCCAGTATACAGTAATTCTATGATTCATCATGTTTGAATAGGTGAAAGGGTGAAAGGATGGAGCCCCATTAACTAACAATTTCTGTTCCTCTGTTTTTATTCTGAATGTAAGACAGACAGGTCAATATGCCTACTAACTTTCTAGCTAGGTCCTGTCCTTTCTGTTGTAGTTTCAGGCTATCCTTCTCTGAGAGCTGAGGATCATATCCATGTATAATTACAATGGGAAGATTTCGGAGGCTTTCTTCCTCAGGAACATCAGCCGTCAGAACAGTTTCTAAACTTGTAGCAATGTAATTGAGCGAGGATTCAGATGTATACATACACAAACAACCTAGAAAAAAATTGCATCAATTGTTAAAATATTTCCTCAAATTGAGATTAATATACGTATTGTATACATGTACTTTTTACCATTGAAAAAATTCGATTTTTTTTTTTTTGGACAGACACTGAAGATACACAAAATGACACACTTTATATATTTCTGAGCCCCTCCTAGACTTACCATTTGGCTTAAATTCTGCAGTTTGAAAAGCATTCTGTTCTAAGCTAACATCATCCTCAATTGGACGATAGTCCACATTGTAGATTGTGTCATTATATTGAAACTGGTCATGTTCAAACATCTCCTGAATAAAGTAAAGAAAATACTTGTAAAAATAAATGCCCTCTTACCCAGTAAATCAGTTTTAATACTAAATGTGTGTATAAAGTTTGATGACTATCAGCTAAGGTAGTCTTAGGACATTGATTGAACAACTGAGGTGGGTATAGCAGAAAACTTGAAGCAACCTTTGACCTATCATGTAGCCATCTTTTTACACAGTTTGAACTACATGTACATGTATCATCCAAAAAAAAAAAAAATCATTTGATGTGGCTATAGTACCCAGTCTTTATATGAAGTTTGATGAATATTGAGCGAACAAGATAATGGTCAGAGATCATTGTAATTAGATTGAACAACAGGTGCAAAACAAAATGGCCACCTCTGTGATTCAAATCTTTTTCTATTGCCAGATACATATTCTGAAACTAACACATAATTCAGACTATTACTTATGGTAACATTCCTAAACAATCAACCAAATCATATCTCTGTGTTTACTAATACATGTAATCTTATCATCTATTTCTAAATCTCATATAACTCAAAATTATTCAAATTAGGCCAAAATAAATTATTGTTTGTTGGAAAAATTTTATTGACCAAAAATAAGATTTTTTTTTTATTCAATCAATTCTTGGTCTGTTATCACATAATTACCACCCAATCACTTAAAATAAGTGTCGGATCTAAGTAAAACTGGGTTCCTTGTTGATTCGGAGGTACCCTTTACAAAAAGAAAATAATGTGTTCACTGCTTGTTGAGATTTTTATCATAAATTTTTAATTTAAATTTAATTTTGAAAAAAAAAATAATAATTTCCCTCCCTCCCTCCCTCCTGGGTCTGAAACCTCCCAGGTGGCAATTCCAAACAAACAATTTTTTAAGGATGGCCTTATTTAAAAAAAAACATTCAACAAAGAAAATTTCAAGATCTAAAAGTATGAAAGCTGCTTACCCTTATCTGCTTGAACAGTTTGGTGGCCAACCCCTCACATCCTAAGAGAACCAGATTAAGAGGGCATTCCTTCTCAGACACTGCAGATATTCTGTTTGATGAACGACTGAAAAAAACCAAGACAAATGTCATCACAATCAAAATGCCTTCAACATTCACTTAAAACCATATAATCTATTTTCTACAAATTCCCGAGTTTCACATCCCCAAAAACACAGCATCTGGTTTGTGCTTCCATTGACATGTTTCTTGAAAAATAATTTCAAAATGAAACTCAAGCACCATTGCACAATAAATGCTGCACATTTTTTTTTTAAATACAACTGGTAATGAAAAAGGTATAATTTTTGCAAGGAATTTGTCCTAAAATATGAAAAAATTGCCTTTTACAAACTGTCATATTTTCTTTTTGAAGCAAAAATCCATTTTTTGTATTTGGTTATAATGACACAGTATTGAAAAAGTACATGTACATACATGTACATGTGACTTTAAACAATACACAATATCCCTATTCCCCAGATAGGACCTACTCACTTGACTGTCTTGGCAGCTACCTCTAATACTGATTGCACTTGAGTCTCGGCACACTGGTCCTTGTAGTAACACCTGTCACTGGAGGGCATCTCCAGAAATCCCAGGTGTTTTATCAGAATCACATCTCGTTCATCCTCCATCTTGTCCAAACGACGATACCTGCAAGAGAAGAAACCTCCCTTAAAAAATGTAATTTTAAGCTCCACCCACCCCTTTTATCTAATAATTTATCAAAATACTTTACAAAGAACGTGAAGCTTTTATATTCAAGCTTACTATCCATTAGTACTCAATCAAACAATGTTACAATTAATTTAGGATATATGCCAATGACCAAATATGTACCCTTTTAACCTTTTCCATTTTTCTATGTACTCTGGGCTCTTATTGGGGCAAATACTGTTTAATTTAATGTATAAAATCCCTTGTTGGTTCTCTGCTTTACCTGGGATCCTTCTCGATATCCTCCTTGATGAGAGTAAGATCTTCTTGAGTGATTTTATCTGAGGAATTTGGCTGCATCCTCTGTCGAATGAATGTCTCAGTCCGTTCCCAGAGGAGCTCTTGAAAATCATGCTTGACCTGGGCTTTAAGTTCCTCTTGATAATCATCAAACACATCATCACGCTCTAATTGGGAGAGCCCAATGTAACAGTCTTTTCCCACAAATAAGAGATAGGTTTCTTCCAGTGTAGCCCCAGGGGTTACTTGAGGTGTCTCTGACAAGAGCTTCTTGAACTGTTCCCTTAGTCTGTTAGAAACAATTTTTTTTCTTCATCATGATAATATTATTTACTAGGTCTTAAATAAATCTGATTTGGACAACAGGACTAGGTAAAACAAAAGCTCTATAAACTGTGCCTGTTTTTACACTGCCCACAAGCCACAATGCTCACTTGGAGTTGCTATAGATAGTTTTCGACTGGCCTGAATTTAGCAAGAGTTATTTCCCATTGGTCGCCATGTTGGAGGAATACAAGCCTGAATTCCTTCATTATTCAACCAATTTAAACTTGTCATACTGGGCAATTGCATAAAGATAACACAATTTTTCTTATGAATTTATGTTTACTCAAGCTTCCTTTTATTTTTAATTTTAGTATTTAAAAGATTTTAGCTCTTATATTACTGCAATACAAGTTTAAAATTGGTTGCTCAAAGTGGAAAATTCACTAGTTGGACCTCCAATATGGCGGCCAATGGGAAATAACTCTTGCCAGGGCTCGACATTAACGCTTGTCCGCTTGTCCGGTACCAGTGAAAAAAAATACGGACATGCTAGGCACTTGTCCGATTGGACAAGTGCATTTTTCTGTAAGTAAGTCTCTAAATATTTGAAAGAACGACTGTTGAAAATTTACAGGTACTTTAAGACGGAAACAGTACATAAAAAACGAACTTCGATCCCGATATAGATTGCTATGTAATTGACTATACTTGATTGGGATCGAAGTTCACTAATTGCATACTACTGCAAAGGCATGGAACTGAAGAAGTTTGGATTCTGTTTTATGTTGACAGCATTTATGTTGTCAGGACAGAAAGTCTAGATAAAATTTTGTTTTATGTGTTTGTTGTATTTATAAATAGCATCATGCACATGTAATGGACTTTATTTTTAGTTTTTCAGTTAACAGTATTAGATCTTTATTGAAAATTTTTCAGACAAGTGAAGTTGAAGTTCGGACAAGTAAATGTCTTGGTCACTTGTCCGAATGGACAAGTAGGGAAAAAAGTTAATGTCGAGCCCTGCTTGCTTAATTCAGGCTCGTCGAAAACTATCTATAGCCCTTCTTGATCTTTATCAATAGATTCTTTTTCCTATACATTCTCATCGACATGTGTAACTTGATCACCAATTGTCAAATCATATCATATTTATCATAGAATATGTCTACTGAAAAAAACTTGGCTATGATCTTACTGAATTTTCTTGTGAGCCTCCTGCAGTTCTTTGAGATGCCTTTGATACACAGCCTCCCCCTCAGGGGAACTCAGGACATCAAATGGTGTCCTGGTCTCATTGTAATCATCAATGAAGGTCGGCACCATCTTCCAGGTCTCTCCCTCGTCTGGATTACACACCTCCACAAAGTAATGTTTAAAATCTTTGTGTTCTTTGATATACCTTTGACAAGCAGTCCATGACCTACAAAATAATAGCAAGTTTTTCCTTTAGTGCTCAAGAAAAATGAGCAGCTCAGTCCTCTTTGCCTTAAACTCTACTTTTGAAATATACAATTTTGAATTTTTTTTTCCATTTTTTTTTTTTTTTAATGATTTGCTATAGTTTTGTTATCCATAATTCCAAGCTCCCTTTTATTATTTCCTTATTCAAGATGCTTTAATTAAAGTTAAATTTTTTAACTGTTTTTAACTGTAAGTACAAAGGTGAAATTTTGCTGTAAACAGAATCTCTGACTGATGTCAAAATAGGATAGTGTGTAAGAAAATTATAACATAAAATGTTCAATATCATCAGATCTTCTGTATTGAAATTGACTGAAAGAATAGGTACCGTTTATGTTATCATTTTGGAAAATTTTCATTCATGAATATGATCTGGTTAACTTTGCTGTAAAACTAAAATGAGTACCTGTAATTTATTTATTAATAAACGTATGTTACCTGTTTCCAATAGTTTCTAAATCAGGTAAAAACCGCTGAATCAAATCAGGCAGTCTTGTAGAGAATATTTTCTCTCTCTTTCTGATCTGGTCGTCTCGTAACTGTTTCGCATGTTGACGAAACAATTTCTTAGCATTATCAGTTCCTAACAGTTCAACATAATGGTTAAAATCAGGTTCCCTTTCCAACTTCCTAAGGTATGATTTAAAGATCGCCTTTGGATCTGTTACATGAATACGTAAAAGATTTTTATAAGCATTAATTGCTACTTCTTCAATCTCCTGGCGTTGCTTAAAGGCCTCTATATAAGGGGTAATGATTGGTCGACGTTTGTTTTTGTCCATCATGTGAGCCAGCACTAAAAATGCTTGCTCCACATTCACATTTTTATGAGCAGAAGTCTCAACAATGGGAATGTTATTCTTGTAGTCCTTTCTGGCTACGATTTTGGGCACTTCCAGTAAGTATCGCTTGTCCGCATCATCATTCTTTGTGGTCACCAGAACAACAGGTTTTCTGGTTTTCACTGCCGCATTAAGGAGATGGATGACAAAGTCCACTTGGTGCTCCACACTCCTCTGAGGAACCTTACTAACATCAAAACAGCAAATGAACCCATCTATGTTCAGTTTCCCATCAGGCATTAGTTTCTGTTCGTATGCACTGTCTGTTTCCATTCCTAAAAAAAAAATATGCATGATTTTAAAAGAAAAGTATTGTGGTAGATTTCCAAGGCAGCTAATTTCTGTATTGAAATATCAAACATAGAATTTTTGCATGATGAATAAGACCACTTGTCTATATCTTCAGGTGTTCAGATTAAACGGAAAATTTTCTGTTGTTATGAAACTTTTAATCATTTAAATTTTTTTGAACTTTCCTAAATACATAATTTATATATTACTACAAATGTGTATTTCAAAAAAGAATAGAAAAGAAATGATTTTTCAGTATATAAAACAAGTTTTTAAATTTGAAAAGGGAAATTTGATTTAACAATGATTGATTTGAAGTTTACAAAAGAAGAATTTTTGAGTTCACCAAAAGGATGCTAATAACAAGCAGTGTAATGATATTAATTAGCCAGTCCTGAATTGTTGATTTTAAAAGATGTAGAAGAGTGCTCCCAACATCAGTCTAATATATAGTTCTTTGTTTTATTGATAGAAGTCAAGATTTGTCATAACACACAACTGAATAAAAAATTTGTAGAGTCTAGAACTCAAACACATGCCACATTCCATGAAATAAAAATGGAGAGAATCCCTGAACAAGATTTTTTGAATGAATTTTGGAAGTATTTGAAATTTGGAAACAGATTTTTGTTATGCCTAGTTTCAAGAGGATGCTGAAAATGAGACAATGGTGATCACAATGGAAAACACCTACCACTGAAACTTTCCACTGAAATACAATAGTTATGCATAAAATATGTAAACAAAAACATAAAATATTACAGATATTGCACATGTGTAAAACACTATGTCCTTCACTCTGCACAGAACATAACTCTTTATGAATGCACCATGCAATCAACTAAGGATCATATATAGACTGTACTAGCCCTTAAACTAGAGGTACTGTGAGCACTAAGCTCACAAAATGATATCCCCAGCTCCTTTATGAGTGTAATGGCAAAGGGCATTTCTTGACAGTATGTTATTGAGATTCTGTGAAAGATCTATGGAAATTTTTTCATGGGTTTAGAAGGAGTTGCATTAACAAAATGGGTATCCCCTTTTTTCAAGTATACTGGAAAAGTCCATTTGCTATGGGAAACCCCAAATACCTATCTGATCAAAATGGTAAATAGGAGGTCACAATGGCACTATGCAATAAAGATTCTGTGAAAGTTTCACTAAATTTTATTCTGTGACATAGGAGGAGTTGCCATTAAGAGATACCCCCAATATCTTAGAAAGAGGGCAAAGTCCATGTTTTCCCATGGGAAACCCCAAATTTCTGTCTGATCAAATAGGTGCACAACTGTCAACAGCACTTTGTAATATAGATTCTGTGAAAGTATCATTAAATTTTAATCGGTGGTATAGGAGGAATGGCAGATAACAGATGGGTACCCTTAAGTGTAACAGACAGATGGACACCCCATCACCATACACCCCCCCCCCCCCTTGAAAACAGGGGGTATAATAAAGTAAAAGTATGCATCTTCAACAAAACATTTGAGATTGCTACGTCTGTTTATAAAGGATGAAAGGGGAACTCAAGTATGACATCAGTAAAATTCCAGATTTTAAGTGGGACTTATCCAACCTTTTTTTAAGCAAACATGAAATGTTACATTGCTTTAGACACTTTGACATTATCAATTGTGCAATGTAAGGAACAACTATACACATTACATAAAATCCCATATTTTAATTACTTGGGCATGTATAGGTCTATTTAAAATTTGCTACGTATATTGATGAAAATATAGTAAAGAGTGGCGAAAATTTAAGGGTGCACCGTTGATTATTCTTCATTCTAGACTTGTCCATGATTTTACTGAACAACTCTCCTACATGTATGTGTGAATTTATATTTGATGGTGCTTGTGTCAGCATGTACAGGGCTACAAAATGATACCTGCTAAATAACTTTCCAAAAGAATTTCTCAATTTCTGGAATCATTTCCCAAAAGCCTGCTACTGAGACTCTTATCGTAATATCAGAATACTTCTCCAACATTACTTTATTATTCTTCAGAAATTTATCTATTTAATAATATTAACAAGGAAGGAATATACAAATGCCTCCTTTACAAGGGGATGTCAATAGCTAGCTGCTGTCAACACTTTAAATGCTTTAGTATCCTTGATAAGTGTTTTTTATACATCATCCTAATTTTTTGCTTACTTTTAAAAATGAAGTTTTTAAAAGATAAATTTTACCAGATGTGCTATTTGGCAATCATTCATTTCAAAGACCACTTAACTTGCATGAAAGTCTATATATTAAAGTGCTAGCTTAATTCACAACTTCATATGCTCATATTTTCACATTCAATTTGATACAAGTGCTGTATCATGTAAACCTTGGACAATATTCTAGGAAATTTACAAATTGTAAATGGAATAGTTAGTAATATGTCATATGTCATAATTTTGGACATGTTGGAACAGGGAAGTCATTCAACAAAATTCCTTTGTATACAATATTTCCATAAAATAATTTCAGTATTTCCTGAATATAGCTATTACAATAGCACATTGAGATAATTTTATGGCAAAAGAGATAAATTATTACAGATACTGCTATGTATCACGTATAAACATGCTTTATACAATAACATTTAAATGTACATTTTAAGAAGCATGAACTACACAATTCAATCATGATAGGCATACTTCTTAAAGATCTTAAAAAAGGGGATGTTTTGATACACAGATGCTCCCATATGGCAGCTAATAGCAGCTAAGTAGATAAAACTACAAGGTCAAGGTCATGAGGTCAAAATTATTGGTACCTAAAAAGGTCATGTCACAAGAAAAATATTTGTGAAATATTATTAAAGTAAACAATACAGAAATTATGACCAAAGTTAAAGTTGTTTAAAGTAATCAAAAATAAGTTAAAACTCAAAGGTCAAGGTCATGAGGTCAACAATGTTGGTTTCCAAAGAAAGGTCTTGCCTTCACAAGAAATATACATGTGAAATATTAAAGGCCTGGTGCTGTTCAAAAGTTACGAGTAAGGTTAAAATTTTGACAAACAGACAAGGACTGACCAGACCAAAAACTATATACCCCAGAATCTTTGATTACAGGACATAAAATCAAAAGCCTGAAAGGCATCAATGGCTTCCAACATGAAAAACAATTTCAAGACCTATAAAATCAACATTTAAACAAAATATCACATTTATAGTTGTGGGGCCTTATGAAATAGTCTGAAATGAGCAAGGTCTGAATTAACCTGACACCATGCATTGAAAGTAAACAAGCATGGATGCCTATTCATTTTGAATCTTTTTAATCAGTTAAAGAAATAGGAAGGATTTATCATAAAATTCAATGTTTAAGCATTGCTTTTTTTTTTTTAGTAGGATCACCCCCCCCCCCCCCCAAAGAAAATATTTACCAGCTTTGATAGAAGCAATATTGCCCATGATGCATACACTCATCACTGAGAAGTTTTGATGATCATATGCTTTAAAGTGTCCAAGATATGCATCAATATCAAACTGAAAAGAAACCCTTTTAAAAAGTAGGTCACTGTGACCTTCTTTTGAGTCAACATGACAGGAAGTCTCAATATGCATCAACTGACAAGATTTGATGTTCCTAGTCCTTATAGTAGGTAAAAGATCAAAGTTAAAAAAAAAACATAATTTTTGGTCAACTTTAAAGTGACCTTTTGTCCCTTAGAGCTTGAACAAATTTTAATCTACAACATTTGTAATTTGATTACTAAATTAGTAGAACACCTGTTGCAGTCTTCATAAGATAAAGATCATTATTTAAAGGGGAAAAAATCATGATGTATTAGTTCTTCTGAGTGGCAGGCTCAAAAGAGCTAATGCTATAGCCATTTGTGGTTGCGACTGGTGATTAATTTTGAATAATTGTGAATATAAAACAGACAATTGCTAAAAAATTTTGCTTGCGACATTAACAAGTGCTTTATATTTTATTTTGTGACCACGTTCAAATAACTTAATCAAATCAGTAGTGTGTGGTTTTTATGTGTACTATAGCGTATTTTATTAAAATGTATGTGTACCTGCTGTATAGGAAATTGCTGTCGGTTTTTACATGATTCAAGGTTAAATACTGTATCATCATTTCAAAACAAAGTTTAATCACTTATAGGAAAGATTTAATCAAGGTTAAAAATTTGTAATTAATTTTCTTTTTAAAAGCAAATACACAAATATGCAACAAAATGAAAATCAATGAACAATGAAAAAATACATCCAAATATACACATGCTTTGATGTTGTAGGCTTACCCAGCTGATCTTTACAGATGTACATCAATTTCTCCGCAGACTGAACTTTATTTTGCGTACTCCTCTTGTAGTAGTTGTCCGTGCGACCCGTCTTGAAGACTTGGAAGGAGACATCGTCGATGAATTCCGTCTGTTCTATGACATGGAATGTAAAGTTGTTCCCTTCGTCGGTTTTTGTAGTCTCTCCCCAGTACAGGAAGTGGTCATTGTTGATCACCCGCCCTGCGAAGTCACTCTGACTGAGAACGGAGATGTGTTCTGTGTGATATTTGTCCGCCACATCGTTGATGAAACGGTTACACAGACATGACTTGCCCACCCCTACTGCCCCTTTCACACTCTCTGACCCAGACAGGCCAATAACGCTGACATTGTAAGTTCTATCTTCTGCTTTCTTTGCCATACCCGATTCACACACATGAACAACTGCTATCGAAGTCTGTCTGGCATATCTGCCATGTTCCTACACATAGTCAGGTTTCATCTACGAAGTGTAGGAGGTATAATTCCTTGTCTGTTTCGTTAGCCATTGTCCTCTGTATCACTGATGTAATCAATCAGGAAGACGATTTCTTACTACTTATCATATAAGTATTACTTTCCTGAAACTTATTACCGCAAATACTGTACTCTCTCTTCTTCAAATCACTCACTTCCAACTAAGAATCTAATTCTGTGACATCAAAAAAAAGACGAGTCTTTCACCCACTCCTCCGTAAGACCTCTTCAATCTGTACAATAGAAAATAAAAATCAAAGTTCACTCAATTAAAATAGAACAGATAAATGTATATATTCTACTCACTCCAGAAACAATTGCCAATATTTGTCAGGAAACTTTGGAATTATTTGTAAATCAACGGAAATAAAACCAGGGCCGATATGCATAATTAGATGATACATATTGAGACATAAAAATGCATATCAAAATAAGCCATCATCACAGTTTTAAGTGGTATTTTATCAAAATCTGTGCAGGGTTTTTAATTAGGCCCAGAAATGTGTAAAATTTACAAAGTTTTTATGTATGTCTAAGGCAAGACAGAAAATAATCAAATGGATGTAACTTGAGCTTACTTTATATAATGACTTAATATGACAAATGGTCATAAAAAATTATCAATTTCAATTAATACAGCACATGTATCATGATTAACCTGTAACTTGAAGACAGAAATTACAAATTAATAGACTTTTTATTTATTTTTAAAAATATTTTAATAAGAGAGATACTTCTAAAATCAAAGTTTCAATTTAAGTGTAGTTTATGGGTTCAATACCTTGTAATGCCCTGTAGATCATATTTAAAACAGGGAAGAATTCAAACATACTGGGTGTCATTTAAACAGGTCTGTATTTAAGCATTTACTTTGATGGATATCAAGTGTGAAAAAAAAACAATGCAATGTGATTCCACCCACAAGTAAATATTTATAACTTAAGATTACATCAGCAACATTTTTAAGACTTCTTCCAATATTCTCTCCCTTTGTCAGCCGAAAAAATTTAACTTTCTACCACAAATCTGAACTACATGAAGGTAGACCAATTCAAAACATGTTGAAGACATCAGCAAATGCAAACACAATACAATGACCTTGCCAAGAGAAGAAATTTTTTTTATCTCAAATTCTTTGCCTGTATCTTTCCCAAAGCCTCTCTGAAACTTTAGTCAGGAGATATCTTTGGTTAGATTTATAAACAATCATAAAACACTGAATGAGTAAAATCTAATCTCTGACCAAATCAACTCACCCTTATACAACAATGGGCTAAAATTACCAGAACACCAGTGGCAGCTTTGAACAGGTTTATGATTTTAAGTAAGCTGTTACTAAGTATAACTGACGAGGTTTCCCTATCTGTAGTAAATTGATGAGTCATCGCTACATTCAGTGTGTGTATAGAAGGTTATTTACAGACAGCACAGAGCAAATATTGACAGTATGAAACGCAGAGACGATACCAAAATACACCAGTCTGTGTTTACGCTGATACAATTTTTTTTTTTCATTCAGAGAGAAAATATTGGAATGTGTGCTGTGTATTATTCTTCTACTTTACATTCACTTACAAACTGTGAACAAAATGTGTTGTGGATTTCAAAAAAGCATCAAGCATAAAATACATGTATTGTTCAAGTGAAAAAAAAAGCTTGTTTTAGGGCTAAAAAAGATTTTACTTTTTTCCACTTTACTTCCTTTCTTTATAAAACTTAAAATGCTAACTTCAGAAATTATACATGTACATACTATTAATAAATTAAATACAAGCTACTCATATTTTATACATGCACTAGCATTGTAACCTTAGTATTGAAACTGAACAAACATGTTTTGGACTTTGATATTTGTGGAAATGGATATCTGAAATTTGACATAAAGTAGATATATGCTAAGAGGTACTTTAAGTTCATGCAACAAACAGTGTAATCTCACATTACCACACATCAAAATTTATTCTTACAACTGCCGGAGAAAAACTTTCATGTGAAATTCTTAGCATTCCTCTGGTATGTTATGTACATAAAAGTGACCTTGTACTTACTTGTATATGTAGCTTATATATGCATGAGCTGGGTAAAATATGAATAATCCACACCTCTGGTATGTAATGTACAGTGACCTTGTACATGTATACACGTGTACTCACGTAGTTTACATGGAACAGGGGTAAAATATGATACTAGTAGTCCAAAACTGAATTCAATAAAGTCTAAAATGTATACTGAATTCTGTTCAAGAACAAGGTCATTATGGTTAATATTATTAGTTGGAATACAAATTAATCCTGGGCTGCTTTTGAAAATTCAGCTTGTAAAAGAAATGGATGGTGAAATGCAGTTCACCGTTTACAACTCCTTTTTTCTCTCTCATCAGTACTTCATAATGGTGAAAAAGAAAATAATACAGAAGAAATTGCAGCTAGAGAAAACTTGAAAACTTGTGTCCATCTAGATACCATACAAAGAATATCTACACCTTATCCTTGTTCAATGAACTTCACTGTAGATGTGGAAAAGACCTGTGCCCATCTTATCCCAATATTGTACTACAACATAAACCAAGATCCAACCCCCTACTTAGAACAAAAACATTCATGACATCTGCAGACAGTTGAAGACTTTATATACATGTACATCACCAAGTTCTTTAAAATTCACACTTATAACCATTTATAAGACAGATTTATACCCTGGCACAGACTTCTCAGTAGATTCTGATAGCGTCTGAGGCAGCAGGGAATATCCTGTCCATTATAAACAGCTTCCAAATACTAGTCATTCACAATGTTTTACAAAATGTGGAGTTAACACTGATATTTACTGTAAAACTACCGTTTCTAAATTGGATAAAATAATCACAATGACACAGAACACTTTGACATAGGAGAGTGCAATTAAAACTAAGAAGATGCCTATGGGCCTTGAAAGTCACCTTAGTAAGAAGAGTTTCTTAGGCACAGTCTTTCCAAAAGACATTGGACCACTGGACCTCACCAACATTTAGTGCCTCAGGTCCAGTACTCCATTTTTTACACTGGACTGCAATGTCCCATGTCTCAGTGTCCAGTTTTGAGTTTTAGTATTTTGACAGAGTCATAAAAATGTTTCTTTTAAGAAAAAATATCACACAAATTTAGGTACTTATATGAATTAATTAAAACACCATGGACTGTAAGATTTCCTTGGTTCTGTATTTTCATGTTTCACTTTACACTAACATTAGGTTTTTCGGTCTATCAAAATTTGGTTCAGTCCTGTGTATTCCTTGAATACACAGGACTAAATGTCCTGTGTAACCCAAAAAACTTTTGCAATGGCCAACTCACTCCCAACTGAAATTCTTGACTCATTCATAATTTGGTGAAGACTTATGTTCATTATCATATTTTCTAATTCATGAAGCCTGTGTCCTAGATGCTAAGGAGTAAAACACAAAATGCACTTCAAATATATATGATTAAATTAGCTCCATTCTGGACCCAAAACCTTGGACAAAAATTTCAGATTTTAATATTAAAAGAGCCCATAGCTGCCAATCATCATGCATACAGTTTGCATGCTTTATGTTCAGAAATAAAAAGATCAAAGCTAAACCATATATACATGGGCCATGAATTCCACAAATTTGGTAGCTAAAAAGCTGGCTGCTTAAATTAAAATCATGCAAACAGTTAGCCTGCTACATGTCAATGAGTACATATGAAGAATTTTGCAGGCACATTGAGGTATTTTCAATATATGACCAATTTAGTCCATCCCTTAGGCCTGAACTAATGAATTTCACAATTTTGGTACATGTACAAGGGCTACCTGCTCATATAATCCAGCTAACAGTTTGTCAAATACATGTCCATGACTAAAAAGGTTTTCAAAGATGTATTTCCAGTATGTCCCTTACTTAGCCCCACCCTTGAGCCATAAATTTCACCACTTTGTTATATTAGCTGCTCATTACCATCATGCTTACAGTGTGCTTACTGCATCCCAAGGACTACATGAACTATCATGGATTTTTGAAGATGGCAGGAATTTTTATGGTTTAATTTGGCCCCATCCCATTGGGGAGGGGGGGGGCTTGAATTTTTCTTCTCCTTTATCTATAAATGCCTCCATACTAAAATTGGTTGAAATTGTTCAGCCAATTCAGAGAAGAGGATCAAAATATTCAAAAGTTAGTGAACAAAGCATAATACATATGACAATGTGTGGATGGAAACCCATAGCAGTGTCAACTAAATGACAAAAGAGTCCTAAATTCAACAAAGTTTCAGACCAATTCTGAGAAAAATTCAATCCTTTTATCCATAACTTGAAGGAAAATATTACAAAACATCTTTTTTTGGTTTAAATGCAGACTTGGCATGAGAACCTGGGTATAATCTGCTAGCTGTAATCTGGTATAATGTCCTACAAAATCTCATTCACAAATCCAAAACAATGTCTGTCATCAGTCAAGCAATAAAAGTTAAAACTTTAAAACTACAACATTAACATTGGATATAGATGTATTGGATGTATGCCTCCATTCATAAAACTATAAATATACCACTACCTAGATTTAATTAATGACCACACCAGAATTCTATTCAGATATTAAAGGTATTTAAATGCTTTTGGATTGTTTTCTTGGCCATCTGTACACAATGTCAGGTGACATAAGTACATAGATTACACGTGTACTCGAAGATGATCAAGTTAGATATTGAAATATTATACCTATTCATGGCCACCTTCCCTCTATCCCTTTCTACACTCATGATTTATAACAAAACCAGGAAAAAAAGGAAACTGTAAGGATATAAATGTTTAAAATTTACATCTGTTTTCAATTTTTCATTAAAACTACTACAAGAGGCCCATGGGCCACATCGCTCACCTGAGCACAGTGGATAGGCAAAAGCACAAATCAGTTCAGTATTGAAAAGATTCCGGGGGGGGGGGGGGGGGGGGGGGGGGGGGGGGGCTTGAATTTTAAACTACCTGATGATGCTTCCATGTCAAAATAACAAATGGCTTTGTTGTATACTTGAGAAGATTTAAAAAAAATTTTCTGATATATTCCTTTGTAAAAATTTGATCCCCCCTTGTGGCTCCTCCCTATCCCAGGGGTCATCATATGAACAAACTGGAATCTACACTACCTGAGGATGCTTCCATATCAATATGACTAAACATAGCTTTTCTGTTCTTGAGAAGAAA